AACAACGGTAATGTAATAGATGCAACTCGTTTTATTGCATGCATCAAACCAGTCAAACACCATATGCTATGCGCACACGCACATTATAGGTTGACATAATATGCACAGTAGACGTGTCGTCGCGGGATAATCAATATGTTTGATTACGAACAGACGAAATCTAGACATGTAAATGTATTTTAGTCGTTATCAAACGCGTGCCTATGAGCGTGCAACAATTGCTGATATTTCAGATAAACGCAGGCATGAGGAGAAATAACTAGAATATTTTTTTTTTTTTAACATTCAGTTTTATTGTCCCGATAAAACAAGGTTGACAGTTCAAAGTATAAACGTTAAAAGAAGAAGAAGAATAAGAAGAAAAAAAAGAAGAAAAGGTATAAGAAATAGGATAAGAATAAAAAATCAATAAATAAATCAATAATGCGTTTAACGTGAGATAAACAGACATGATAAAGTTAATAACGATAGAACAGATATATATATAATAATATATGATATGATATAGTTTGATAAAAAGAAAACGTAATATGTTAGCGACATCTTAAGTTAGATTCGAATAGATGATGGATATAATACATCGTTGATGGACGTATATATTATGAAAATTAGTGCGGTATGTATAGAAATAGAAAAAAAAGAGAAAAGTGGTTATGCAACTTAACAATATGTAATTATATTTACTATGATCTTTTTATTGTTTCTCAAACTACTGATAACTAGAATAATATCTTGTTGGTTAGCATAAATAAACGTTTTTTACAAAACTTTTATCTTGACTGCATACTGTTAATAAATTAAATTGAATGTTGATGACGGAAAAATGAACAAATAGACATAAAAGAAAATTTCGCTCACTCTTACTGACTCGCGGCACCTTGTGAAGTATTTAAAGTCCTTCAAACTATAGAGAGGAATTCTTTTATTTGCATGATGAGTTTTCAAGGTTTTGAAAAGTTTATTTTTCAGATGATTGACTTGTTGCAATAAGAAAAACAAGTTCGGTATTGTGTGAGCTCATTAGTACTCTGCTCTTTCGTCTATCTACTCTGTTGTCAGAGCAGCAACAATGGAATAATCATACGTATAAGATGAATATTTAGATTATTTGATTATTTATTAAAACTTTAAAAGAGTCCATGTACAATAAATAATAGCTGCTGAATTACCATTCAGACATTTAAGAAAGTGAATGATTACTTTGAAAATGATAGTTTATTGATTTGTATTCAGCGGTTTGATTATTTATTACTGATGATTACATGAACTTATTTTTCTAAAAATAATTTTTAAAGGAAACGTCTGCTTAATAATTATACACGCGCATGCAAATGAGCTGTGTAATCAATTTTTCCGCATAATTTTACAGATGATTGATTTTTGCGGTTGCTGATGATATTTACATGTAAATATGCCGACGACCTTCTAAAATAAATCTATTTCTACATTTTAATGCCTAAGCTTATAACTTAAAGCATAATTTAAAATGAAATACAATCGACGTTGATATGATAGAATTGAATATTGATTTGTTTACATCAAAGTTATGCTTATCCAGCATTCCTCGTGTCTCATGTAGATTGTTACAATAAGAGTTCAACAACAAACATTTGAGTTTGCATAATACTAATAATATCAAATCTTTAAGGGTTTACTAGACTGCATTTTCATGAAACGATAGTCGCTTGAAAAACTAATGACGCATTTAGGATTTTATAAAAAAATAATTATAATAAGCCCACGAAGATTTATAGGATTATTATAACAGTTAAAAGAGATTTTGAAAATTTCATGAGCTATTTATGTGAGTAATAAACCCTTGTGAAGGACTTATTATTGTACCCTTTTATTGCAATTTATGTACAGCCATGAGATACACTCAAACTTCTCAAAGTGCATCTATAACAAAAACGACTGTAATTGCCTGTTGATAACATTAGCTTTACGGTGTAATGTGCTTGCCTTCGAGTATTTCATCAATGATATTGAATGTATCAGCATTTTAAACTCTCAGTATTTTGTCTCTCTCGCCCTCTCGCAAAGAGATATTCTACATAAATATTTTACTGTATCTGCTGGTAAATGAAACGAAATAAATTTAAGTTGATCGGTCATGTGTTGCTCTCTACTGAATACCTTGAAACTAACTTATGAATTTGCTTGAAAAGCATCTTTCAATTCTGACATCACGAAAAATATGTTATTACTATTTTCTCAGCACCATATTTACAACTGCTGTATTGGGCATTACTTATATTCTGAATAAGAAGAATACGTGTTTGTTTAAGTCGAATAGAACAGATGAACGTTGAAAATTAGTTTTCAATAAAATTCATAAATAATTGATTAATGCATTTGATAAGCAAAATTTTAACTATAATTAAATTTATAAATAGATTCGTCCAAGCTAATCAATACTGAATAACATCTATTTTAAGTGCCTAATAGAAATTCTCAAATTAACAATATTGACCATGGGTGAAGCGTAAAACTTACATTATTTCATGCAAATTTACCATACATGCTGATGTATAGTGTAAGAAATCCGTATCGTAGATAACATTACTAGATTATAAAACATTTCTTGATTGTTAAAGATAGTGTGATCATGAAGGCCGAGAAAATAGTACGTCAATGCTTTTGTTAGAATAGTATGTATCTAATGCCCTGAGTTACTTGACAGAAAATGGCTAAACCGTACATAAAAAGAATAAATTTATTTGTTTTAAATCATTCATTCAATGATGCATGGGAATATTTTACAATAACTTTTGAAACTATGATGCTTATATCTATGATAAATCTAATTATTTATTTATCATGACATATTTGCTTATTAGATACTCTACACTACAGAAAATGAATATGATTTTTAATACTTCCATTATGATTGACTAGATATTTCAAAATCTTAATTTTATTATAAAAATCAAAAATAGTTTCCTAAAAACAAACTAAGTAACGAATAAAAACATTCTACTGCAAAATACTCTCCCAATATACTGGATAGAGTTTGCTGATATACGTGTAAAAATATTGTTCATAAGATTTTAAGATAGATTATTTTTTTAATACATGGGTCTTAGATTACTATTATCTTCTATTATCCTCGACTGTATCATGTTTTAATATTACATTAAAACTACTGGCGCACTTGCGCTTAACAATAATAACTTAATGAGATTAGGTTTTTAGAAAGCTTCACAATTAGTGCTCATACATTTGGACCAATGATAATATCTGATCAATCATATCGATTCTTCATGCGAATCAATATCAATAATTGACAATAACTAATCATAGCTGGCATAGAGATGCAAAACAAAAGAGAGTTTCTCGGTTTCCTATGAACATTAAGTTATTTGCGATGCAAATGACAGTTCCAAAAATATGCTAAATTTATACTCATTTTTTTAATATTTTATTTTTCATATTGCTCTTTGAGAACAGAATATATAACATATGCACAGTCCATCCTAAGAAAAATATGCCATATCGGAAATACTTCACTGGCCTAAACGTTTTATATAAAATTTATTTAAAGGCAATTTTTGGATGAGTGCTGGTGTAAAATAGCACAAATGAATTTTGTTAGAAAATTCCATGCCAGCAAATTATATCCGTTACGATCCTTTTGCTTATATTGACGTTGAGTAAACTATTGAGTGTTTCTAAAATTAAAATATGATAATTACAACTGCTACTAATACCGTTTAAGAAGCTTTTCGTGTTACAGTTATGAACATCGTAAAAAAATCACGTCTATCAGTAAAGTAAGACATTTAGATAGCATCGTTGCAGCATACTATTTGTAACTGATTAATAGAAATCGTTCAAATCTGTTTGTATACACAGATGACGACTCCTTAGTTCTCGTCTAAGAATGAATGATATAACTGAGAAAGTCAGACTTTTTTTCATATTACAAGTCAAGTCCATTCAGGGTATTAAAAATACTTTTCCTTGTCAAATCTAGTTATACGCTTTCAACGGAGTGATCTATTTTCCACTGATTTGTTTGTTTTTGTTTGCATAGTTCGTTCAACTTGGATGCTATCTAATTATGTATTGCTTCTCACGAAATAAGATCTGATTATTAAAAGCGAAGAAAAAAGTTTCACATATCGACCGTAGATGATGGTCACACTTCTACACTGTCAAACGTTTTTTAACATTGAAACTCTATGCTGACGCAGAAATAATTCGCCTTGTGAAAAAATATGCTCTATAGGTACTTCCATTGCTGAGAGACAAAGAAGTTTTACTGATAGTTGACTCACATATTTTATATAAAAATGATTTTCAAGATGAAAAGAAAAAAACTTTTTTTTTGACCTACTGACTGGTTTACCTTCCATGGATCTTTTGAGAGCTGACCAAGTCACGCCTGGTTTGTCCAACTCTGATAAGTAATACAGCAATTTTAGCTTTTAATTCCATTAAAATCTGATTTACTGTACTTAGTATTTCAAAGCAATTAGAGAAGGATATTTTGACGAAACAATTCATTAAAAACAGTAGGAGGCGTTTCATTGTGTAGAGTAATAAACATCTTTTGAGAAAACTTTTATTTCAAGATTTTCCCGGAAAAGTCATGTTTTGAAATCCTTTGAAATAAAACAAACTGAACTATAATCTTAAATGCAATCTTTTTACAGATTACGTAGTCAGTTTCATCCACTTCCTGGCTTCTGCTCTGGAAAGAAATATCAACAAATCTTTTCTATAAGACAACTGTACTAGTGTTTGAAAATGCAAATTGTAGTAGACATTTTCCATCATACAGCAAATGATCGAATCGAAGCCTATTTTCTTCAGTTTGTCACATATTAATTTTACTATGCACCTTCTATAATAGAGAATGTTTTGGAGAACAAGAAAATTTCTGCAAGAGAAAAGCCAATGAAAAAAAACTGTCATCGACAACATATTCATGAAGCTGCACTTTTTCTCTATAAAAAGGAATGTAAAAAAGGGACAATCTTATTCTTGTTTTACAAATGTCTAATACAACTACGTTGCAGTTTATTACACGCTTGTTCAATTATACTCTATCGATTCCAATGATTGTCTTTGGTATCATTGGAGCAATTTTAACGGTTATAATTTTCACCAAACAGCGGTCTTTTTGGCTTCATCCTAGTATAAATTATCTTCTAGCCGGTGCGATCATGACTGGAATACATCTGCCATCGATTTATCTACAAAGTATACTTGTTAATGGTTTTGGCTTAGGGCTTTTCAATACAAATATGATTGCTTGTAGGGAACATAATTTTCTACTCTATATGACTACTGTAGCAGCTATTTCATTTCCATGCTGGGCAGCTTTCGATCAATATGCTTGTACTTGTCACAGTGCCAGTTTTCGTCTTCGTTGGAGATCACTGAAATTTATTCGAATAACTATAATCGGTACAATATTATTTTGGATTATTGTCTATCTTCCTATTATATTCGTGAGTGACATCATCAACGGCCTTTGCATATTAGGACCCAGTTATTACACGACGTTCAACACCTTTGTATTGACACCTTTCGTGTATAGTATTGGCCCCATTTTTGTGATCACTTTTTTCACATTAGGTACGGTGAAAAACCTTCGAAATGCTGCCGCTCATAAACGGCAAGGACGCTTAACTAAACAGGTTCGTCGTATGTTAATCCCGCAATTGATTGTACTTGTTGTTGCGGGTGCTCCATTTGGCTTTGAAGGTATCTATTTAAATTTAACCAGTAATATTGAGAAAAGTATTTTTCGTTTGGGCCTCGAGAATGTATTTTCACAACTCATTCTTCTATTATTTCATTGCAATTATGTGTGCACATTCTACATCTATTGGTATATGTCTAGTGAAGTAAGGAAAAGTACACAACAATTGTTCTGCAAGCGTCTTACATTAAACTCGATCGGAACTACTGACACTATTAACGCCAATACAATGGCCCTTCGAGCAAGGAACAGTGAAAATTGCTCGGGCGATGCTTGAACAAACTTTTAGTGTAACGATTTCTGTATTAGCAATCGTGTTGTCTCGTTTGTGCATATAAAGCTGACATTAAAAAGTTGCTTATTTTTATTTTATTCATTCTGTCTTTTAAATAAATAAAAACCATTGACATTCAAGAACTCTATTTCATTCTCTAAATGTGTGGCTTCACTATTTTCTTTCAACTTACTGAACATTCTCACACTTCTTCAGAGATCATTTGAGTGTATTGACGCTTGAAACAAGACAAAAATAGATAGGATGTAATAATTTTCATCCAACCATATAAATGGGAAGTTATAATTAAGTGAAGAGAAAAAAATTATCAAAATCATGGTGCGTATAGATCTGATGTTTCACTAGTCGACGATCTTGACTTCGATCTGTCCAGATTCTTGTTTTTCTTCAATACCAGTCAAGATTCTTTGTAATCATAATGTTCAAGCAAGATTCTTCGGACAGAAAAGAAGCAAGATTCTTGCCTTTTACTCAAGAAAAACACGTTCTTGTCTGATTGCTCAGATACATAAGAATCAAGCAAGAATGGCAAGATATTCAAGACTTTTTGAAATTCAGACAAGAATCTTCTTTCTTTCCTGTCGCAAAGAATCTTGCCTGAAATTCAAGATGAGATGAATGTTATCTGATTCATCAGAAAAGTCTGAATCTTGAATGAATTACAAGATATTTCAAATTTCTTGGAATTCAGACAAGAAACTTTTTTCCTTTCCTTTCAACGATTCTTATTATATCTTAAAGAAAAATATCACGTGATGTTATTATGTATATATACTTATGAATATACAGAAGTTTCAAAATTATATTTTTTTTAGATGACGCGGACGAATTATAACAGACGTATTTTTTAAATACACAGTTTCATTCAACTTTTTTTCGTTTTTTTTTAAATTTTTTTGTACGCGTTCTGAACATATTGTATATTTCCGTGCATGTGTAATGTAATTTTTTTGTATTGTTTTTAATTTGAAATTATAATAAAATAGGACCGAAAGGAGGCAACCGTATGGATGCCTAAATGAAATTCATTTGTAATGCAAGATCTTTGTCAAAAATGGCAAGAATTGTAAGAAAACAAGAATCTTGCCAAAATGGCAAGAAACAAGAAACAAGAATCATGCCAGAAAAGCAAGAAACAAGAATTATGCAACAATTGCAAGAACACAAGAATCTTGCCTGGCGAGGAAAGAAATGTCTCGCCAGGCAAGATTGTATCTACACGAATCTTGCCAGAAAGTTAAGATCTGCTTTTTCAGACAAGAATCTTGTCTGATATTCAAGAAAAACAAGAATCTGGATAGATCGAAGTCAAGATCGTCGACTAGTGTTCTTAAAGACAATTTCATTAGAAATTCCTGCAGCCCATTTCAGTTGTAGTCAGACCAGAGATAATAATAATTGTTTGTGTATATTGGCAATAATTTAGAAATAAGAATTATAGTTTTTACAACAGCATATAGCATGATTTTAACTGAGATTTTATCTCAAGTGATAAGGATTATAATATCTATATCAACCAATGTGGCGTTATAGAGATTTACTTTATTTTTTATTTTTTATTTATTAATGTTTTTTTTGTTTTATTATCTCTTTTTAGATATTAAGTTGGTTGGTATTCCTTTATTTTTAGAATCGACGTTTCAAAGAATACATCGTCATTTTCAAGATTTAAATTTTTTGGCATGATTAGTTCGGAAATTGTATCGTTAGGCTGCTACTTATATACTATGTTTAAGAGAGAGAGACTAACCGTTATTCTGTTATTGTTCTGTAGAGCGAATAGGATTGTGAATCCTATTACCTCCATGAATTATCTATCGAGAAAAATAAAAGCTTTAATTTGTCCCGATTATTGCTCTGTAGACCGAATAAGATTGTGAATCCTATTACCTCCATGAACTATCGATCGAGATAAATAAAAGATTTATCTCGATCGATAGTTCATGGTGGTAATAGGATTCAAAATCCTATTCGCACTACAGAACAATAACAGAACAACCGTTAATCTCTCTCTTAAACATAGTATATAAGTAACAACCTAACGATACAATTTCAGAACTAATCGTTTCAAAAGATTAAAATCTTGAAAATGAAGATATATTCTTCAAAACGTCGATTCTAAAAATAAAGGAATACCAACCAATTTAATATCTAAAAAGAGATAAGAAGAAAAAAAGAGATATATATACATGTATATATGTAAATAAATAAAAAAAAATAAAGTAAATCTCTATAACGCAACATCAGCTGATATAGATATTATAATCCTTATCACTTGAGATAAAATCTCTGTTGAAATCATACTATATGCATGAGATTCCTAGTTCGGCTTCGAATATAAATCGACATCTAATAATTATTCACAATTCGAAAATAAACGAAAAAAAATCGCGACCATTTAAAAACTATCCCAGACCAAAGGAAAACACCGTCAAATTCGCAGCCCATTTATAATCTAGGAATAGATTTAGATTTCCTTTTTATAAGGTTTGGTCGGAGCGTGTCGATGTGGGTGTGATGAAACTCGGATATACGCGGGTCTACACACACACACAAACACAACATAGCAAGTGTGGGCGCCGGGGTAGGCGGACAACGGTCTACATACACGCACATCAGAGTTGGACAAGTCAGAGATTTTCCAAGTCACAAGTCAAGTCAAGTCAAGTCAGACTTGACTTGACTTGGGGCATTTTTGACTTGACTTGCCCAGCTCTGACCCACACCCACACCCAACAACGACAAAATAAAACGAAATCATACATGCAAGTCATAAAATGGCCTCAAACTTTTAATTCGAACAATCGAAAGTATACAGAATGAAGTGTAGAATAGTCAAAATACATTTAGGTTCACTGTCGACTAAGAAACGAGTCAAAGAAAACAATCCAACCCAAGTCGAACATTCCGGTCACCGGATCCCGTAGGATACTCCAGGAAATATGCGGGAAAGTCACCATATCCTGCAGGAAAGCACGGGAAATCACTGTAACATGGAAGCAGTATTCCGGTCAAAAACATGGCCGGACTTTTCCGGCGAATTCCTGCCAAGTTCCGGTGATTTCCGGCAGGAATTGATCAGAAATCGCCGGAAAAAATCCGAAAATTTTCCAACCGGAATACTGCTTCCACAAAATCAACGGAACGACCAGGAACCGGCCGTTTCCAGGTCGGACTGTTCGACCTGGGAATACACAACCATACGAAAAGTAATGCCTATCCGCGTACAACATCGAAAAAAGAGTCGTATTACTCCATATACTAAAACACTTCACATCACTAAAATTCAAAAACAATAAGCAGGTCTGATTTTCTTTGAATTGTTGATACAGATATAGCACATTCTTCAGCAGCATAGTGGCGGATCTACCAGTTAGGCTACCTGGTGATCGCCACTCCCCTTGAGAAATTTTTTCGGTTTTCCCCAGCAGAAATGAAACATAAATTAGTTGTTCTGTCTCAAATAGACTTGAAAAACCGTTTTTTGGCCAGGAACGCCACCCCCTAACATATTTTCTGGATCCACCACTGCAGCAGCAATATTTAAACCCGATACAAAAACAAATCCAAGTCTTTCATCCGAAAAAATTTTAATTGCACTAAACAAATTTATATTCATATGTCTCAAATCTACACGAAAATTAAAACTATCCAACAAGCATCACTTACTACAATCTCAATAAATTTTGCAGTTTATAACCAGGAAATCTAAATCTATTCCTAACCTATACTTGGGAGTGAATGTCAATTTATAAATTGTGTAATTTATTAAAACTAAATCTTTTCCTCACCATTGGGTGAAAACATGAAAGTGTTTTTTTTCCATTTATATTAGAAGTCGAATTAGGCAGCTACTCACAAATCGAGTAAGTTAAAGAAAAAAATTATCACAAATCTATCCAATTATCAACTAACACCAGAAGAAACATCAACATTAGAAAATGGACTTGATTTCATACATCCTCCAACAGAATTTGATGATCGGACACTCATCAGTAATATAGAAACTTATTTTGTTAATCTTTTAGGTCATGCAACAGATAAACGAGATTGTGAAGAACGTGATGAAAATGAAAAAAACAACATACTATCTCACTCCGAATCAACTTGCCTGTGCAAATGAAATCAGAACCACATGTAATAATTTTTGTAGAGCAGCAATAAAGAGCTTAAAAATATCTAACAACAGAATACAAATAAAATTAAGCAAGTATTAAAAAATCTATCTCAAAACCACAATATAGTAATTATACGACCTGACAAAGGAAGAGGAATAGTAATTTTAAACAAACAAGATTACATCAATAAATTAACTACTATCGTATCAGACACGACAACATTCAAAGAAATTGAAGAAAATCCAACAATCAAGCAGGAAAACAGACTTAATGCTAAATGATTAGAACTAAAGAATTCTGAATTTATCACACTACAAGAATATAAATATGCTCGTTCAACTGGATATCAACCAGCTCAAATCTATGGGCTACCAAAAATCCATAAGCAACCTGATCCAAATGGCATTCTACCAATACGACCCATATTATCTTCATCTAGAACTTTTAATTTTCATTTAGCCAAATTATTAGAGCAAAAATTAAACAAGCTTAGAGAAAATCCCAACATCACCAAGGCTGCTTTTACATTTGTTGACTGGCTCCACAAACTAGATATTGATACCAGCAATTATAAAATGTTATCATTCGATATTACATCATTATTCACCAAAGTACCTATAGATAGATTAATTGAAATAATATTGAACAAACTATATGAAAATAAACACACATGCATCGTCAGTAAAGAACCCAAACACAATTGGCGCAAGAAATGCATACAAAGAAAGGAAATGCAGACGTTATTGGATATGGTCACTAAGGAAAATCATTTTATTTTCAACGGCAAAATCTATCGTCAATGCAATAGAGTTGCAATGGGAAGCCCACTGGGGCCTGTATTTGCTGACATATATGTTAACTACCTAGAAGCTAAATTTCTTAAACGTATAAAAGAAAAAGGAGTAGCACACTACAAACGATTTGTAGATGACACATTTACACTCGTTTACAAAGACACACACAAAATAGATATACTCAACAGCTATGATAACCAAATTCAATTCACTTGTGAAGAAGAAAAAGAACAAACAATCTCCTTCCTCGATATTAAAATCAAACGACTGGAATCTCAAAAAAAAATCATTTGTCCCAAACATCTACCGCAAAGAAACATTCACAGGCCTAATACTTCAATGATCCTCGTATGTACCCAAAAATTATAAAGTAAGTACATTGAGTTCAATGATATACAGAGCAATAAAAATATATTCCAATTTCAAAGTCATGATGGAAGAGTTTGATAATATTCGAAAAATAGCAACAGATAATGGTTATCCTATAGGATTCATAGAAGCACAAATACGTCGTACACTTGATCGATATTACAATCAGGAACAAAACAGCGACAAACCGCGATCTACAAACAAAACTGATGAAAAACAGAAAGATCATATATGCACTGACATACCATATTATGAAAAATCAACTGAAAAATTAGGTAAAAATTGATCAAAATAGCTGCTTCATTTCAACCACAATTACAAGTACAACTAACTCAATGTCCTCCACCAACAATTTCCACATTCTTCACAACTAAAGACAAAATACCAACTTCACTCCGATCCGGAATAGTATATGAAATTACCTGCCAAGACTGCTCATCAGAGTATATTGGAATAACAATACGACAAGTACAACAACGACTAATCGAACATGGTCAACCTCCTGATACAACTAATAACAATGAAGCAATAACACAAACACACAATAATCCTCAACAACAAAATACAAGACCCATGCGTACAATCAAACCCATAAACAGATATAGTATCGATCCCAATGTAATGAACTAGTAAATCAACATCAATACAATCGAAGAAAAAACAAACGTAACTCAATCAACTCTTATGAAATTCCAACAAAAATAACTACAGTAAAGATCAAATCAATCAGTGACAATAACAACAACCACACTGCGGGGACATCGAGATAAATAAAAGCTTTAATTTATCTCGATAGATAGTTCATGGAGGTAACAGGATTCACAATCCTATTCGCTCTACAGAACAATAACAGAACAGTCGTTAATCTCTCTCTTAAACATAGTATATAAGTAACAACCTAACGATACAATTTCAGAACTAATCGTTCCAAAAGATTAAAATCTTGAAAATGAAGATATATTCTTCAAAACGTCGATTCTAAAAATAAAGGAATACCAACCAATTTAATATCTAAAAAGAGATAATAAAACCAAAAAAATATAAATAAATAAAAAAAAAGAAAATAGAGAGTAAATCTCTATAACGCAACATCAGTTGATATAGATATTATAATCCTTATCACTTGAGATAAAATCTCAGTTAAAATCATACTATATGTTGCTGTAAAAACTATAATTCTTAGAGATAATTATGATGCTATTTCAGCTTGCGGATTCATCAAGCATCCAAACTTCCTTTGAAATCATCTGAACAACAAAAACTAACAGTATCAGTAACATTCGAAAGAATAATATCATGTTGAGTTCATTTCTGGAAACAGCAAGGGGGAAACATCGTACTTTTGTACTTTAACTACTTTGAAGTACTTCGAGGTACTTTGCAGGACTTTAAGGTACTTCGAGATACTTTGAGGTACTTTCGTACTTTGAAGAGTAAAAGTACGATGTTTCCCCCTTGGAAAAAAAGAGTCAAGGGGGAAACGGCGAACTTTTGGACTTGAACTTATTTTGAGCTACTTTAAGCTAGTTCAAGTTAGTTCCAGCTATTCGAAGTAGCTTACTTTGACGTACTTTTCAACTTCAAATTTTCCTGAAGCTTCTTGTTCCTACTTTGGGCTACTTGGGTGGTACTTTGAGCTACTTCAAGTAGTCTACTTTGAAGTACTTTAGCGTACTTTTCTACTTCAAGTCCACCGTTTACCCCTTGAAAAGAATTAATGTGGACAAAATTCTTTTAATAAAAATTCTATGGGAAAATATTGAAGCGCAATATTTTTATAAGATAACTCGAGGAGTTCTACCTAAGCATATCAAAATATTAGCAATAAATTAATTAGTGTCGAATTGCCGACGATGTACTAGTCTTCAATTTGGATAATAACAAAGCATATTCTTTGGTTCAATATAAATTGGGTAGCGAACTACTTATTATAAGTATACATGCATAAGTCAAGTCAAGAAAAGAAAAGAAAGAAAAGTTAATTCTCATGTTATCTGTTCATTTTGCTTCAATTAAGTAAACATTGTTGAGTAAAATTTCTATAGAATAATCAACAAACATGCCATAGCCACGTGTATAATTCATTTGTCAGTCAGCTTATTTTCTCTTTCTCCTCCACTTATAGCCACTTGATTAGATTTTATTGTCAACATCCGGCCTTCATTGTCTCAATTGAGATTGAGTAGATGTCGAAAAGAGTAAACAAATAAATATAAATAATAGTTGAATTTACCATAAATACACAGGTGCATAAGAATCACATAGACATAAGGAGACAGTAGTTCTCCGCCTATCTGTCTCAGCATGATATTTAACACTCAACTATCGAACGAAAGCTAGGCTTTAATTGATCATATATGTATGATATAATCTGACGATCAGTTTTAATGCGCATGTTTTATATGTGCGCATTGTTCCTATAGCATACGAGAAGATTTAAATCGATTGACGACAATACAAGTTTGTTTTTCTAATGATTTAACGAATAAACAAATGGAACACCTGTATGGTTAAACGCCGCAAGGCATCTATCATGGGCCGAGTAACACTTTATTAATTATGTATAGATGTGTCATGTTGATATAAGAATATAAAGAAAATATCTATTTCAAGTCATGAAATAACTTATCAAGCTATTGCTACAATGAATGTATAGATCACACGAAAAAGCAGAATAAAAAAATCAAGACAAAGCAATTCACTGCTTTTTTTGTGGCCTTTTGATTTTAATCAGACAATCTGAAAAGATAAGTTTCCTATTGCTATCTGTGTTGAAAATAGTAAATACTAATGTTCCTATGGATATATTAACCTTTGTTCTTATGTTTAGATTTATTTTTATTATTTCTACTAGAAAAAGAAAGAAAGGAAGCAAATGATTGAAATTCGAAACGCACGTGCCACTTTCAATTTCCTTCGATTAGTATACATGAAAAAGGAAAAGATCAAAACAATGCACCACCATATCAACAGACTGAAAAAATGTCAAAGAAAGAACAAGGAAACTATTCATCGCCGCTACCATTGAAAAATATAAATGAAGTATATGTGCAATTGACTGCAATGAAATCGATATGACTTTGAATACAAGACACTTATCGATTCTTGATCAAAAAGAACACCGGCAATGATCTCTTGATCTAGTATAGTTGTGTGTCTCATCCGAAGGAATTCAAGGGTCTCATTTTACAAAAGACAAAGAGAAGCGATGTATTTATATGACATTTGCATGGATGATTGTCTCGTTGACAAATATCGCATTGAAAGACAAACGAAAAGGTGATGATGATCACTACTTGACCATATCCGGTGACCTAATCAGCATGAATAATGATTTCATACTTGACACATTTGATAGAAAAATAAATACGTTCGCCTGTCAATCGAAAAAAAAATGTGATAAGTCAATCACGACAAGTATGTATCTATGTATTTATGGTGATTAAATTAAAATATTTTAAATAAAAAAAAACTAGGTGATAAATCATAATTTGCAATTTTTTTGTACTTTTTGAAAGATAACTAGGGTTTAATTGTGACTTTTATTTTTTTTTCTGATAAAGTTTCTGGTCTATCTCACATATTTTTTTAAAGATGCATTTTAATGTGACCTCAAAAAAAAAGAACAAACTGAGTGAAAACAAAATGAACTTTGACAGTTCATTGAGAATCTTTTAATCCTCGCGTTGCTTTTATTACATAGAAGGCAGCATTCAAAAATTTTATTTCTCCCGATAATTTTAGAATCTTTAATTTAGTTGTTATTGAGAAAAGCGTAAACGTATCCGGGCAGTAGATCGGTTGATTTCATCATTAAAAACAACTTTTATTTCATCATTAAATAAAATCAAACAAATAAGATGGATCAATACATTTAAATAGTATTATGTAGATATATTGAAAAATAAATAATCGAAGAAAACTTGAATGTACATCAAGGGCTAAATAGCACCAGCGACCGGGGCACAATGAACAACAAACAATGTTTAAGAAAGAAAAAAAAAAGATTACAAGAAACAACGAAGTATACGAGATAAACGATAAATAAGTGTAATGGTTCGTTGGCCAAATCTGTGATCGATTGATGATGAAGTGTTGTTTATCTAAATAGAAAACAAAGTTTCCCATGAATGAAAATTATTAATCTAAATATTTATATTAGATGAAGATAAATTGAATTTTTTTCGAACCGATCATTACCTGTAGTTGTTCATCGATTTGATCACCAATTTTTCTTAACATAGTGGCAATATTAACAATAACTTCTCGTTGTTGTTGTTGCTCAATCATAATATCATTGACAAGATCAGGTAATTTCATTGATGGCATCATTTGTTTTTCACAACTAGCTGTGATTTTCGTCGGTAGAGAATGAATTATGGGTATTGTTAATGATAAATCCAGTTGGTGTTTACGATTATTAATTAGTAAAGATGATAAACGTCGTTTTCTTGACATTGTTGAAGCATGACAACGTTTTATGGGTGATAAGGTAATTGTCGTTTTTGTTGCCATTCTATCGATAATATGAATGTGTTGATTGATATGAAAATTGAAAATGAAGAACGCACGAACGGACGATCGCGATAGATTGAATGCGCGCGCGAGAGAGAGAGAGAGAGAGAGAGAGGGAGGGAGGGAGGAAGGGAGGAGAGGCGCAGAGAGAGAAAAGAACGAAGAAAAGTGTTGATAGATACGATGGAAAAAAAACAAATGGAACGTTTGCTTAATTGAAGAACAGAAAAAAAAAGTCTTTTTCTTAATTAGTTTAAAATAAAATTTAAAAACAATTCCAATGACCGTTGTGTTATACAACGAACAGATTGATATGATTTTTTTTTCTTAACAATCGAAAATCTTATGTTATCTCATTTAAAGAAAAGTTTGATTTCAGTAACATAAATTGATATTCGTAACTATACACTTGATCATATCTTAAGAAATAGAATTAGTTTTTTTCTCGCATCTACATATAGATATTTCTATTTGATCGACATGATGATAATCCTATGTTTGTCTATTGATATGTATAACACAAAATGAGGAAATATCAAAACGACACCTTTACATTTTACAATTGATTTTATTGTGTCATTAGTCGTGTGATGAAATTTAAGAGACGAATAAAAATAGATTATTGATTCATAGAAATGAAAAGAAGAATGGCGAAGTGTGTTTTGATCACAAGTTCAAAAAATTAAAAAAATTAAATAAAATTTACAGTTGACAACGAGCCACTTGACAATAGTTGAATGGAACAAAGAAATGTAGAGACAACGACTACAAACGAATCGATATGATCAAAAAAAGAAACTAATATGTTTCAAAATTGCGACTACTTGAATGATTATTGTCTTTTTTGACAATACATAAGTAGTTTAATATAAAAACTAAAAAGAAATGTTAATAATCGGAAAATTTTGATGCATCATTTCTTTTTCCTAGTTCTTTCTCTACATACACACATATGAACAATTAGATTGTGAACAACATATAGTACTATTATTGAATAAGCGTGAACACCATTGTTCTCACACTTGAGTAGTCAATGTCTAGCCAATTTTGTTCGTTCTATAGACATGCGATACCTTCTGCATCCTACTCATCATTTTTATACAATGAATGAACAATCATATACAGGAAGCAGTAGAGTCCATAGCATGCTACACCTGCATTCATACAAATAGGCGAGAGATTTTTTTTTAGTAAAGAAAAACATGATGAATTTTTCTCGTTCACCTATTGTTTGAGTAAGATGCATGTATATATATATAAAGAGAGAGAGAGAGAGAGAGAGAAATACATACTCGTGCAGACATATCATTTAGAAGAATTCACAGTAGGAGTCATTTTTTGTTTTTTTTTCTGGAAATGTAAAAATTTCATTTCAAGCGTTTAAAGAATCATAATCAAATGACTATCAACTTTCGCTTGTTTAATAGACAGTATTCTTATCACAATAATAGAATGTGTATATGATATGACTGAGGTGTACTTATTTGAATGACACGTGTCCTACTCAAATTACGTACCTTGTCACCTTATAGAATATCATGCTGAGGTGACAAGAAGAAACAGTACCTTATGGTTTGTTCTTGTTCATATAGAAGAAAAAAAAAAGAATCAACATTTCTTTATTATTATTATTATTATTATTATTATTATTATTATTATTATTATTATCTATGTAGAAATATGTAGTGATGGATCAGCAGATTACGTACTTAAGAGTATATTGATATACTTGTGCCAAAAGAAACCGAACGAGACAAATAACTTACGAGATTATTTTTTTTCTTTTGTCATATTTTACATGAATCTATTGTCGATGTTGGATTGGAAGAATTGAAACAATATATGTCAGAGATCAAAACAAGTTGAGTGTATTATAAGTGATTGTTAGCAGATAAACAAGAATATGAGTGCAATCATTTGAACAAATCAACAAGGTTGTTCTATGAATTCAATAAGAATAACTTATGTGTTTAGAGCAGTGCCTCGATTCATCTCGACTGAATGCCTTGAATATGATCGTCGTTCTGTTCAAGTTGATGGTCAAATCTTCTTATCATCGTTCAGTTGTATCTGATACTTTTTCTTCTCTTTACTAGTAATATCTCACGACAGTGTAAGGACAATTTGTGCCAACGGCATATTGAACCAGTGTCAATAAAGATAAAATATAAATTATTTTCAACAAACGAGTAGAGTCCTCGAACAGATAAGTCGCTTTTTTGTCGAACCTGTATACATTACATAGACTCGAACGAGTTAAATGTATAGCTGAGAAAAGGGTTTGTGACCTTGACTTCTTACTGTATATTTTGAAACATAGTATCATATTTGCCTCTGAAATATTGATTTTCGAATATCGATGTCACACTTTGCATAAAGACACGTGTGAATGAAAGTTTTAGGTCTCGCTATTTAGTTCTATTATGGTATAAGAACATTGGAACTCTCGGATTTTGTATGAACGACACAATAGTATCATTCTAAATCTGAGGATATAAACAGCAATTATTCACATTAATAATCTCGTGAAAACTATAGAATTCATGATGAAAATGTCGCTAGATGTCATTGTATGCACAGTATCCAGTCGATAATATACATTGTATATAAATCTTATTCAAAATTCAGCAAATTATTCTAGAAACCATCATGTTATGTTCGATATATCCTAAACGTTGAAAATTTATAATTACGAAATCTTCTCTTCTCTGTTACATGCTTAGTAGCTAATGAATTGAACTAAATATCAATGAAACTTTGTTCTCATTAGATGTCATATAAAATATGAACATGAACGCTACTTCAAAAAAATGTACATGTCTTGTTAAGTTTCCTTGTGATATTTTAGTTGGAAAAAGAATTCAGTGGTCTATTCAAATATCTTTCATAATGATTGTCGTAAGGCTGATTGTAAACAATTAAGTTTTCAAAGTACTCAGGGTGACAGATTTTCGCTCACATTCAAAAAATCCTAAAATGCGTGTAATTTCTTTTTAAGATAAATGCTTTTATTTCTTTCTCGGTTTAATCTAGTCTGCTACTTGATTCGATAATTAAAACAATCTACTGTATTCGTAACTCATTTTTTTTTATAGAAACGATTGAAAAATTGATTCCATTGCTTGATTTTCTGTGCTCTTATTGAGAGATAACTATTTTTCAAAGTTTTTCTTATTGAAATGTCAGATTTGAAAAGAACAAAACAAGATTCTTTTTATGCTTGCAGGATAAGTCGCGCATAATTCTTTACTTATACACATGACATAGAGAAGAGAAAGAGAGAAAAGTATAACATACACACAAAAATAGACAACGAGAACCAATGTCGATCTCGGGCGCTAAAGCTATATATATATATATATATATTTATATATAATGATATGCGTTATGGGGAAAAAACAAAACAAAAATCAAAAATAAGAATACAGAGAGCGAGAGAGAACAAGCGGGTTTTTTGGCTTTCATCTTCATCATCAACATTATTTTTCTTCCTTTTGTTGAATAACCCAAAATCACAAATAAACTATATACAAAAGAGTAGAGAAACAACAAGAAAAAAACAAAATGAGAAAGTGAATTCTTTTTCATTTGTTTTTGTACTATCGGACAACATGCCGGTAAAAGAGAAATTCATGACAACCAATGTGAACTACTGTTCCTTGTTCGATTTGGGCAGGTCCATCCCATGCTGAATGATACGATGGTGATGTTAAACAGAAACATTTTCGTAAATTATCATTCTCAAGTATTTTCTCATCATTTTCATCATCATCATCACTTTCAGTATCAGATAAATTTCCAAGACCATAACGAAGACCATTAACAATAGTGCCATATTCACTATAATTTAACAATTCAAATAAATTACGTTTTCGATCATAGTATAAGCACGCATGTCTTTCAGAAACATATTGGCATGTTTGATAATCATTAAAAGTTTTTAAACATATCTCATTTGATATTGATGAACCAAACCAAATGACTTGTTTACGTAGATAAATAACATGTTTTGAACGTGTATGTATAAGAGCTGCATGAGATAAACGAAATTGTGAAAGATCTATTAAAAGCGAGAGACTATTCATTAATGAAGTTCTAGGAAGAAAAGAAAACAATTTTGTATTTTTTTTTGCACCAAGAAATATAATATTTACGATAGTTGTTTCGATGGTAATGAAGAATTCTCATCGGATAAACAAGAATCAGCTACAGCGAGAAGAACTGCAAGACCATCGTTATTGATTTTGTTGTTTTCTATTGAATAATTTGGTTCATTTAATTCATTCAATAGTATATCTATTTTATCGAGTATTGTTTCTTGTGATTTTTTACTTGTTTGATCATTGCCATTCAATAAAGAAGAATCAGATATCGATGAAAATTCATAGATGTGACCATCGCTGATATCATTAATTATTGCTTGTAATACATCCCATACACATGGCTCATATGATGTAGATGAACGATCATTAACGACCACAGGTGCCTAAAGCATAATAAAATATATCAAATTTATTAGATGTAGGAACCCAAATCTGTCCTAATTCATTAAACAGGATATATGTAAGTAAGAGACAGTTTATTGTTCTTTTACTGAGTTAAACGTTCTGAAATAGTTGGAATAAGAGATTTTGAGTTTAAATTTCCTGAATTTTTCTATGAAAACTAGTACACCTTTCTCGACGTATTCAATTGACAAAAAGAAACAATTTTTTGTCCTAGGGAAACAAAATATCGCCTATAGGTTTGCTTAGGGAGCAAAAGTTTTTTTCCTAGCTGCTATGACTATGAAATGTATTTACACAGTAAAATGCTTTATTTTGCTCATCTATTAGCTAGAAATTTTTGGAGCAATGTATAACTCTTGCTAACGAAATGATCAATCTACAATATTAACTGATGTTAGTTTGTCTCGTTCAACCTATTTATGGTATCTATAAAATATACCGCAATCAAAATGTTAAAACTATAATTTTTTATCATAGCTTTATTAACGAACAACACTCACATATCTTTTGCTAATAAAATCGCTGAAATCCTTCTACATGAGCATACACTTAAAAAAACACAATCGGATGTTACCTGTATGCATTCTTCTTTCTCGTCTTTAGTATCATCCATAAAGTTTTCATCGGCATGTGTGAATTTTTTATTTGCATTTGAATAATATTGTTCAATAACTTTAGGTATTTGACTTATATCGATGGATCCCAATTTATTATTATCTACTGTTTTTGATAATAAATGTTTTTTTGTTTGTCTCATACGTGTAAATTCTTGTATGATTGTATTATGTTCGATTTGTGAATATTGTCGATAAATTTTTACACGTTCACTAGTAGAATAAATATTTTTCTTTAATAAATATCGATCTAATATTGGTTCGATATGATTTGGACACATCCATTTATCCATTGACGATGGTAATGATGTCATTGGTGGTGTTAAACAATCTAGGTGATACGTTAATGGACAATAATCACAATGAATTGATGGAATATGATTTGCCGAACATTTTCGACAAATAAAACAAAATTTTTGCCATGATAAAGTATTTTTTTGAAAATAGGTATCACGATTATAGTTTTGATCCTCAAACGGTAATGATGGACCGCGAAATTCTTCTGGTCGACATGAAAGTAGTAAGCGGCGTAGCGATTCAATTTGTGTTGTGGGAATTTTTACAGATTGCAGAGTATTTGATGGTGAAGAACTCGAGGAATCATCACGTTTACGTTTGAGATTCATTGATGACTTGATTTTAGTTGTATTATTTGTTGCACGAAATTTTATTTCACCAGATGGCTGTATTAATGATCGACCATTGGATGCTAGAAAACAAATGAAAAAAATCTATACTTTCTCGAATTTTATTAAACACAATGATACATAGTGTATAAGACCTTCGAATACTTCACTCATGAATATATCCATAAGAAAGAACTTGATTTTATCTTATTAGCTGTTCGTTTGTATTCATAAGTATGCATACAGATGATTGTATAAGATTATTTATTTCTCTACAATTAGCTCTTCTTCTCTGAATAAATAATATTAATAAACAATAGGCAAGAATAATCATTTTGAAAAATTCCATTCTGAGTTTTACTCATATTCGATTAGAATAGATATCTACTCAGAATATCATTTTTCGCTTCGTTCACAACTTTAATGGAGAATAAAGTTTATTGTGACTTTCAACATAAGAAATCTGCCAAAACTCCAATTGAGCAGTTTTTGTAGATTACCGAAAATTCTCATTCTATTCAAATTGTTGAAAGCATACTCCATCGCTTAGAACAATAGTAATATATTTTCTGAGAAATAATCATGCTAATTCGTGCAACGTTTGATCTAGATCTATTGCTTACGGATCGGTGCCTATACTTTCTTCTTCAAAGTAACGACAAACGAAAGAATCCTTGCAAGAGACTCACAGTTGATGTAACATGAAATTTTACCTGTTGGTAATTTAATTTGTCCCAAAGTTGATTGTTGTTGTGGCAGATCTTTTTAAATCCATTAATATTCAATTTCTTTTTTGGTTCAAATGAAAATGGTTTTGAGATTTGTACATTTGTTTTCGTGTGTTTATCTTTGTTTGTTAATTCATCTTCTACTTCTTTAACTCGACAATTCTCACAAAAATAAGATCCTTTTGGAACATTTTCTCTTGATAATGGCGGATTAGCACAAAGAAGATGAAATGTTGCTGGGCATTTATCACATGATATCATTTCACCGTATAATTCTCCGCATGAATCACAATGATCATTATTGATAACATGATGTTCGTTTTTAATGGCTGATGTTGGAATGTTTTCCAATTGAGATTTTTTCTCATGATGATGATGATGTAAAATAGGATGTGCAAGTAAATGTCGCGAATGTTGTGGTTGTTTAATTTTTTTCGTTGAATTATTATTTGGATCATTTTGAATGGGACGTCTTTTTGATGATTCATTTGTTGGTGTTTGCTTTTTAGGTTTTTCTTTTTTCATTGGTCGTGTCTCATTAACACTTGATACAACTAATTTTGCTTTTAGACGTTTATTTGTTGCTATTGTACTATTACTGCTGGTACTGCTTGTACTACTTGTGCTTGGTAGACGTTTCGAAATCTCTAAAAAAATAAAATAATTTTATTTTAAATTACTTCAAACGTACGATTTATGGAGCTCGAAGAAAATGTTGTTTTATTTTTTTTTAATTTAGTGATGTGCAACAAGAATTATTTTTCGCACTTGAAGCGTATAAAAATTTTATTGGCTGAAACCTCTGTGGGACGTACCTAGTTTTTTGTGTTACATAGTTATTACAGAATTAATAGATTATATAAAATTAGTTTCCTCTGTTATTGCCAATAGCAGTTACATCATGTTTCATAATTTTATCTCATTAGAATCTTCTAAATAGTTCTGCCTTATAGAATAAATTCAAGTTTCGGAATTTAAAAATAACCTCAATAGTAAGAGAAAACTCTATGCAATATTTTTTCCCACTCAAAGATCCGTAGCTATAGTAAATCATAAAAATGCACAGAATTCTAAAATACCAACCATTTTTTCCATTGTACACCATCGATGTTGAAGGCGGTTGAAAACCATTCGTATTAGTACTCATCGTTCAATATCCATATTGAGACACGCTAGAGATCGATAAATTATCTAAAAGTAAATATAAATTATCAATTCAATATATCAAACCAAAACTTTATCATAAACAACTGCATGATTCCTCCTTGTATATTCTAAAGAAGTGCTCAAGTTATTCAATAAAATATTAATTATCCTAATGTCTAATAAAAAACAAAAAACAAAAACAAAATATTTCATATAGAAAAGGAAAGATTCTTACTTCATATAAAAATAATGTACCGTTGAAAGTTGAATGTCTTGTTAGTAGAAAAACACAAGGAAATACAACAGTAAATCACGAAACTTTTCTGCTCTTTAGTTCTTATTTGAAATAAATAAATTGTGAAAACAGTAAGTAAGTAAATACACAAGTTTCATTTTGACAATCAAGGTTAATTTGATAAAAATCTATCATTTGACTGTTACTGTTTTTTTTTCTAGTAACCTATAATCAGACCATGGCAAAAATACTGTACTAGAATTTATTTTTAACAGAAAGAACTATTCAATATAGAGAAAAACTGAGCCATAATAAATGTAGAAATGGAAATTTAACAACTGATTTTTTGTCTTCTATCGGAAAGAGAGAGACAAGACAAAAAGAGAAATATTATTCTATTGGTCTAAATAGAGGTCACTGTAATTCGATGGTGACAAAAACAAAACATTCAAGAAAAGAGAAAATCACTTTTTTTGGAACCAAAACAAGATTTTTAAATAAAATTTCGTTTTAAATTAATTTTATAAAGAATTTTTTAATTAATAATGAACATAAATTTCTATGCCATAAAAAAACAACAATGAATATACTCAGAATTTCGAATAATAGATAGATCTCGCTACTTCATTTAGTAGAGCAATATTTGATTTGACTTAGAAAAATATCGCAAAACAAAATGCAATTAAATATTAATTTCTAAGAAAATTTAAAGACCAAAAAATTTCTTTAGACGATTGTATTATCTAGTCTCTGTAAGATAGGCCAAACAATAAGCAAGAAATAAGTCAGAATGTTGTTTTAATACGAACCGATCAGCCGTTCACCGCTAGTGGTTGCTACTCTTACAAAGTCTAGCTAACTAATATTTTCCGTTATTCAAGCACCTTTTACATGAATAAAGGAACAATTTAACATGAGAAATTCCATATTAAGCACTTGTTTTATGACACTTCCTGTATGCATTCAATTTTAAGTTACTACTAGAAAATCGACGCTACTTTTGAAGCTATCTTTGGCGAAATATTTGTGTAGCGTCCTCTAAAATCTTATTAGAGCTTACATTGCATCTTTTCTGGAGTATATTTACTATGAATTTTTTCAGTGAGCGGCTAGTTGTTTGTCATCGCTTCTTCGAGACATATATCATCGTCCGTCGGACTCACAAATACAGTCAAGCCAATTCGTCATCCCTACATCCTTTCGAAACATACGGTTAATCAGCATATGATACTAAGCTATTGCTAAAAAAAATGCCAATATTACATGTTTTGAAACTGATACGAAATTCATAGATTCCAATCACCTGATTACTTCATAGACATGTGTTCGTGAGCTACATTTTCCACGAAGCCCTATTTAATAAATAACAGATTCCATCTTGGATTTTTGAGGTGCAACATTACTGCTTGAATGGCCCGATCAAAAAATATTCTCTTTCGATTTTATAAAGAAAACGACCATTTCCATAGAATAGCGTGCTCAACACAAGAGGAACGTTTTTCGAAATTGCGAAGCAACCAATGAGGATTCGGATTCTCCGACTTAGATTACCTATGGCCAAGCTTTATAAAAGAAATCATAATTGTTTTCTTGAAAAGGTCACTTCCCGTCTTAGGAAAACTACAACTCAATGCATTTTGAATAACCCCTCCTTCAGTCGAGGATGGACCATTGCTGGATTGCAAGAAAAAGCAAAACCTCATGAAAAGTTACAGAAGCGTAAGGTTAAAGTGGCATATTTTTGTTTTGTGTAAATCAATATATGAACATACCCGCCATGAGCGAATGCGATGAACTCCTTTTTTTGTATATATCCTCCTTTGAGTAGAGGGAATACATGTGCCGCCTTTGAAATTGTTACTTGCTTTTTTCGAATTTTTCATAGATTATTATGCTCTGTTTGTGACTTCTTTATTCCGAAAGAGCCATTCCAAACATGTATAACAACAGGGGTGTGACGGCATAATCGTCACTGATGTTATCTTGGTGCTTGCTTGTTTCTTTTTCTAGCTTCCCTCTCATTTCCTTTTGTTTTGTTTTTGGCGCCTAATATTGTTAATTCAATTAATAGGTATTCTTCTCTTTTTTCTTCAAACTTGTTCGTATATCTCTCTTCTCTGAGATATACCTGTATTAATTCTTTTAATACCTTTCACTCATCATTCGAATGCAACTTCGCTACTGCTATTTTTCTTCTCAATTTAATTATTCCTTACAGTCACTGCAATTCGTTTCAGCTACTTGCTTGTCGGGTTCTTATCCGAATCTATTTCTTGTTTATTGAACAAACTATTGGATCTTCATCCAATATTCAATACCATTTAATTTTCTTTGCCGTCATTCTGCCATTAACTAATTATTGTAGCACCTAGTATTTTTATTAGTTACGTCTCTGATACTACTTATCAAGGCGTTGCGAGTTCTGTCTCCCGTCAGCCTGCCAACGATTGCTCTGCACAATTACTTACTTTAAATTTTGAATCACCATCAATTCCTTTACCACCATAACTACTATCTCCGTCATTAATGGAACGATATTCTTTTGAGGAAATGGCGATGACTTAATGCGATCCTTTCGCCATTCAACTATTGTAACAATTATTTTTTTTCGAAAACTGATAATGCTATTCGAAACACAACAAATAAATCTCATAATATGATACATGAACATATTCGAGATCAATTACAAATATTTTCCCATCGTCTTGCACGTGTTAAAAAATCAAGATCTACACGAGCATTCGTCAGCACAGATTCTAGACCTATTTCCAAGTCACTCCGTTGAAATCGAAAACTCTGCAATTCTTTGGTCACAACGTCTTCAAGCACAAGAAGAAATTAATCGTTTGAAATCAGAGCTTGCGATAGTACGCTCACAAATTAATAATAATCAATCAACATCACATTCAACTCAACCATTACCATTGATGTCAACACAGTCAATGAATAATCATTTGTTAATTCCAGAAGCACACGTTTTAGCCGATAAATTACCACATACTCATAGTCGATCATCAGCTTTAAACTGATTCAAAATTTGGTGAGTGATAATCATGCTCATAGTTCACAAGTACGAACAGTCACCAACATTATAACACCTAATGCTATACGGTCATCACCATTACTTATACCACCAACAATATTAGTTGCATCATCACCATCTTCGTCACAGAATGTTGCTTCTCAATTTTCTAATACAAGTCAATCGCCACAGCCAACATCAATTGATAATGAACAATTACTACAACAACATTTATGCATTAGCACTCAAAATTATAGCACTAATACATCATTCAATTAAACTGCATCGTCGACAATCCACAAAAAAAATGTGCAATCAATAGCACAATCTGTATCACATACATCTTTACAACGTGTTCAAGCATAATCTACAAATACAGTTGATATATCCCATAATGAAGCAATTGATCGTTATCATTTACCATCCACAATTCATATTACATATAAAAATGCAAGTAGTCATGCTGCACAACAAAAAAGATCATTTGATACCAATGCATCTCAAACACAAACAAATAATTCCCAAAATTTAGGCAATTTTAGAATCCAATCCACTTATCCAACATCAACGAAAATGGGAAATTCCAATTTACAATATCAGCCATTAGAACAAAGAAAACCAGCTTCATCAAATCAAGCCCTAGTCAACTCTCCCTAGAAGAATCTCTTCGTCATGCAGCATTTAACAGAGTTTCTTTTGCTAATTTTCTTTGGCGATTTGCTTGGAGCTTATGAGGCAAATTACCAGTTGACTATGACGTACTGAACTATAGCGATCATTCTATTTATGAGTATCAAATGGGTATGTCATTATCACGTGACTTCTGACACAGACAACTGTAAGAACATGATCTCAGATGTTCATTGCCACTTTCAATGGATCGACAGGTTGCCTTAACTGAGCAACGATCTGGTTGCGGGTCTACTGCTCAAATCAGTTTCAATGAGGATTTTTGCACGGCACTTCTAAATTATGTCTCTGAACATAGGCACACACTCTTTCAAGTGGTACTGGCCATAGTCTGCGTCTTTCTCTTCAAACTAACTCACGAGCAGACTGATCTTTGTATCACATGTATCGATGCTAACAGGTATAGAACAGAATTTATGAATATTGTTGGAATGTTTTTTGCAGAAGTACCCTAATATATTCTGCTTGATTCTGATTGGCCATTCAATGAAGTTGTCAAACATGTACGAAATATGCATTTATCAATTGTAGAACATTCTCATTATTCCTTGTAAAATATTCTTCATGATTCCGATCAAACATGATAAATGCTCCATGTCTTCAGGCAGCAATAAATTTTATCACCATTCCTTCTCATGCGTATGATTTATATTTAAACGAGGCAATCTTTAAAAAACTACCATTAGAACAAACATTTGAAATGGCAGACGTTGATGGTGGATTGACATTCCTGTACAATCCAGCCTTACAAGATAGAAAACGTGTGTGCAGATTTATATGCTTACAGGACTTATTTGATGAGACAACAGTAGAAGACATGCTAAACAGATTTCAACAGCTTTTCGTTCAACTTTTTTCTTCTAAGGAGTCTAGGTTTTGTCAAACTAACAAATCTTCTATACCAATCAAGAAATTATCGATTAATTTACCCAATGAAAGTAAAGAAATACCAACAACAATCTCTGCTAGATTATCAGATCTTTCCAATGAAGTTACACACGATGAAAACAGAAAAGATAAAACAGTTACACACAAACAATGACTCATTAGCTTGTTACATTCTTCGATTCAAATATAAAATTAATTTAAAACAATTTATCCATTTTTACTCGATAACTGATTTTATTTTTACTATTATTGTTATTGTTAATTCACTGTAGCATATACATAGAATTGATTCAATATAAACATACATACAGTATCAGAAAAAGACAGACGTTTTCTAGGACGAGATCGAGACGATGAAATCATCTTTGCGCTAGATTGATAGTATAAAATTTTCATGTATTATTTACGCATTTAAGTAAATAATATTTATACATGCTCAAGACTTTGTCAGGGTGTGAGTATGAGTACATTGTGCAGGAAAGAGGGAAAAGGCTACCTGTACTCACACTTCAGTCCCGGATTACGGAAGTCTCAATTTTTCATCTTGGGTGTCGGTTTTTCGGTTTGAGCATTATCAATCTATACGCACACCCTACACCCATACCCAAATGAATCTTTTAACTTGATTTCGATGTCATGATTGTAAGTTTCATGAAATGAATCTCCACGCAAATATAAATTGGTGAGCACCTGAATGTAGTCAGTCATACTGTGGGGACTGAGCCTCATCACCCTTAAATTGCTGATTAGGCCCCAGTACTGATATCTAGGATGTATTGGAATCAGCATGAGATTCAATTCGTTCGGTCTTTCTCAAAGCGTTCTTCCATAGATGGCACAGACATGCTTTTTTCGTATATGAAAATTCAGTAGTAATAACTGCCCTAGTCGAACTTTATTTTTGCAAGCGCATATAACTCTTGACTCTCTTGATCAAGAAAGTCAAGAACTATGGGCGCATCTTGAGGCAAGACATGAGGCCGTTCAGTGAGCTCAAGTTCTTAAACTTCTTGCTCATGCGCTTGAGTTTTTATCTAAGCGTTTCTGTTATTAAAGAACTTTTTAAATTTACGTTCAAAATAACTCAACTTTTAATAAAAATTTATAGTTGCATTTTTTTGTAACTCATGCAAACATTCAAGCGGTTGTCTTCAGCAAAAACGTCATGCACTATGGGCACATTTAGAACTCAAGTCTTGGCAAGCGCATGAATAAAAAAGTTCGACTAGGGTATTTATATTTAAGAAAATGAACTCTTTTTATTAAATGTAAAATATAAAATTCAAGAAAATGAATTGAATTCAAGAAAGGAAACCTGTAAATGGGAGATATGCGCTCAATGTTAGAGGTGCAAGAAATCCATCAATGACGAAATCGGATTGGTTATTTATTTCACAAATAGAAAATTGCTATTGAGTCATGATTAATTTTTTCTTCAATGCATATTAATATTTTACTTGGTCGAAATTAAACCAATAAGATGATGAGAAAATAAATTAATGCATGTTGTTTTGTTACTTTTGTTTACAAAATTATTTTTTTCTGTTGAATGAGAACAACGAGATTTAGAAATCGATTAAAACGGATATGAATTGGAATTTAATGGAGACATAGGAATTCTTGGTTTCAACATACGGTTACATTGAACCAATCAGTAGTTTTGTAGTTAGAGGAACAAATATTTTTCTAAAATAGAGTTCGTATAATTTCATTTTCGTTGAATCTATTTTTCCACAAGTAATATGTGGAAAGAATGAATATGGTTGTTATTTTTACATGTTCGCTGTTAGTATAGTCACAAGATTGATTGTTGCAATTCGCACAGCTCGGCGTGAAAGTAATTATTGTGTCAAAAACAGTACATCAGTAGTGATAGTTCATCGTATAAAAATGTGATCTTGCTTTTGCCTGATATCAATACTACTAGACAGAATAGCATCAATATTTATGCGAGAGTACCAAACAGTAACGTACCTGAAAAACGAACACTATCAATATCTCATAATTTATTAATTACAAAAAGAAATAGTTTTTCTTTTCTTTCTAGAGTTATCGTTTTAGATCAACAAGAAAATATCAAATATGCCAAAAACAATTCTTGCACGCAAAAAAGCTGTAAGTTCTTTTGTAGAAAGCTTAATAAATTTATATGATTCTCTTCATATCTATTCATGTGATGATTCTAGATGCAACCAGTTGGTTTCCGCGCTCAGTCCATACTTATCGATGGTCGTGGTCACTTAATTGGTCGTTTAGCAGCAACAGTAGCTAAAACAATATTGCAAGGTCATAGTGTTGTTGTTGTACGATGTGAAGGTCTCAACATAAGTGGATCGTTTTATCGAAATAAACTTAAATATTTGGAATTTCTTCGTAAACGATGTAACATTAATCCCGCACGTGGCCCATTTCATTTCCGTGCACCATCAAAAATCTTTACACGTATTGTACGTGGAATGGTACCACATAAAACTGAACGTGGTAAACAAGCGTTAGTTCGTCTACGTGCATTTGAAGGTATTCCAACACCCTATGATAAAAAAAAACGTTTAGTTGTTCCAAGTGCATTACGTACGTTACGTTTAAAACCCAGACGTCGTTTCACTGAACTTGGCCGCTTATCAACTGAAGTCGGTTGGCAATATCAAACCGTTGTTGCAACATTAGAAAAGAAACGAAAAATCAAAGCTAAGCATTATCATTTAAGACAATGTGAATTGAAAAAACTTAAAACAAGTGCTAAAGCAAAATTAGCTTCAAAGCCACAAGTTGCTAAACATCTTGCCGTACTTCAAAAATATGGTTATCAACTCTAACAAGAGAGAGAGACAAAAAAAGATAACATCGAAACAAAAGAAAAATCTTTTTTCCTTGTTATTTTACTTTTAATTGTTATAGCGAAAAAAAAAACAACAGTTCGATATTGATGAAAAGAATAAAAAAAACCTAAATAAAATAAAATAACATAAAATAAATATCGATTACGTATAACAACTGAGCAACTCAAGTTTGTTTTGATTTCTACTATTCTTATCTCTCGTTCTCTGCTTGTTATAGATCACTTTTAACTAATTAACTAACACCCGGTGATGGAAAATTTCCCCCTCCTTGCATCAGCCATCATTCTTTAACACTAATCAAGTATACTGTATGTATTATATTGTAATTGTCTACGTGAACACGTGTATTTCTCATCAATTTAATCATGCATGATTAATTAATTGGCCGTAAATTGCATGCAACGATCAGCATGTTAATATTTTTGTCTTCTTTTTTTCGTTTAGAGAAAGAAGCCTTACTCATCAATGATTCAACCATCGGTCCTTTTCCCTCTACTGTAGTATTAAAATTTCGTATGAGATTGTGTAACTTAAATGTTGGCTTGCACGTGTGTCACATTAACACGATTTTAGGAACGGCTGTAGACACTCCCTGACGTGAAATCGTCCGAATGTATTTTTAAGCATTAACGTTAAGACTAGATAAATGTATGACAGAATAACCAACCGTTCTTTTTGCATCATCATTCATTTGTATGGTTACGAAGGAAGTCTTCTAAATGATAAATCGCTTTTTAGCCGAGACAATGCATATTGTGTAGGCACACATGAGCTATGAATACCATAAAAAGAGTTTACCCTTTTTAGTTATTGTTGTAGAATTACTGCTATTTTACAATGTGTGCGTTTTGTTTTGAACTTTACGTTAAGCAAGAAAGTTCACCGAAGGTAGTGTTTCGTAAATATTTTAGATCTTTGTATTTTATTTATTCTAATAGAATGTAAGACATTCAATTAAAAGAAAGCATATATAAGTAGAGCAGCACTGCAACCACAGAAAAAACTAGACGAACAATTTCCACTAGAGTGAGAGATTATTACTCAGCCTACCTAATGTATACAATTTTTATTCAAGAACGATTTATCATTTTTGTGAAATATTCTTCACAGTTAGAACTTCTTCCGCATCATAAAATGGTTTGTAATCTTATAGTTGCCTGTTCTATTACGTAAGATCCATGTATATTAGTGCTTAATCTTAAGCCCCNGGATGGGATTGATAACCTATACTTTGCATGAATTTGGTTATAGTTTAACTTCCAACGATGTTTTCTTTTAGTACCAGTTTTGCGACTGTTCGTGGTTACTACACGGTGTTGATATCAACATCCATTCGAGACTTCGATCTTTTGCATTTAGTTCTTGATGTATGATATGCTAATAAATAAATAAATATTAAATCATGATTGTTCTATTTGAGCTATGATTAGTGGCATGAAAAAAATCTTGTAAATAAGGAATAGTTTTATTTATACAGATTGAATGATTTCTAATCTACAAAATATTGACAAACAGTTTTCCCTTTGGAAAATTAATATTCGAATATATTTAATTGAATCACCAAGAGTAATTTGTTCGGAAAACTATGATATCATTGAAATGATTTGCTTAGAATTCCATTGATTATTTCATTGGTAAACGTAGTTATGTATCGCTCAGCTATATCGGATGATGTGTTTTGTTGTTTGTTATTTTTCTACATTTGTCTTTTTCATCTTGGATGGTTTAATGTAAATATCAAGGTAAAGCAGCACTAGCAATACTCAGATTGTATTTTGTTTTGTTATAGTTCTAGACGATTAATATGTAACTTTTGATATATAGACTATTAGAACAACAGTATTTATCACTACATTTCTTTAGTTACAGAAATGTTTCTATTTCGTTAGTATTTATTATTATTATTAATCCTCATGGCATAGTTGAACGAGTGACACAATTTTCTGGAGTAACTCGGCGCTTGTCGAACGATCCATAGGTGGGTAATCGTTGTTTACACTAGAAAATAAAGTACAGGATTTAGTTCATATTACAAGAACTACAATCTAATCAGATTAGAGTCAGTAAGAAAAAAGTTTTTTTTCTAGAATGGTAATTAAAGTGATTGCGAAGAATGTTGTTTTTCTATTCAATGTTAGAATTACATCAGAAAGAACCATTCAAGTATTTTTATACGTGTAAAGTAAGCAGTCTGTTTCTTCTATGTGTGAAGTAATGAACAAACATTCGTTTCTTAATAGATTCATGAATAAATTCTGACATAATAAAAAAAGCGAAATATCGAGTAGAGATTGCCATTAGCAAGTAATTCGAAAAAAGAAAGGTAATATGTTTACTAATCCAAAAAGAACTTTTCGCAGTTTGTATCAGCTTCCAGTTTCACTCTGCAAATCTCTTGTATTATGAATGAACTTCATAACTCAGCTTGCTGAAACTGTTTATACGTGTGCACTTCAATAGTTTTAAGAAAATTCAATTAATATTAAGAAAAAAACTTTACTATTTTCAACAGCCGTTGCAATGTTTATCTTTCACGATGATTCCGTTTACTCAACATTAACCCTTAGGACAAAGAGCAATCAAACGTAAAACGTTTCTAGTAATTACGCATCATCGAATTATGTAGTAATACCAATTTATTGTCCTTTGAATAGAAGTACACCAGAATAAAATCAGTACATCAATATTGAGAAAAGGTTATTTTTTAAAATTATAACCACGCGCAATATGTACTGATCTTGGGGTAAATATTTTATTTTACATGAGAAAACTAAAATGTGTTAATAATAAGTTCACTATACTCTGTGATTTGACATGTATGAATTTGAAAAAATTCTCTATTTTCTGAATAGGTAAAACAGGACGATGAGGGACATGGAAAGTTTCTCATTTCTCACGAGATAACGAAACACGTAGTTCGATGTTTCACAGCTTTACATATTAATCATACTTTACTATTCAGAATCTACATTCATGACAAGCACAAAAACGAAGAAAAAGAAAAAAAGACTTTATTTTCATTATATTCTCTAAGGATTCGAACGGAAAAGCTTTTCTAGTTATTTTTCAAAGCATTTTATATGTCAAATAAGAACGTATTGGCGATCTATTATTAACACATAGGAGAGCTCTCATTTCAAGAGCATTCGCCATAGAATCGATATACCCTATTACACTTAGAAATCGAAAAACACTGATCTTCTTTAACTATCAATGTACTGGTTTTACTTCGATGCACTCCTATTCAATGGACAATCAATTACTATTTCGATAGAGCTCGATGCTGTGCAATATCTGAAAATGTTTCACGTTTAATTGGCTTCATTCTGTGGAGACAGGTCGAATAAATTAAAGCATTACAAAAGCCAAAATTCACACGGACTATTCAAAATGGTAAGCTGTTCAACATAAAAAAAATGTTCACGAGAATTATTTAATAGACACAATTGAATTGAGTTTCAACAAGAACTTTATATAGCTTAACTTTAGAATATACAGTTGCATGGTGTACAGTTTGAACTCCTATACGGTTTCACCGAGTGTTAAAATTAAACGAAAGTGTAACTAAATAGGTACAATTCAATATACGATAGGATGCTTTCGAAAACTGGATATATCATTGTTTCAATCGAGAGTGGTTATTAGATCCGTCGCGATTGTTTGATACTTGTAATCATATATGTAAAATGTATCCTTACTGTTAATAGAATATGTAACACTATATCAATTCGTTTATAAGTTCATGTTTTTATTTAAGAAAAAAATTAGCTTGTCTTTTTATGATCATTTTATATTAAAACGCATAGAGAGTTTAGAAGGCTAATTATCTCAAGGCAGTTGTTTCTGCTTTTATAGTTTCACTTTGTACATTCGCCATTGAAACGCGACGAATATGGAATCCTTTGAAAACTGTTTGTATTGTTATAAAGTCATCATATCATCATTAATATTCGTATAGAAGAAAAAGAAAAGAAAAGCTTTTTATGTTGCAAAGAAAAAAAAACACTCAGTTTCAATGTTTCCCTCGAACTAAAATTGTCAACATATATCATCCTCATAGAACGTTATATTTATTTAAAACCAATATGGTTTCTTTTTTCTTTTCGTTAGTACGACACGCCATCAGTGCTCAACACTTATTCTATCGCTTTTGTTCTTTTTTATGAATCAGTTGATCGAATACCGATAAGAAAGAAAAATCTGTTGTCAACATTCAAATCGGACTGATCGTATTGGTTTAATTCTCATCATTCACTCCATGGGTCTAAGTGCTTCTCTTTGCACTACTTGTTTTTTCGTCTTCTCGATACACGATATATACATATATAATGACTATATATATATATATATATATATATATGTACACGCACGTGTGTACCAGTGCCACCTCTCGGTTTGCTTAGTACAACTCGTTTTTTCTTTCAAAATAAATTGAGCAGCAGACGAATGAATGATTGAACGAGTCACCAACGATACCATAGAGCTTATACCCTTTTTTCTCTTTCTTTTAACAATGTCTGTCTTGAAAATGAGACATGTTAAATTGGACATATACGATTAAGAAGAAAAAAAAGAGAAAAGGTGATGTAAGTAAATGAATAAAATGTTCTTAATAATGCATATTTAGATGAAGACAATGAATAATAATAAATACGCATTTCGTTTTTCTATTCGAATTAAATCAAAGCCATTTTGTTTATCTGGCACCAACTGCGCCATGTTTCTTGTTTATTTGTATTCAGGGTTGTTTTCATTTCATATTCTAGATACAGATGGAGATGATTGTGGATGATGAAGAGAATATAAATAATAATAATAATATATTTAATGAGATTGATGATGAAGATTGGATATTAGAAAAGCCAATATCGGTTTTTGCTTTGGATCCAGCTGATCGACGTGTTTTAAAAGTAGCTGATCAACGTGATGCAGTACAAAAAAAGACATTTACAAAATGGATCAATTTTCATTTATCCAAACGTCAAGGCTTACATGTTGATGATTTATTTCTTGATTTAAGAGATGGACATATACTCATTTCTTTATTAGAAATATTTACTAATCAACCTCTTGTAAGTTCAAAAATAAAAATTGCAAGAATTAATAAATAAAAATTTTACTACTTATTTAGCCTCGTGAACGTGGTACGTCTAAATTTCATTCTTTACAAAATATTGAACAGTGTTTAAAATGCCTCGAACAACATCATAATGTAAATATATAAAGACAAATTTTAGTTTTTTAAACACTGTTTTTCCAAAAATATTGTTTTTTTTTATAGATTCGTTTGGTGAATATTCGTCCCGAGGAATTAGTAAATGGAAATCCTAAATTAACATTAGGTCTGATTTGGCGTATAATTCTTCATTTTCAAGTAAGTCTAATAAAGCAACTGTTTTAATACTATTCTGTTGAACAAGCGAATTTATGAGTTACTAATCAAGCGACGTTCATAAGTGAAGCAATAGTATTGGAAAATGAGAGAGCTAGTCTCGTACTATTGGCCAAATTATGATAACGATATTCAATGAATTCTTAACTATTCTTTGAATGTTTATGCCAAGAGTGAATGTATAATTTGTGACATTTATTTATATCTACTAAATGAAGATTTTTTGATATAATATTATGAATAGAAGATTTACAAAATATAAATACTATCACAATGTATGAATGAGTAATTACGCAATGGGAAAAAATGCTTCAGAATGATTACAAAGATACTATTGACTTGAATCCAATAATAAATATTTTCTGAGACTCTCACATTGTTTGTTCTTGCGTGTAATCTACCAGTAGAAAGGCTCCACTGAGACGAAACTTCATGTTTTGATTTTAATTGAAAAAACAACATTGATTAGTTCTATTCAAGAATCAGTTTAAAAAATGTTTTGCATAAAACTGCCATTCATGAAAAATAATGCATTAGATTAGAAAGAACTGCTCACCTTTGAATTCGATAGATCGGCTTGAGTAATGCCTAGGTTTTATTTATATTTTCTCTTGTGAAGAGATGATTCCAATCATTAACTGAAAATATTTTATCTTTAGTTTTCTGATATATCTCTACCTCCGACTGAAGAAAACATTCCAATCAATGCAAAACAAACAGTACCACCCACTCCAGTCACTGAACCAACTTCATCTACTGAAGCGAAATCCACAAAAGTATCTTTTAAAACTGAACGAAGATCATCAGTTGATCAAATACCATCAACCTATCGTAACATGTTATTAATATGGGCTCGTCAACAATGCCAAGGGTATCCAGGAATCTATATTGACGATTTTACGCGTTCATGGCGTAATGGCCGTGCATTTCTTGCTATACTTCATCGTCATAAGTTAGTTTTTTTTAACGTTTCTGTTTCTTTTCCTTTTTAAAGTTGCTTTTATTTTTAAGTCCACAATTAATCGACATACAAGAAGCCTATCGTAATTCCAATCGACATAATTTAGCTAGAGCTTTTGATTTTGCACAAAAGCATTATAGTATCATGCAATTAATTGATCCCGAAGGTAAATAAAACATTAAATCAAAGAAAACAGATTGCAAAATAGAAAATTTTCTTTTCTTTCAGATGTTGACACTGATGAGCCTGATGAAAAAAGTATTTTATTATATATCGCACATCTATACAAAGTTTGTTCAAGTCTACCTATTCATCCATTTCAAGAAGAACACGATCGAGTTTGTTATATATATATATATATAATTGAATAGATATTTTAATATAGTTTACTTCCATATACATATAATTTTTAGGTCAATCTTGAAAGTGAACTATCCTATGAATATACATGTTTAGCTTCTGATCTTCTTAAATGGATAAAAACAAAATTAGATTTCTTAAATCGTGAAATTAAATTTAAAACTTTAGAAGAAATTCAATCATATCAAAGTGTTTTACAAGCTATCAGACACAATGAAATGAACCAATACAATAAAGTTTTATGTCGAATGAGATCAATTGATGCCGATTTCGAAGTAACTATAATAAAAAAAAAAATATATATATATATATATATATAAAAGAATAGAACGACACAAGAGTCCTTCTGAGGTCATCATCAATTTTTCTTCTATGATGTCTTGTCTCATGGAAAGCATAATGAGAATGAAAAAATTAATTCAGATAAATTTTTTCATAATATAAAAATATTTGTTCTAAATGGGACAGTTGAAATTAAAATATATTACAAATGGTTCTCATGAGGAAGGGCAAAAAAAACAACATAACGTTTTGACAGCGTACAAAACAGTATATGTTTATATGATGTTGTCTTGATCTTGGTGATGTACGAAAACTTTCTGTTCGATACTATTTCTAAATCAATAAGGTGTTAAAATCTTGTATTTTTTTTCTTTCACAAGAATCTTCTGTGGTAATAATTTCAACTCTCAATGTCTCATTTAGAGATGTGTATGCATTGAAAATGTGCCTAGACTCTTTCGAAATAGGTTTATTGTGTTACCGAAGGATTCTTTGTAATATTCGGCATTAGACGAGTAATAAATGAAGGAAAATTGTCAATCGTTATTATGACGCCTTGCTTTTTAATTTGTTTTTCTTTTATTTAACTATTTTCTTTAGACTTTACAACTAAGTGAAATATTACAACCTGATATTGACTCGATAAATTTAGCATGGAATAAATTAGAATTGAGCATGGATCGTGTTGAAAATGATTTGAAACATTTTATACAACAATATGAAAAATTAAAAGATAATTTTATTGGCGAATTAGATTCAATAGAACGTGATATTACAAATGTTGAAAAATATATTCAAACAAAAGTTTGTGAAAATCCTTTTGTTTTGTCTTTAGGGAATCTAAGTAGCTGTGATATTATTTTAGCCAAAACAGGTCGAAGTTGTTGATACGATCAATCAATTAAATAATATACAAGTTAGATTAGATAATGTATTAAATGATTGTCGAACATTATCATTGCCCTATGAACAAATAAGAATTGCTCTTGAAAGGTATAAAAACAAGGAAATATTAAAAAAATATATTTTTTTTTATTAATTGTAGAATTGATCAATCAAATTTACGCGTTGATAAGCTTCATGTACAATTAAGTCCTCCACCACCATCATCCATAATCATGAAAAGTTCATCACCAACATCAACACGAATACTCGATCCATCAACGGTGACAACAATCAGTGGTCATCATCATCATTCGTCGAAAAAGCAGGTGAAGAATATAACTATACATAGGTGTAAAAAAAAGACAACTTATGCAAACAGATTCTTATTTTCTCCTATGCTTTACGTTAATTGACGATAATAAATGGTGTACATTCTTTTTTTCTTCTATATCATCAAATCACTATACTGAATATCGTGTTCTTTACGAGTCCAACATTTATTTTTCCTCGTCTACACTAGTCGCTCATTAGAATTCAATTTGTCGTTTACTATCCCTATACACGATATTCGCTTTTTTTCCTCTTTCTCTCTCTCTCACTCATTTGAATTACTCAATAGGTTGTATTCTATCGATCGATTTTGCTCTATACGAGAGAAACTAAAACGACGAAGTTCATTTGCGTAACTTGTTCTTAAAATAGAAGATCTTCCAAGCGATTAGATGACCTCCAGTAAAGTATAAAAACAGTACACCGAATATTCTCAAGTAAGATAATGTAAGTGAATGGATTTCTTTCTTTTTTACCTCCACTACCTTCGATTAATTATGAAAATGACCTCTATCAATCCTTGAGACTCACTCGAGCACAAGCGTTAAATGTAAAATCATGAATGTACAGGAGAGAAAAAAATTTTCTTATCAAACACCATCCATGTCTAATGGAAATGTATGTGAATAAAATAGGTCCTGATGAACAAAATTGAATATGTATATACATAGAATAAAGGTGACAAATCATTAATTTAGCTTTTTTTTTACGTGCATCTACGCACATTTGTGTTCCTGTTTGTACATTGAACGTTCAATTTTGACATCGCATATACATATTCAATTTTTTTCGTTGACGATGAGTATTTGTAACCCACAAAAAAGAAGAAGTTCACTATTGGTGAGATATTATCTGTTAGAACTTTTCTTTTTTGTTGTTGTTGAATATGTGCATTAAATTAATCTTATGTAGGGTCGTTCAAATCAGTCGTCGAGTTTCTTTACAAATTCACCAACTGGTATTGAACAACTAGATGTTATTGTAACAGGTGATTATAGACGAAGTAGTGACAATCAACAACAACAACAACAACAACAACACACTCGATCAAATATGACAGTTGTTGGTTAGTTATTTATAGTTTCTATCGTTGAATTTTTACTTATGTCAATTATTCTACTACGCATATAGATTCCGGACATATTAACAACGAGACAAAACCATTTGTTCTCGTTGATGAACTTAGTTTAATTAATAAAAATCTAAATACTCTAAGTCAATTACTTAAACAGCGTTTGTCACGTTTATTACAAACTGGTCTACCAACATCACACGATGATCTTCTTCTACTATATCAAGAACACAAGGTTCGATTAGTTTTTTTTATTTTCAGAAAATACTTTGTTTTTAATTTTGTTACTGAAATCTTTTACAGTTGAAAGTAAATAAGTCTTGATATGTTTTCTTCTGCCAATAAGATAATTATATGACAGTAAAGATATAATCAGTTGTTATTTGTTTGAAAAAAAATACTAGGCCAACGACGCAAGTCAAGTTATTTATTGTTTTGATGTTACGATAAGATGAGAGTTTTCTTGTCCTCTTCTAATATATCATCTATCGTTACTAGTCTCTTAGAAAAAAATAAACCATCGCCGTTAAGGCCTATAATAAAGGCGAAAAAAACAAGACATAAATAGACGCGTGTTATTGTCAACAACAACAAAACTACTCGAGAATATAGATATATATCATAGGCATTGTCGGAGACATTACTGCTAGTTGTAGATATTCTAACGAACAAGAATAACAGGAATATACAAAAACTTCCGTCGATCTTTATTTCCTCTTGATTGGTATCTGACTTCAATTGCCGCCATAAGTTCTGTATGCTTGTGTGAATGTCTATAGGACATTGCATTCATTAGTTAATTTCTAACACAACCCAATCATGCAACGATCATTTTCTACGTCATCTGCTGATCATCAACATTACCGTAAGTCCTCAGGCATGGCAAGCCAATTCGTACCGATTCAAATTAATTTAAATAAAGGCAAAGATTATTCTTTACCGGATATTGATTTACATCAAATGGCAAATCTTCAACGAACTTCTTCAAGTAGTAGTTTTGCTTCTTCAACTTCTAGTAATAGTGCAAACTATCGAATCTTACCAGTACGTTATTCATCTGTAGATCGAGTCGTAGATAAACCTCCGATAATTACTGCTAATGAACATGGTATTAATGTACGAATTCATTTCAAATATCCACATCGACATCGCCGTCGGCATCATCAACAACAACAACAACAACAGTACGAACAAATAGAAGAAAGTCAACATACGGAGAAACATGAATCTTTTCATGAAAAACGTCTGACTAAAGAACATGAACAATACGGTTCATGTCCAGTTCTAAATAAAACTGGTCTAAATTCAAATTCACTATCAGTAAATCCTTCGCGTCAATCAAATATAAAATATATTGAAACACGATCAATAATTCGAACGTGTTCAACAGATCGCTTAGATAAAAATACTCATTCAAGTACATTAGTTATTCGTCACCAATCACTTCCACCAGTATCAAAAAAAAGTCCACCAAAAATATTGCTTACACGAATAAAACATATCCCACTTGAAACATCCGCAAATTTTCAACCAATAACTACACGCGTCATTCGAGAAGAAGAGGAATGATATTAGATAATTGATTTTTATGAAACAGAAATAATAATGAGTTTTCGTTTTTTTATGTCTTATTCTAGGACTTTGAAAATGATCTTCTTTCACAAGCAAGCCGTATTAAAGATATTCGTAATCTTGTTCGACAAGACTACAACTCATCGTCACATCACGAATTACGTTCATTAGTCAATCAAACATCAGACTATGCACAAGATCTATTTACAGCATCCAAAGAATATTCAGACAAGTATAGAAACTGAAATATTTCTCCAATAAAATACAATGTTCTTATTTTCTTTCAATAGATTGGATATGGCTGATACAGCATTAAGTCTCGTTTCTGATCTTACATCTCATGTAACCGAGCTTGAAACTCGTTTAGCTTATCATACACCTCTTATCGACGATGAACAATATATTCATCGTCAATTGGATGATCTTGGTGAACTAGATGGGCCATTAGAATCAATTGAGAAGTCTATTAAAGAACTTCTCATACATAGTAAACAATTGGGTAATGATAGATTAATTCGTATCAGTGAACAATTAGCATCTAGATGGCAACAAATCAATTCCGAAATAAACCAAAGGTTTGTATTGAAGTTTTGCTTTTTGTAAATTTGAAAATTTAAGATTTTCTTTTGTTGTATAGAAAACGATCGATTACTCAATGTCTTGAAACTGGTCGATCGTTTCAAACCCTATATCAACAAGAAGAGCATATACTCGATACTATACAACAGCGTATACAAACACTTGAACCAGTACCAAATGATCCGAATAAACTTCGACAATTGGGAAAGACTGTTCTGGTATAATAAAATTTAAAAAAAAAGATTGTTCCTTTTTTCTAAAAAAAACACCAAATTTAGGATATTTTCAATGAAATTCTCTCACGAGCACAACCCATTGAACATATGAATGATGTTGCTGTAAAATTTATTGAAGAAACAAAGGTAATACTATTTAAAATTTGAAAGCTGAAAGTTACAACAGTTTAAAAGAAAAAAAAATCGAGGAGCGCGTAGGTTGATTTAGTTTGCTTGCATTGTTTAATTTGTTGCTTCAGCATGTTTTAATTATTGCATTGTGCACGTATAGAATTAGTAGATTTATAAGTTTATTTTGATAAATATTATGTCATGCCACGATCATAATGTAGATGCATGACAAAAGTTTAAAGCGCTTTCGTGTATCATTACGTGAATTACATCCAAATCTTGATGCATCGATCTCAATCATACGACGACAATATCCAACAAATTTAAAACGTGCCACACGATCTATTTTACATAAAGTTGAAGTATTTGATAGGTAATACTTTTAGCCTTGAATTTACAAGAAAAAAGCAACAACAGGTAACTTGTTTTGTTATTAGACGATATGCCGACCTTTTGGCGGACATGGAAGAATATGCACGGGCATTTGTAAAGAATTCTAATGCTACCGGACAGGTTATTTAAAACAATAATGCTAATTTGATTTTTATGATTTATTGTTTCCATGTTTTAGACTATTAATCTTCCATTAGATTCGGCATCAAGCATTGTTCATCTTTATCGTAGTACGATCGCATGTCGATATAACATCGCACCACAATATCTTCTGTCATCAGATGATGATGATGAAGAACAAATTCCTCTTTCATCTATTTCCACAAAACACAATCGACAGAGTAATAATTATAATAACAACAAAGCAGGTAATAGAGATAAACCCGTTAGTAACTGTTACTGATTGCACTTACATCAGTCATCTATACACTAAGTCTTACAGTAGATCGATAGGGTATTTATCAGATGATATATGTTCTCTTATTTATGTAATGCATTCAGCTATAGTCGTTCATAAAAATCTGTAGCGATGATTCTAGAAAGTAGTTAACATAAGCTATTGTTCTTTTATGTATAGGAAGGTCGATCATGATGATAAGTAGTTATGTTCTCACATTTTTTTCTTTCTTTTTCTTTTTATAATCAAGTATTTTGAAAGAAGGTCAAATAATATCAATAGTGTTAGGGTTTCATTACTATCGGCCATCCTCTTTTCTCGTTTCGTTCAATTTCAGGTGTCAGAGTACGAAATATATCGATGAACTTTTCTCCTATCACTCATTTAATCCAATACTATATGTACAGTAAAGATTTTGATCTATCCATGGTATCAAATTAACATGAGAAATATCGATGTATTCATTTGAATTATAATATGACGCATAGCAATTACATTTTTTGCGGCTGCTTTCTTTTTATAAAACGATTCGCTTTATACTATTTTAATTTTGATTTCTGAAGATCGATAAACTGACAGAGCATAGCTGATGGCGACAACAACATTTCAATATTTTTCTCTGCTTATTACACAGTTTTTTCTCTCTGTCAAAAGCAATCATTATCACTTCAATTTATCTTTCAATGTATGACATTTGTAGTTGTTTTCTTTCATTTTCTCGTTTTTCGTTAACGTATCTACATGTGACAGGACAGTAGATTTATTTCTCTTTTAGCCAATAGTAAAGAATATTGTAGAAAAAAAATGAGACATGCGTTCAATGAAAGTTTAATAATAGATGAACCAGGCGCGACACTGTATAGTTTTTCTATTCATTTTTCTTTTTTTCGACTAATTATTGTCTTCTTCTTTTCATTATTGGTCACGCTTGTGTGACGTTAAAAGTATAGAACAAGAAAAAAAGTGCTACGACTGATACTATATCGCCAAACTCCAACCTCTCACCTATTGTGTATCATGACTATCGTCACACACACACAGACAGACACACACACACATCCATAGATATACATATATATATATATATATATATGTGTGTGCATGTATATATCTACACATACATATATATATATATATATATATAGATAGATGAGCCAAGGTCTATAATGAGATAGATGTACTATCACGATATTAACGAAGATCTAATCTCTTTTCTCTTCGTTTGTCGTGTATATGTATATATGAATGGCGCTGAGCCAGCTAGTTTAGTTATTTTGTGTTAAGAAGAGAGAGGGAGAGAAAGAACGATAGTAAAATACATTAATATGAGTATATGCATATATCTATATATAGTCAGAGAGAACGAGCATGATAGAAATATATAATCAATCGAATTTTTTTTTTGTACGTGTTCATACTTTTCGATTTCGTTTTACTCATGGAGATTCTTTCAATTTCAAATTTCATATCTCCTTTTTTTTCTTTCTACGTCATCTGTTTACTTCCTTATTCTACTTAGTTTTAAATAGAACACCGATGTCTCATATCAGAAGTAAAAAATTTCAAATGACGAACAAACATGCCGTACATTTTCCTTTTTCTTGCTTTATAGAAATATATATATATATATAGATTCATGATGATGTCATGCAAGCTGTTGTCTCTTTTTTTGTTTCTTAGGTTTTATTGACGTGACACGTGGAAAGACAACTGTTGATCATCATTCCTATCCAGCTCCCTCATCGTCATTAGACGGTTCCGTTTCATTTGAAACAACTTACTTGATACCATCAACACAAAATGATTCAACAAATAATAAGAAAGTGAGATTTATAATACAAAAGCAACCAGGAACAACATCAACAACGAATAGTAATATTGTTGTATCGAGTACCAAACTGAATGAAATGGCACAACGTAAAAATCTCTCGTTTGTTGATGCGGTCAATAGCAAACATCTCGATTTGTCAACGGGCCTTTTTTCTCCTTTACCATTCGTTCTTTCTTCGTCTTCTTTTTCTTCCTCTCAATTATTATCGCCCGATCAACATCGCCATTCTCACACTCATTTCTCTTCTTCATCATCGCCGCCACATACGACTATTACCACAACCGACAACAAAAATCTTCTTGCATCGTCAGTGTCGACGAATAATCATCCTTCGCCTGTTGGTACAGACTCTTGCATAACTGCTATTAACACAAGCAAGCCAATTACATTAAAAGAGGCGATAGATACAAATATCCTAGACGCACATAGCGCCTACATTATCGATACGCTTGAGCAACGGTAAGCAAAACAAACCAAACGAAAGGAAAAAAGAAATTGAGGCTTTACATTTGACTAATATTTTTTCTTGACACGAAGAAAGAAAAGCCTTCATTCAGTTTATTTATGCGCACATATTGTCTTTGTTTGTGTCCTTTATACATCTACATATATCTAGTTGTGGCGACGAGAGAAAGGAAAAAGCAATTAAAATAGTAATTTATATTGATGAATGAAATTTAATAGAAGTTTCGTTCTTTCTTTTTAAAGACGTTTTTGTTTTTCTTCTTATTATCAATAGAGATCTTTATCTAAATGTTTACCCAGACAAATTTAAAACAGCCCACTGATCATATCTCACCTTGCTCAGAGTATGTTGTCGTATAAATTAGAATGAAAATGAATCAAATTTGACACATTAACAGAGCTGTATCATATATATATATATATATATACATACATTGTTCTCATCCTATTTTTTGTCTCAGTCCATCAAATAATAAATAATAATAACAAAACCACAGAAAAAAGAAAATGATATCCTTTCGCTTATTTTAGTAATTACGATTTACGTGAAGCCTATTCTCGCGGTTTAATAACCGTAAACGATCATCATATAGTTGATCGTGCTAGAAATCAACACTTAACATTAGCTGATGCACTCAAAATGGGCATACTTAAGCTTGGTGATCCACAATCCTATAATATTATATCGAAAACTGAATCTCTAATTATATCAAGTGTATTTGATCATTGTGCAAATACATTTATCGATCCAAATACTGCTATACGCAAAAAAATTCTTGATCCATATCATGGTTTATTTATAAATAATTTAACACAAGAATCTATATCCATTGATGATGCCATGAATAAAAATTTCATTATTGTTGAACCGCAAACATCGCATTCAAGTGCAAATCAACATAATGATAAATATGTTATATCAACATCATTGATACGTGAAACACGTTCATATCATTTATTAGGTGTTCGTGATTATATTAATAATAAAGAATTGTCCGTTCAAGAAGCTATACGTTTAGGAATATTAGACAAACAAAATGGGCAATATATAAATAGAAAAACAAATGAAATATTTTCTATATCAGAAGCAATTGCACAAGGACACATACGTGCACAACCATTACCCGTTGAAGGATCTTCATTGTCATCAACAACAACAACAGCTAATGGACAAGAAACAATTGGCACGACAAATATTAAACGTGGAACAGTTAAAGAAACAAAAACGTACACGCTTAAAAGTGCAATTCATCCAAGAACACGTAAAGAAATCCCAATAAGACAAGGTAAAATAGAATAAAATATTTTATTTTTACCATAATATTTTATTTTGCCTAATAGCCATTGATGAAGGAATAATTGATCATGCTAAAGGATTTTATGTGAATAGTATTACAGGTGAAAATCTTCCGATAAGTGTTGCCATTGAAAAAGGCTTAATATTTACGGAACTAATCGATCAAAATGCTAAATATGTTAAATATTTAATTATTGAACAAGTTGTTGATCCAATAACAAACCGTCGTTTAGGCATAACTGAGGCTATACAATCAGGTTTACTTAATTCAACTGTAACAGCTTATCATCATCCAGTTAAACAACGTCAGATGAGTTTAATGGAAGCATATGAACAAGGTTTTATTATAGGTAGATTATCGGATCAAAAACCATCATCATTTATTGGTGATCAACGTCAACAAACATTCTATTTAATAACAAATGTAACCGATATTCGTACCGAGAGAATTTATAATCTTCAAGAGGGTAATTAATGGCAGTTAATATTTTTTTTTCTTCAAATTAATTTCTTCTTAATTTTAATTTAGCTACTGAACAAAAATTATTTGATGGTAGAAAAGGTGTTTATATACATCCAATAACAGGCGATGAGATAAATATTGGTGATGCTGTTAAACGTGGTTTCATACAAGTACAAGCTGTATCATCACAGATAAGTACGGCAAATACACGTTCGAATGTATCAATACGTATTGAATCTCAAACTCCAACAGTACGTCCACCTACGTCACACCTTGTACAACGTGAAAAAGATATTATTGAAATTGAATCTGTTCAACGTGTACCAAAACATCGACGACATCATCATACAACAACAGAAGAAACTATTGAACAACATACAACAAATGTTATTGATAAAGAAGTTTATATTAATCGTGGACGTTCAAGTGAAAGACCCAAACAACGTTATATTGAAGAAGTTATTATTGACGATGATAGAAATAAAAATCGAAAAGGAACTGTTGACATCAAAGAAGAAAAACAAATTATTCATAAAGAAATTATTATTGATAGTGATCGAATTAAACCACAACCATCCACACATCAAATTATTATTGATGAAACAAGTCGTGAACATGAGGTATATGATTGAAGCCTTTTTTTCTAAGTTCAATAGAAAAACAAAAGTTAAACTTAATATTTATTCTATTTTCTAGTTCCATGTTATTCATCCACCACGTCCTCAACCACCAGTTCCGCCACGTCCTGCTCAACATACATCAACGATTAAAAAAGAATATATAGAAGAAATTGATCATCGTTCCAAACCAACACCACGTCCCGATGATATTCACGATGAACAACAACAATCATGGAGTGAAGAAGAATGGGAACAATGGCATTGTATAATGATGGTGAATAATCAACCCTATCGTGTTGTTTGGGTTATGAATACAGCAACCGGCGATCGTTTACCTTTACAAAATGCCTATCAACGTAGTTTAGTTGACACCAAACAGCGTTTATTCTTTGACGAAAAATTAAATCGTCAATCGTATTCATTTGAAAAAGCTGTTGAATTGGGTTATATGGGTATTGAACCAGATACAGCATCATTACCAATACGTGTTGATGGCATCGATTATATGATACATTGGGTATTAGATTCATCAACAAAACGTCGTATATTTCCTCGACAAGCCATAACTAAACATATGTTAGATGCTAAAACTGGCCGTTACATAAATCCTTACAATAATTCTCAAGTATCATTACACGAGGCAATACATTTGAAATTTGTTGGCGCAACTGAATACGGTTCGGTAAGTGATTCGATCACGGTCACAATCAATGGGCAGCCCTATGTTATTAAATGGGTCTATGATACAGTTCACATGAAAAAAATTCTTCCACGCGATGCATTACGACAAGGCATATTAGATATACAACAAAATGAATACCGTAAATTTGATACAAATGATGTGATGACAATCTATGATGCTATACAAGCTAGTTACATCCGTTGTACAGATGATGATTCGTCATCCGATAATAGCGTCAGACCTCCGTCAATCATTTCTATTGATGAAGATGAATTGACAATAGCAACTAAAACAGCAACATATGTTATTACATCAGTGATACATCCATTAACACAAAAAGAAATAAAAGTATCAGAAGCTATTGACTTGGGCATCCTTGATAAAGAGACAGGTAAGGAACAAAAAAAAAAGCATAAAAAAGGTCGTTATCCTCTTTTCACTATTTCTATTTGATTAATAATAATAGTACAAAAAATCAATATGGATATCAGTAGGTTATCGCGTTTATTTTATTTTTATTGCTTTATTGTGGTAATAAAACTTATATATGCATATACATATATTGCACATCCCATTTGAAACGATAGAAATAAGACAAGATCGATATCACAGTATTATGGGATTTTTTATTGTTTATTTGATCTTTAGGAAAAAGATCACTTTCGGTGATTGTCATTATACTTTTGTTTGGTCTTGTTTATAATAAGATAAACAGAAGAAAAAAAAACTGTGCACTTAAACGTGTAGAAATTGCACGTGAATTTACATACACATAAACACCAATTGATAATGATACAGGTGTCCTATTTAAATTTCCTTCATTGATAAAACACGGAACAATTATTTCATGTTTTAATGTCGTTTTCCTCTTTTTTCGCTAACGACGGATAATATACAAAATAGAATTGAGTCATAGAAATGTTTTTGTTTTACTTATGAGAAAAGTTCGCTTCATATAATTACTAAATTTAATGAAGCCTTTATCTTCGAGGGGAAAAATATCTCACGACGAAATTTCGCCTAAAAAATTAGTCTCGTAAATTTGAGAATGTCAACCGGTAATGATGTGTTATTCTTAAGATATTAAATTTCCAAAAGCAATTATGTCACACAAGGAAGTCTAGTGTTTTCAACATTCGATATCTCAACAACAACACATCCTTCTAATCTAAAACCATTAAGATATTCTACAGATTATTCAAAACGATAGATTTCATTGCATAGTGAAGCATTCCATTCAGCTTAAAATAAACTTCAAAATGAAGAAGAATTGAACTGAATTTTTGAAAGTATAAGAAAACGTTAACTTGAAACTAGTTCCGTGTTTTTGTCTTGATTTTCTATGCACAAAAAGGAAAAGATTACCTTTCACTTCTATCGATCATACTAACGACAAGAAAGAGACAAATATCCATCCGATATAAATGTATATCATTTTTGAAATTTAAACGCATGTCTATGTGCGCCTATATGTGGGGATGATGTGAGCACTGTTTATATTTTATGTTCCTTTTTTTTATTATTAATTAACCTTTAGAGGGAAAACAAAATTTTCATCATTTATGGATTTTTTTAATAAAATAATATTTTTCTTTATAGGCAGTTATCGAGATTTAGTTACAAACGCTCAATATGAACTGGCCGAAGCAATAAATGAAGGTTTAGTTTATGCAACAATTGTTGAAACAAAAGAAGATACAGAAATGATGACATCATCAGTACAAGAAATAATTAAAAAATTTATTGTTAAAAGTGTTGCAATCGATAGCGATTCAGCAGAGAAAATCGGCGGTTTAGAAGCTCAAGCTGTTGGTATTCTTAACTATGCACAGGGTGTCTATCATGACAGAAAATATGGTGTTAAAATTCCACTGGGTAAATAATTAGAAAAAAAAAACAACAAGAAAACTTTTAGAATATCATTGATGTGTTTTCTAGATAAAGCTATTGAACGAAAATTACTTGATGTTGAACTTGTTAGTCAAAAGAAATTCGAAGAATATGATTTAGAATTAATTACAGATACAATAACAGAAAAACGTATTACATTATACAAGATTCATGGTGTACAAAATAATGTCTTAGGCCGTATGGAATCTGGTGCTGTTGCTGTCAGAAATCAAATGATTGATACTGAAGCTAAAACGTTTACTGATTTTTCAACAGGTGAAACAATGACAATTCAAGAAGCTGTTAATAGAAATTTAATTCAAGCCGAAATAAGTGAACATGTAGAACGAAAACCATTAGGTTTATCAATGCAAAATGCTATTCGACTTGGATTCTATGTAGCTGAAACAGGTATGAATAAGATTTTTTTCCCGAGGTTAATTATTAATAAATCTCAGTCGTAGATATTTTTTGAATAAAATTTAAAAGAAAATTACAGAAATTTATTCCATAAAAACTATATGCGATGTTTACGTCTCTATAAGTTGGTCACTGAGAGAAAGTATTTTAAAGATATATTGAAATCGAGAATAGTTGTTTTGTATAAGTTTTAAACTATCTACTCTCATTAGTTATAAATCATGACACTTGCATTCTTTGTCGGATTGTGTATAATTCATTAGAGATCTACACAATGCACATAGCGACTAATTCGAAGTACTTGAGACTATTTACACTCAAGATGCTGTAGGAAAAAAGACATTATGAACTTCTCTCGTGAGAGTATTACTTCAGTTTTTATTTCAAATTTGAATCGTGCAAAGATAAACACTTATCAATTCATCTTAATTATGTTTCAGGTACATTCCGTGATCCAGCTACTGAACATTATATGCCACTAATGGAAGCTATTGAACGTGGCCATATACATGTAAATGGTGTTGCATTTGCTGATAGTGAACAAGGTCCAATAACACTTTATGATGCATTTTCATTAGGTTTAATAAATCGCCGTGATGGTGGTAAACTAAATGCAGCTAAAATGACTTTATATCGTGCACGATTAGTTGAACCAAAATTACATCGTATGAATGTTGAAGATGCTATACGTTGTGGTTTACTCAATCTTCGAACTGGCCTTTATAAACATCCACATAGTGGTGAACAATTAAATCTAAAAGAAGCTATACAACGTGGTTTGATCGATGGACAAAGTACTGTTATTGAAAATCAATCAACAGGACGTTATATGACACTTAAAGAAGCATTAGATGGTATTAAAATTGATAATGATGGACAAGTTATTGATTCCTATTCAAATAAAGTAATAACAACATTAGATTTAGCATATAATCATAGAAAATTATTTTCACAATTTGATGTTAATGCTGGTGAAATATTTCTTCCAGCACAAAATGAATCGATTGGATTTGAAAAAGCTGTACGAAAAAATTTACTTGATAATAATCGTATTAAATTGTTCGATCCAAAAACTAGTCGTGAATATTCCGTACAAGATGCTATTGAACGTGGTATAATTGATCATGAATCAGGTTTAGTCTATGATCCACGTTCACGTACAACATATTCAATACGTGAAGCTATACGTCATGGTATTATAGCTGTTGTTGGTGCACCACTTGTGCCAATTAAAGCTGATCATGAAACAGTTGCAGCTAAAATAACATCAAGAAATCGCCGACGACATTCATTAGCTAAAAGTTCATTACATTTTGATTACAATAGTGCACCAGAGTCAGCCGATGAAGATTCACAAGGTAGCGGTGGTTGGCGTCGTATTACGGCAAAAAATCGAACTATTAGTCCGTTAAGTGCTGATGGTAAACGAAGTATTCGACGACGTACTGGTTCAAGTCCGTCAAGAAATAATACTAATCGTTTTACATGTCGAGATGACGATTGGAGAACTGGATGGAAAGGAGATGATGATGATGATAACAATGATGATACATATGGTAGAGGATCAAAAGGTTTTGTTAGTAGTGCAAATTATACAAGTTCAACAACCAGTCGTACACAAGATAAAACTAATAATGTATCTAATCAATCACAAGGTGGACGTACGACATCAAATGGTTTTCAACAAAAACGTAATTTTAATTAAATATTTAAGGCAATCCAAGAGTAGTAGCGGAAGTACTTGATTTCCGTTGAGAAAACTTGAAGAGACTTTTTAGCGATAGTAAACACGATGCTCTATTTTTTTTGTGATATTTGATCATTCTTCAACTAATATCATAATAATAAAATTATGATATGATCTTTATTTCTTTGTTACGATAGATATTCGATTGCATTAGTTTATATTGTCTTCGATTTTTATTTTTACTTTTTTTTTGTCCAAGAGCTGTAGCAACATCGAAGACAATATGATTTAATACTATCGACATATGCAGTGGTTTTATTTTCCTTACTAATGGTTGACTTTCAAAAATTTTTAATAATTATTTATTTAGAATAAAGATTAGATGCGAGTGAGATCTTTAAAATTTGGTTCTCAGTACTTAGAATTCTATAAGAAAACATTTCTTTAGATAATGTATCGTCATATAGCAGTTGGTTCCATTGAAGAACAAGATTTTATACAGTTCTTAGCAACAGTTTTCATCAGAACGATATCATTTTTAAGTTCATTTACAAAAAGTCACGTTTTTAGAGAATCAATTGCTCTATTCATTTGTTATTGTTTCAATAAGAAAATCAAAATAAGATTTTTAAGATCAACTTTCTATACTCAAATCAAGTACTTTCAGCAATACTTTTGAATTATTTTAATCGTAGTTATGCACTTATTTTTATTTTCTTTAGAAGAAAATTCGTCCATTGCACCAACAGTAAATGCCAAGGTAAGATAACCTATGTTTGATTAAACAGATAAATAAATCAATGCTAGAAATTTGCTCATCTGACGCACTTGTGTATATTTGTTTGTTTTCTCAAAATAATGCTGCACGTTGTATTCAACTCTTTGTGTTTTTCTTCTTTCTCTTGATTTATTAATTGTAACTATGCGCATATGTTTATACAACATTTAAAAAAACCTATACATACATACATACATACACACACACACACACATCAATGCATGTTGAATGGTTAAAACTACCAAAACACACAATATCAATAAACATGTGAGTTAATATCCATGGTGATGGTTTAGATATGAAATGAGAATGGTTTTCTTCTGTTTCTTTGCTTTGCTTTTCCATTGAAAACAAAAACAAAACTAAAAATTATTCTTTACTCTTTCTAGGTGAGTTCGGTGGCATTGATGGTTCATCTGCTTAATGACTATGATCAGATGATGTATCTGATTATGGATTCTTTTTCTTCTATGTTTTCCCTTTCGTATTACGTTTATTTATTAACACTTGTTCATTCGTCAACACATTCTATTTTCGTAAAATGAACTTTATCTAAACAACATAAGAAAATATTTACGCACTTCTTGATTTGTTAATTATGTGTTTGTTGTCATTCTAAATTCATGCCTAGCGTTTTATGTATAAACGTTTAGAACTTATTTTTTTGTATTATCATCCTGTTAGTATTTGAACACAACACGCTTAACATGTTCGTTCGTTTTTTGTGTTTATGTGTGTATCCTAGAAAAGTTTTTGTTTTCTTCTTTTAGTATGTTTCGTTTATTGATTCTTCCTTCTTTCCTCTTATTACAATTGTATACTCGTTTTTTTTATCTTCGTTATGCGTTAACTGAAAGAACAGCAAACAAGCATAAAGAGACAAGAAGATAGAGAAAGATATATACATATATCAAGAAACAAAAAAAAAAGGAAAATATTCATCACTCTCTTAAAAAACAAAGACAGAAATAAAAAATACAACTTTCCTTTCTATATTTTTTCTTCTTTTTGGTTTAATTTCATAGAAAAAATATCATATTCCATTTTTAGAATATTAAGTTTCAGCAGGTAGGAACAATGGGGATATGGAATCGGTGAAGTTTTTCTAAAATTTCTCTCGGGTGCAATGATTTTTTCCTACAGATTTTTTTTTCAACAGTAGATAACTCAGTTCTTTACGTTGAAAATTGTTCCGCCCTTTCGTCAAACCGTAGTTTGACATTCATTAAAATTTTCCAAACGGGATAGGATATTCACCTTGGATACGTGTGATACTTTTTTATTTGTTCCTATTCAGGCGCTAGCACTTCTTATACATTCGTGAGGGATGTAAAAACAGGTCGGAGACTCAGGACTAACATTTAACTAGATAATGACGAGAACATTTCGCTCAGACACTCAGTTGAAACTTTCCTACAATAAATAAGAGAGAATTATTTTTCTATTGAAATAGATTTATAGCTGATAAGATTTTATAATCAAAACATATTGTGATAGCAAGCTTAAGACATAACCGAATTCTATTTAAAATCTAAGCATCAACATTTCCAAGAATTCCAATTTCGTATAAGTCTCTATTCTTCTTGTCTCTATATTTGTTTATAAATGTATAAGAAAATCACAATGCACGTAAAATCATATGCTAGTTTATGTGTGTGTTTATGTATGTGTGATTAGCTGATTGATTTCGCTTAGTGTGTGGCATGCTGAATTTTCATATTAGTGATCTATCGCTCTTATTGACACATATCGAGGCATATATACATATATATATATAAATATATATTGTTCTATAAAAATTCTAAATAATCACTTTCATATTTCAGGAATCGTCATCATCATCATCGCCAACATTACCTAAAACCGATGAACAAAACCCAAATGAGCTTGTGGGACATAAATCGGAACTTTCATTTTATGCTCAACCAAATGCACAAGTTTCACATGAACCATCGCCATCGCCAACATTAACTAAAACTGATGAACAAAACCCAAATGAGCTTGTGGGACATAAATCAGAACCTTCATTTTATGTTCAACCAAATGCACAAGTTTCACATGAACCATCATCATCATCATCATCGAAAATTGAAAGTACTAGTGATGATAATGGTGGTGCGCTTGAGGACTTCTCAAATTTATCCAATACAAAGGAATCACCGTTGATCACAGTTTTAGAGAAGAAACAAGAAGAAATTAGTGATAATTCATTAAAAAATGATGATACAGAACAAGCAATCGAGGTAAGAAATCTTTTTCTTTTGCTTTTAAGAATTTAATTACAAAACAAAACAATAATCTAAACAGACTACTAACAATTTAAATAACGCATAGATTATTTAAACCGTATGTACATTGAATAGAAACGAGTTTTCTATTTTTTCAAACAAAATATGTATTTTGCTCAGATGATTATGATAAAAAAAAGTAGATGAACTTATTCGATGAACTAATTAATGCTGCTTGTGTTTATGCATGTTTCGTTGAAATTAATAAACTAGTTCTGGTTAAAAACAAAAATATTTTTTTAAAATTTCATTTAGAATGATGACAATCGTATTCTTGTTGATATGCATGATGTTGCGAATCGTCTAAGTTCTTTACATGAACAATTAAATCAATATGTCTATCTCACTGACAATCTTAGTGAGCTTCGAACAAATGTTGAGCAAATAAAAGTATGACAAGAAGATTTAAAACAGAAAAACAAAAATTTTCTTGTTATCTTTGTTTTATTTAGAAATTACATGGAGATGTTGACAAAGAAAAAACAGCTATCGATAATATTGTTGAACATGCTAATAATGTTAATCCTGAACTTGCTACATTAAGTCAAGATCTTGAAGAAAAACGAATTGAAGTAAGCGAATTAAGTTCACTCGTAAATACCCATCATGATAACTGTCATTGAACTATTCAGGAGCGATTTGTTTTATAGAAAGTGTCATAACATTTTTTACACGAAAAGAATCTTTTTTTTTCTTAATCTTCACTGATGATTTTTCTCTTCATTAGATCGCAGATATCAATAATGGTTTAAGTGATATCATCGAACGATTTATCGATCAAGTTAATCAATTCAATACTGAACATGATCGTTTAAATGAATGGATTGAAACAAATAATAAAGAAATTCAAAGACCATTACAATTATCAACAATAACTGTTGACAATGAAAAATTTCACACAATTCTAACGAAAGCAATTAGTTTACAATATGATCTTGAATCGCTTCAAGAACATTTACAATCTATTGATTTAACAATACTTGATTTTGAACAAGCAACTGGAAATACTGATGGTGGCAAATCAGCAAATATATACAAACAACTCGAACAACGTTTTGATATTTTATCAAGTAATTATACAGATTTTCTTAAACGTTGCAAACAAATATCTGATCAATGTGAACGCTATATGGCAACATACAATGAAGTTAATGATCTCAATCGACAAATTATTGAATCAATGAATGAATTCGATCAAAATTTAACTTCAAATCAAAATAAACAACAAGTAAACATTTTGATGAAAGGTTTTTGTTTTTGATAATCAAACATGGCAATATTTAGGATGATAATAAACTCCAAGTTCTTTTACTTAATGTTCAACAACAGTTGGATAAATTAGGTATTCTTGCAACACACGAACCAGTTTCACCATCACCAATCATGTCAACAAGTGATCATATACAAAATCAAATACGAGAACATGTAAGTTTCTTCCTCAACTAATCCGACGGTGACGAGTCACCGATGAAAATTTGTCAATCGAGTTCTTGTGAGACCCGTAGAAGCCTAGGAATATTTCACATATATTCTTGGATATGATATAAAGAAAAATCTCTATTTTAATATCTTTAGCTTTGTACGCTACTTGACGCGCATACGAAACATTACGATGAAGCTCAACAAGGTTTAATGCATAATTTCGAAGTATTAGAACACGATAATCATGAACGTCAAACGATGAAAGAACGTATCGATGAATTAAATCATTGGTTATTATCTTATACAGACAAGGCAAAAACTTCCAGTGATTTATTTTCAAAACCACTTTCGTTAAAACGTACGAAACTTGATGAACAAATAATAAATTTTCGTCAATTTCATGCTCAACTATTAGCACGTAGTCATTCATTTGAATCTGATATAAATACAAAATTAAATATCGAACAATTATTTGATGAAAATGATAAAAAAAATATTGAATTAATAAATCGATCATTTCAATTATTAGATGAACAAGCAAACCACTACAACGAACGTATTAATCGTTTATCAACACGTTTAAATGAATTTCATCTTGAACATGTACATTTAATCGATAATTATTCGAAACGTTTACGTCTTTATAGTGAACATATTGAACAAAATGATGATATTAACTTTTCCACATTACAATTATTATTAAATAACAATAATGAATCAGCTATTGATCATACATTATATGAACAATTGTTGAAAGATCTTATTCAAACTGATAACATTGAAGATCAAGATGAAATTCATCAATATGAAAAAATCTTAAATGAATGTAAAAAACAATATGAAAAATTTGAAAACGATTTAAAACTAATTCTTGGCAAACGTGAAAAAATCTTAAATGAATATGAATTAAAGAAAAATTCTCTACAAGATTGGTTATTAGTGACAGAACGTCTATTAAAACAGCAACCAAATGAATTAACAATATTAACCTGTCAACAATTATTAATTGAACATTTAAATATGCCTATCGAACAAATGAGAGTATTAAATCAACAGTTAATTGAATTTTATTCCCCTTCGAATCTCAATCATTTATATGAACAATTAAAATTAGATAAAAATACAGAACATAATTCAAATATAACTGAAATCGTTCAACGGCAAACTGATGAATTAATTGAAAATTATTTATCGATAAAAGAAAAGATTTTTCAACATATGAATTTACTAGAAAAAATCGAACAACAAACAAATAAATATCAATCAGCGAAAGAAAAGGCCAAACTTGCAATCGAAAAAGCAAAAGAATTAGTTACTTTAGAAGAAAATACAATATTACCATTAGATGATCAACAAATTGAACTTATGTTGAACAAATATAAAGTAATATTTTTTATTCGAATTATGATTTCTTAATATTAGATAATAAACAAATTTAGTTAACAAAAGAAAAATTTTACAGAAAAACTTCCGGTGATGCCCCGAGTGATCCCCAAATCGATTTTCTGCAGTATTTTATTTTCCTCATCCATTCTGTGTGATGTCACTCACTGTATTTTAATTTAGCAATATATCACCATCAACCGTTTGAGTCGTTGGCACTAACACACTCTAGAATGATATTCTCCTTTGCGTTACACTTGTTTTGAAGCTCTTAATCCATTGTTATACGAAAATTGAGCTCAAAAGGGGTTTACTAATTGTTGAAGCTTTCAATTCGTCAGTATCGAGCATTTTTTATTTAAAAAATATCTAAATGTTCTTTTGGAAGTCAACATCGCTTTTAAACATATTCAAGAATTCTCTCAATTCATAAATGACTGAATAATTCTGTTATTAAAAGGTTTATATTGAATGTCCATTCTTACATCATATAGTAATTATTCTATCCGATAGCAAATATCCACATTATAGCTCTCTTATCAAATTTTGAAAATTCTCATACGGGATTTATAACTGAGCACTTAAATATTAATTCATTCTGCGTTAAATTAAATGTTCCATATTTCATCCTACTTTAATTTTATAGTTCTCGATATCTTCTCCTTTTCCAAATAACAGGTGAAATGAACTAATCTGATTTTATTAATTTTGTAGACTTCTTCCATTGCGAATAACATTGTTTTTTAGCTATTTTAATGAAAATTATTTTTATTATTAAAATTCTCATGAATTTTACGATTGATCATTACAATCTATGGTGTGAATGCCTTGCTATACAATATCTATTCATTTTTCAGTTACCCAAAAAAACCAGTCAGATTCAGCATTTTGTCACTATTCCGAATACTACTGCTTCTAATCAAATTGTCTAGATAGAAATGAATAAGTTATGTCAATATTTCACACCATAGGCTAGATCATGATGTTTTATCTCTTCTAATCAGATTTATCTCTCATTTGACGTAAATTTTTAACACTAGATTTTAATCAAAATCTATATGATAAAAGAAAATAAATATTTCTATGAACTTCTCTATATTAATCACAGAGCATTGCCGATCAATTCAAACATATGTCTTCAACTATTGATGAATATAAAACAAGTGGATTAACATTAATCAATACAGCTCAACGATATATCGATACTGAACCCATACAAAATGAAGTATCGTCTATCGGTAAAAAATATATATTTTCTATTACTTTTTGTTCAATATTTTTTTTTTCTAATTGAAGATAAATCCTGGTCAGAATATATTGAATATATTCTTGATACTATTGATTATATTCAATTGCATCAAGAAGATCTGCGTGAATTTCATCAATTATCGAATGATTTAATAAATTTACTGAATGAAAAACAGCTACAAATGGAAGCATTAAATGATAACGAAGTAAAAGCTTTTCATGATGATCTAGAAAAATACTATGAACAAATTGAATCAATCAATCAAAAAGGTGAACTTCTATTACAAAGTTCAGCAATCAATCTAAATGATGATAATGAAAATAGAATTGAACATTTATTGGAAACAATAAATCGTAATTATGATAGTTTAATTGTTAACACAAAAGCTCGTCTTCAACAGATTACAAATATTCAACAATCTACACCATTACCGACAACAACAACAACAACAACAACAACAACAACAGGGGAAGAAGCGTCAACAGTAAAAAAAGATGAATTAGTAAAAAACTAAACTATAAATCTATAGAATGAAACGAATAAAATTGTTCTCGTTTATTTAGATTTCACCAGAAATGATTAATAAAGTAGTTGATGAACTTCATCATCATATTGAAGAAACAGTTGTAGATATGAATGAATTATCTGAATTATTGGTATCATCAACAAACGATCAAATATCTGCACAACCAATTAAATTAAGTGAACAATTATTGGACAATGCTGCTGTGCAAAATGAATTGGAAAAGCGTAAAATTGCTCTTGAACAACTACATTCAAATATAGAAACACTCAAACGAATGATGACAACTCCTGAAGATCTTGATTCAATAAAAAGTTAGTAAAGACAAAAAGATTTCACAGAAACCTTCAAATCTAATTTTTGAACTGAGAATAATTTTGGTTACGAATATTGGAATAGCTCAATGGGGTCCATGCGTCTGGGAATATGTTTTCTGCTTCTGAATTTCATAACTGTGTTCCTATTGAGATTAGATCTTGCTATCGACTTTTCATGTCTTTGTTTGTTACAATCCTTTGCACGGGCTTTGCCTTCATTCAAAAATCTCTTAAACAGTAGCTTCTATGCTGAAACCTCCAATCAAAATTCAAGAACAACAAATTTTCGTTCAAAGTCTGAGATCTTATGTTGATTTTTAGTAAATAAATGTACGCTATGAATCTACTAAAATATCGATACATTATTACTGGTTTTAATCTTTTCTCTCTCTCTCTCCATAAGTGTTTGCCCGTAAGATAAATATTACGATTTCTTAAAGAATCATAGAATTCATTTTCAGATTGTACTTATTTTACTTAGAACTAAAATCTTTAATCACAGCAGAAAATTGTATTATTATTATTATTAATCAATATTTCATTTGAATTTAGTTCTTGATGAAAAATTTACTGAATTAAATGATCATTGGTCGATAATGAAACAAGCTAATGATATTCGTACGGAAAATCTTCTATTAACACAAGCATGTGCTAATACATTTTGGTCAGAACATGGAGAAATTTCATCATTTCTCAATAATATTTCGAAACAATTATCACAAATTCGACCACGTTCAACATCACGTGATCATATCGAACATGAAAGAGAAAAATTTAATCAAGTAATAGATGACTTTTCAAATAATGAAACAAAATTTAAAGAAATCCTTGAACAACACGGCTCGATTCTATTAACATTAGTAGCAAATAATCCCGAAGAAGCTGAAGAAGTTCAACATAGTTTAAATGAATTAGAACAAGAATGGAATCGTATGGAAACAAATTTAAGTAGATGTCAAAAGCAATTAGAACAAGCTATGATTGAATCTGCTGAATTTAATTCAAAATTAGAACGTGTATCAACGTGGTTCGATGATACAACAATTCCAATATCAGTTGAAGATAATGATGAATTCGAACGTATTAGAGTATTCAAAGAACATTTAGATTGTAAATATCTGGATATTATCAATTTAAAACAAGATTATACCGATATTGAACAACATAAACAACAAACTGATGGAACAGCAATAGAAGATAATAAAAATAATACAAAAGAAAAAGAAAAAACCAATATTGTTGAACTACAATTAGATAATATTGATTCGAAATGGGCACATTTGAATGACAAAATTCATGAACAGTAAGTTTACATTTGCTATTGATTAGAGAATAAACGTTACGTCATCCCTTTCAAAATATTTCTGGCAGCCTCACGACAACATTGATTTGATAGGATCTAAACACATAGAAGAGATAGCTTTGAATTTTATAATACAATCAAAGTTCATTTCAGTTTTCTGTAAAACTAAGATGATAATTATGCTGATGAATTGGAACATGACTTTTTGTTTCTTTTAGTAAAACTCTTATTTATGAAACTGCTCTTCGTCAAAATCGTGTTGATGATGTTGTTGCTGATATTAATCGATCATTAGATAATTGTTCATCAAAATTATCAGTACTTATCAATAGTTCTTCGGATGCCAATTTAAATGATATAAAACCAATTGAAATTTCTATTGCTAAACTTCGTATACTTCTAAATGATATTGAATTAATATCTTATGATATTGAACAATTAAAACACAATTCTTCAGAAGATAAAATTTCAGTTTCATCAATAAATAATCGATGGGAAGAATTACTCAAGCAAGCAACGGATAAATATAATTATTTGGAGAATAAATTAGAAAATATGAAATTGAAACAAAAAACGATTGACAACATTTATAATGAATTAGATTTAATCGATAAACAAGTGAATGACAGTACAATAAATACGAAATTTCCATTACTTGTTGAACGTTTAGAATTTATCGAAGAAGAAATCAATAGAGAATTTTCAAATGATGATGATAATAATCAACAAATTGAAGAATTAAAAAGTAAGGCTTTAACAATGCAAAATTTTAGCAAAGCAGTCTTTTTTTCTTCATAATCAAATACAACTTGCCGAGCTATCCACAAAAATTTTCTAGTAAAAATCTATATGCTCGAGTCAATATACAGAGGTTTTACTATCGAACTTCTTCAGTCTACTTCTGTAGAAGTCACCCACGAAAAAATCGAATTCGATGAAGCATTACCATAGTGATGCAGCATCAACTATAGTTTTGCTATCATATCGAAAAACTCGATTTTCTTAACACTGAAATATTTGTTTATAAATAATTTTTCACTTACTATTTTAGAACGTTTAATTGATGTTAAACAACGAACAATAATTAAGGGGCAAGCACTAATTGAATTAGCTCATTCGATTGAATTATTTCATTCGTCGTTACAAAAATTTACTGAATGGTTAAACGAAACTGAACGTTATTTAAATAATTTAAAGCCTGTTCAACGTCGTTTTGCATTAATTCAAACATTATTAAAACAAATTGATGATCATGAATTATTTCAAGCACAATTGCAAACATATAAAGAACATCTTATTGATCTAGATAAATTAGCAACACATCTAAAGTTTGTTTCACCAAAAAATGACTCAATTTATATAAGAAATTCTTTAATTGCTGCACAAACTCGTTGGCAAAAAGTCCTTACACGTACAACCGAACGAACAAAAGAATTGCAAAAAGCTTTTCAAGAAACGAAAAAAGTAATTCAATTATTGAAAAAACATTTAAGCCAAATTTGTTTTTTAATTTATTAATTAAATAGACCATTCGACCTGAAGTAACCGATATCGATCGAATTAAAACGGAAGTGAATCGTCAAGCATCTCTATGTACGTGCTCAAAAAAATATGACGTTCAACAAGTTGCTGAAGGACGATACAGAGTAAATATTATTTTGAAAAAAAAAAAACTAACAATTCTTTTGTATTGAAATAATGATTTATCTTTAGTTTGGTGAATCACAAAGTCTTCGTCTTGTTCGTATACTTCGTTCAACAGTTATGGTTAGAGTTGGTGGTGGTTGGACAGCACTTGATGAATTTCTTGTTCGACATGATCCATGCCGAGGTAAGATATTCCTAAATGGCCATACTGACTTCACACTATCATATAAAGTACTACAAAAGTTTTCAAATAGGATATTCAATGTTAAATAGAGGTTTTGAATGGAATTTTATTTAGATAACCATCCAGTAAATTATCTTCTTGCATCTAAGTTATTATTAAATCGGATGAGTCATTTTTATTTTTCATAGAACGTTTAAACTTTGGGATCAGATATTTTGACCAGAAATATTTATGTATTCGATAGTTATCTAAGATTGTTTTAAAAGAACGATATATATAGATGACTAATATGTACAATAATATTTTAAAAAGACTTTTAAAAGTATCATCTGATCTTAATTAGAACTGAATACACACAAATATACTTATATATAATTTCAAAATCATTTATAATTCAGAGAATAAAAAAATAAAACGAAACTTTTGTAGTACATTATATATTGAAAATCTATTCTATACAGGAAAGCACACCTACAGTCAGTTTTTGGCGACTGTTGTTGCAGGTACCTCATTTTCCTTTGTCTTATTGGTATCTTTGTTTCCGTCAAACCTAAATATCCTTTTTATTCTTTTGCTTTGCTTCTATTTAAAAATCACTTATTGCAGGACGTCTATATTATATGCCAGAATATGAAACAGGTGATAGTAGATTTTAGCACTGTGTGTTGTGTTTTGTTTTGTTTTGTTTTGTTCTTATTTACTATCTGTGTTTCTAAAATTACTATATTATCATTAATTGATTTGAATCTTACCTTATAAATTAATCTTTTTAAGCTAAAGGCCGTACAAACTATGAATTACATCCAGAAAGTTATGCTTTACGTGATGGTGTAGCTCAAACAATGACACTATTTAAACCAAGACTTGTGACTGTTCATCGACCAACATGTCTTTTTCATCAACAACAATTGGCAGCGGCAGGAACATTGAAACAATCACCGGTGACAACACCAAACCGAGTAAAACTTAGAAATTGCCTGTTTTTTTGTTCTATTTGTCTAATTAAATTTTATAGGGAACAAAAGATAAATCGCGACGAACATCATCGACTGTTTCTTCAACACCACCACAACAGCAAAGAAATGCATCTTCAATTGGAGATCTATCCGCATCAGGTGATGATCTTGTAACTTCACCTCATGTTCTTAGTAAGAAAATACAATTTTTTTAAAAGAAAAAAGATCATCATTTAATAAATAAAACAGGTGATTCCGAAGCCAAACCATCACACATACCAATAGCCGTAGTTGCGACTACTCCAGTAACATCAACATTGAGTCGAACATCAAGTCGCGAAAGTGTTCTTTCGGAACATTCAATTGCATCGACATCTTCTACACAACAACGACGACCAAGTAAACTTCCATTACCAGTATCTCGACAAAAAAAGGCAACAAATGGGTCAACATCAGTAAAAAATTCTTAAATTAAAAAAGAAAACACCAAAGACATGATATTATTTTATTCATTTATGTTCTATTTTTTCTTTATCCTTCCTAGTCATAATTATATTCTTTCTCATTTATCACCATTCACTCATGTTTAGATCTTTTAAGTGTGCTCAAAGCAGCGCTTGGTTGTTTGCGTTTTTGTTTTGCTGTTTTATGATCTCGCATCTTTTTTCTCTTGTCTTTGTTTTTAATCTCAGCTGAATATCAACTAGATTCTCGCTTTTTTTTCTTTTTCTTGTTCATCTCTTATATTATCTTTCTTTTGCTATTTGCAATGATGTTGAATCTCTTCCTTTTTGTTATTAGAAACAAAAAAATACAGGTGGATATGGTAAAAATACTAAAGCATATGCATATTGAACATGGACAGATTTCATAGAGATTTATCAAAATTCTCCATATGAAAAAGAGTTAAACATGAAGCCATGACAGAGATTCCGAGACTGCCCCCATCATGTATAGTTTCTGCTGCTGTCGAAATAAAATATATCATTCGTTCAAAACTAAACTATTTTTAAGCTTCGTCACTTTTTATAGGTCAATTGATAATGCCTTTTCTAAATTCGAATAATGCACATCAATTAATTAAAATTCATTGTTATTTTCGCTGTCGTATAGTATGAAATTTAATGGGCTAGATACATACACATCAAAAAGATATTTTTCTATTTTTGTCTACCAATATTATGTACGTGATATGAGATGGAAAAAAAAATAAGCCACTTGTTTGCGTCCCAGATTTGTATTGATTTTTTTTCGTGGAATTTGTTAATGTACTGTATTTTCATCAAACAATACATATTGATGAAGGATTGGAATGGAAACGACATGTCTATACAAAGTGTTTGCAATGTAGTGTCCTGCACGGGTGCAACTTTTCATACCCGGAGCCGACCCGACTGATTTTTCCCACACCCGGAACCGCCCGGACCCGGTGGCCTTACGCCCGGACCCGGACAACTATACCCGGTAACCGACCGGCACCCGACCGGATTGTGGTCAAAATTTTGCTAATAGTTTATTAGTGAGATGATCTCAATGAGATAAATAATCGATAATAAATAATAGATAATAAATAATTGATAATAAAAGATCAATAAAAATAATAAATAACATCAAAAACAATGTTTTTGTTGTTCAACTAAGGTCTAGAAGATAAAATAGAAGTGAATTCAAATGAGAAATTATAGAGAAATGAATACTTACAATCAATAATATATAACATTAAAAACTACGTTTTTGTGGTAGAAGAGATGATGAAGAGCTGAGCTAGGATAAAAAGTAAAAATTAATGAACATGTAGAAGTATGTGAGAATGGATACTTACGATGATTCATGTAAATGTGAGGCGGTAATAGATCAGTTATATAAAGCAGCTAGCACACTTAGCGAAGTTTCTTTAACATATAAGTAGAACAATCGTGTTTGTGGGTTAGGTTAGGTGACCCGTCGTGACTATTGAATATATTAGTGAATAATAACCCAATCAGATTCACATTCCTATGACTGAAATGACTGAAATCGACAATGATATCTGAAAATTTCATGTTTCTTCTAGATATCACTAGTTGGCCGGTCGGGTGTCGGTTTTTTGAAAATTCCTCAGCCCGACCCGACTTTTTTTTCCAGAACCGGCACCCGGCCCGACCCGGAGCTTTTCACCCGGACCCAGGTATCGGGTCGGGTCGGGTGCCGGTTACCCGACCCGGCTGCAGTACACTATTGCAATGTAGATCCTACTATTCAGTTTTCAAATATACTTGTGATAAATGTTTATTGATAAATATATAATATAAAGTTAGAAATTAGGTGCAAAATAAACTAGAATATTCATTATTGTATGTTAATTATCAAAACACTAATCATATTGTCGATGAAGAAATCAAAGTGAAAAACAACACTTACACTTGAAGTGTATAGATGAATAAATGAAAAATGATATGATAATGAATATTGAAAATATCTTTCAACTATGATGATCTGTAGTTATTAGATTTCATTACTACACATATTCTCGTCGCAACAACACCGTTGAATTTTTAAACCAATAAATTTTCATTTTTCATCTTTGAGCGGATGGTTCACTCCATTATGGCAACAGGCAGTGGAGCCAATACCACCTTGAACACGTAGATTTGGCTGGAGAATCGACGACCACACTTCGTATACCAAAATGATAAACAAACAACTCATATATGCAAGACTCATTTTGTTTCTGACGTTAGATGAGTGCATACTGTTTAACTTCGTCTCAATTTTATTTTGTATTTTTTATATAAAACAAGAATAATAAGCATAAAAGTGAATATTTTACAGAGCCACAGTAGAGAAGTGCCATGATCATTCAAGAAGAATGCGATTCGAGTATCTTTACGCACCCATGAAAACCCGTTTTCTTTCCGTGTAAATATTGGTCGAAAGAGAGGAGGATCCAATAGACGCATGACAGCTTGCTGCGATGAGCTGAAGAAGCGCTCTTGAATTGAAACGTATATGGGTCCAGTACTAATCAGTACGGTCCAAAAGTGTAAAATAAAATAATGATTGAAATAATGTAGTCGAGAAATCAACTGTCTATGAAACGGATGACCAGCAGTACTGATTATGAGATCATTTTCGACACCGAATGAAATACGCCCAGGAAAAGCGGCAAGATGAGGTGAATCTGGATCGAGTGCTTCCAATGTTGCAATCAGTTCACGAAATGGACGATTGCAACCGTTGTCCATATCAATGTAGATTCCACCCAAATGGAACATCAAAACATATCGAAATGAGTCAATGCGTTGCACATCGTAAGGATAGTTAACATATGTATTCCAGTAGAAATGAGGCTCGTACGCTTCGACCAATGCGTCTCTTTCAATATCAGACCACCGACGATACTGAAATTCACCGATATTTTTTTCCATAACTGACTGAACTGTTCCATTCCAAATAGCAGGTACATCATGTGTACGATACGTTTGATGAATCAAACGGGGAATACGTCGTCGAGGCCAGGTAGCATTTGCATATCGAATAGTATCTGCTTCATACACCATCGGTGTTGGTGAACGATAATGCCATACATAGGGTACTAAATAGGAAAATAGCCATAGCATGATAATGCTAAGAATAATATTTCGCACTGTATTCTGCCAACTTCGTCGCATAATTGTTATTGAGTCGATATTCTGATATGAAGCAGTGCCAAATTACAAAAACGAAACCTGTCAACGAAACGAAGAATGAATGTAAAACAGCTTCAGTATTTTGATTTAAATTTAACTCGCAATAGCATGAAAAACACGGTTCAATTGCGTGTGGGAATATCAACCTTTCATTTTTCAGCTGGGCTCAGTTTTACCAACACCGAATCGGTGTTTAAAGTTTCAATTTTTAAGTAATTTTAATGTGTGAGAAACGTAGATTTTGCTTTTCTTAAAAATTAAAAAATAGAATTGCTCAGAGGAGTTCACTCAGTAACCACAACATTATAGGATATTCGGTACAGTGGACGGACCTATCGGGTATTTCCCTTTGAAACTCTTAATTCTCGACTAAACATGATGTCTCATGAAAAGAGTTGCAACAGGTTAAACTCTCTACAGTATTTACTTTTTTCTTTCCTCACATGAAATAGTTTGATTTCTATCCAAATGTTTATGATATTGCTTGCATCAATCAATTACTTTTGAGATATTTACTAAGTTATTCACGTTACGTTGTCTTGATAACCTATCAGTTAGCAAGAAACGGACTCTTACCTGATGGCTTAATTAGATAGATTTTGAACGGAGTCACACCATATGATCCTAAACGATTCTTTGAAGATGTCAGTTTGTGCTAATGAGTGATGCTGGTAGCTTACGTTATAGTCATCGATAGCAATGAAAAATTTCAAAATGTCTCACTTCGTACTTTTTTACCAGAGACAACTTTCAAAACTTTTTGTTCACTGCATGTGCACTTGACTACAACGAAAGGAAGAAAGAAGGCATACACACACTAACAATAATTTTATCGTTTCCTTCTGAATCACTGCCATGATCAAGTAATGCATTAAAATGGTTCTTTTTTTCTTTACTGAGAACGAGACAACAAATCGAAGTTTGAATTTTCTTCTTTCCTTTACCCTTGGTCTCTTGTTGGTTGCTCAAGTTGCTTAGTAATTTTTAAACTATATAGCACGTGAACGATAAACAGGCCCATATACTCGTAACTGTATCGAAATCTTGAGTTTGTATAGAATTATGGAAAACAGTTCATTAAGTAAGTGAATATTCGCACTCTTCTTTTTGTTATTGCTGTTGAAATATTCATTCAATTAATGCTGCCAACACTAATTCGGAAAGAAAAGCCGCCGAGCATATATGAGGATTCACTAGATAAGTATTTACTTGAAAGAATTGGCTATTTTTCGGTTAAACATTACCCATATGGTTAACAGCTGTAATAGCCGGTGCTCATCATTTTCAATAGTATTGGCAACGAGGTCGATTGGTATAATATCATTTAAAAATTTATTAGACTTTACTCTCTCAAACTTCAATGCTCGCCAACATTTTTTTTATTTAGTTATAAAAAGCAGCTAAGCGCTGCTCGACTTCAAATCGAGTTTAAATGCACTTGAAAAACGATTTAGATATAGTTGCGTTGAGACCTTCCTCGACGATTGCATGATCCTTAGAACTAAGAGGGATAGTAGATATATTACATCGGTAGTGTACATTAATCAATTCAAAAATAGATCGACTCACTTGTCTTTCGTACAAATCAATCATCTACTCTTAACTCACGAATGTGCTCTGGATCAAAACAATAGACACAATTATAGAAGAACAAATATTGACAAATATGAAATAAGAAGCAAAGACATCAGATATGAACAAAAACAAACGATGATCAAAAATAGTGAAAATAAAAGGCGAGCAATAAAAGACGGAAACTGTTGTAGTAAGTTTAATCTTTGAAAATATTCATCCTTTTTAATATCAATGATTTCAAGAATACAACGTTCATTAGTCAGGTATTGATTGTATACTTTTGATGAATATCCTGTCTTCAAGTAATTATCCATGTTAATACAGTTTATTAGAATAGAAAGCAGTTTAATATTCATGATATTTAGAACTTGTACAATATAGTGAAAGTTATGAATCAATATCAGCGACTGTATTTGTAAATAATTGGTTCGGATTTATTAATCTGATATTTGATGCACTCAAGTTGCCTTTTAATTATTATTGTGATTGTAATAAGTATTTTTCAGCTGAATATGCAGCCTGGGAAAATGGTAGATAATATAGAAGTAGCTTTATATTAAAAATGACAGCATCTGATACGCCAAATATAATTACAGGTGAATCTATTTCCTGATTATATTTTCAATTTTTTCTCGAATTCATTTCTAACAATTTCTCCTTTTATTCAACTTATAGAATTTTTTTCAAGTACTCTTTTTGCTACGTCGGTTTTATTCCATTGATTAAATCATTTGTCAAGAAGAAAAAAATTTGAGATTGGTGTGTTGAATTCATTCTCCGCATAATTAAGCAATCAAAGCAACCATGATGAGGACAAGAGTAAATTTCGAGAAAATATTGACATTTACATAATTTGTAATCAATTTTTGATATTTAGTGAGAATATTATACTCGTTTTCATTAAAACTATAATATTTTCGTATCGAAATCTACGACGTCCTCGTCTCTCGTTGTTTGTTATTCTTTACATACATTGAAGTCAATTAAATTGAGCTGAAACCAAGCTTTTTCTTATTGAAACAGCGACTGAAACGAGATGTGAATAGAAAGGTAGTCATACTTGAATGAATCGACAAGCGCAGGATTATTAACCGAGCTGTGTATTAGTTTGCTTTATAAATGCCAGAGCACACATATAATATAATATGTTTTGCAAAATAAAACTTTATAATTCGTGCTATCATCATTGTTCTACTTGTCTCTGTTCTCATCATGAGCGCCGTAAATGCTGGCAGACTAAGACGATCTGTATTAGACATCATGGACGAAGAAGATCTAAAATATGCATTACGAAAGATTATGAACAACTACAATATGGTTGATGATGAAAATGGTGAACATGATTTCGATGAACGTAGATATTCTGATTTTAACGCTTGGATAAAATGTACATGTGACCGCGACCCACTAAAGCTTGTTGGACGTAAAGTGTGCTTTGATAAATGTGAGAATAAATCTTATGTTCCCAACTAATCATCAGTCACACCGAAGACGAAACAATCTGATTATATTTGCTAAATAATTCATTTTAATCCGTATCTTCTTCATTACCATATAATTTTTACTTGCTTATGTATTCAATTTTATTTAGAGGCCCATTTTTCATTTTCATTTCTTCGTTAACTATGCAATTACTATTTTGATTACGAACGTATAACAATAAATGCTCTATTTTGATTTGCACGTAACTTCTAACTTTATATTGTGTTATTTTATTTATCAATAAATATTTATCACGAACACACTTGAAAACTGAATAATAAGCTTTGTATTACAAACACTTTGTCTAACCACGTAGCTTCGATTCTGATCTTTCACGAGAGAATATAGAAATGCAAGGAGCCCGTAAAGTGCGATGTTTCAGTAGTGCACGATATTATACGATAACTTGCAATTGTTTATCAAACTAGAACTAGTTCTAAAACAACAAATCAATAACTTACGGAGCTTAATTGTTTATTAAATGGAAATGATTTCAACAAATGTGTACGAACCTTTAGAAAAAAATTAAACAGGAATTACATGAAACAATGGAAAGTTTCGGCAGTTAAATAATAGCATAAGTAGAGAAATAATGAAAATAAATATTATATTTAATCAAAGACCACCAGAGAGAAAGAAAAAAACGAGTGAAATTATTTACTTATTTTACTCTGATAGTAGAATTATTCGAGACAACACAATCATTTCATCAACGCACATTTGTACAATCGTGTAAATTTAACGTATAAAATAATTCCGTTTTTGAAATTTTAATTTGACAAATTAATTACATGAACGAGTTAACAATGGTATCGAGCATATATAGTTATTGTTTTTTCCATCATTTTGTTGGTGTTAATTTAGATTCTACTGAAGTATACTTTTTATTGACATGACAACGATTAGCTAGAAATAACACAGAAACTACATTCAGGCTTAAGTTTCATCCATTGAAAATATAATTTACAAATTATAGTAGACAAAAATATGTGGTTTCGTTTTCTACGCAAGTAGACCGTCGTATAGGATATTCAAATCAGACGGAGCTGTTATTTGTTACAGAAAACTTTTTTAAAATCTTGAAATTATGGTTCAACAGCACACAATCAATGTGAAGATAGTCTGAGAGAGTTGCTGCATGTATAGAAGAGTTCTGTGCGTCAACATCCTTCACTCCTTGCTGCACTTTCTTTCGTTGGCGAGAAAATAGAAAAATTCGATAAAACTGCGCTTATGGGTCAGACGTTTTGATCATTAGGCTATGATAAAGAAAGGAAGTATAAATTAAATTGCATAGCTGAAATTAGAATGAAAGAACCTATGGAATCGGATCCAGTTAAAAAAGGAAATGTTTTCGCTCTTTCTATCAAACATGCTTAAATCCAAGTGGTAGAATCTTTGATAAATTCAATGGTATCCAACGAATTTAAAAAGTGCATGCCAACGTTTTTCTGACTTCTCTCTTGTTGTTGTGCTATAGTATTGACAATTTTTGTCTTCAGCAAACAAACGTCTCTCGTTTGCGGGGGATTTTAAGTATTTACTCAATGCGAAATTAATGCGCTGCCCTGGATTTCATGTTTTGTAATGTATCACACCGTCATATAAAAAAAAGTTGGATTGAGTTTTTCAGAGTAGGGAAAGTTATTTCTTGAAGAAACGAGAAGACCGTTGGAATCCATGAATCAGGCAGTTGGTTTTTATTTGCATTCTTTGCAAAACACTCATTCGATAGAAACTCCATTATTTGAATCATTACAAGAATGATTATGGTTATTATACGCTAAAATATGTATGTTTTTCGATAGCATTCATCGTCATAAAGTAAACTATGACACAATATAAATGTGCGCATTGAAACACAATATTTCTACGTGACATCAATACAATTAAACCAGACAAAAATCAAGAGAAAGAATTTACATCGTATACCATTCGCCTGAATTCATACAAAATGCTGGTAATCATTAGCATCTATCTGATGTTGTTTTTTAAATTTTATGGTAAAACGATATTGTTCCCAAATGTAAATATGTTTAAAATATGTTTACTGTAGATCTATGTCCACTTGAATATTATGTTATTGATGCTCACCATTCCTATTGTTCGCAATCATATCCCGGTGTTATTGATGAGAAAATTACTGTATTAGAACGTAAAAGTATTCTCGAAATGCATAATCATGAACGACGTCTTGTTTATGGAAAAAATATGCAAAAAATGGTATAGACATTCTTTCATTTGTAACTGAGATCATCTAATATTTAATAGTTGAATAGTATTGGAATGATGATCTAGCTGAAATTGCTCAACGCTACGCTCGCACATGTATATTTGATCACGATCGAGCCAGTCAACGAAGTGTACCAAGTAAATTCCGGAAAAAAATATCAATCTAATCCATTGATTTATTGATAATTAAATTGATGTTTAGAAATTCCATTATCAACCGGACAAAATTTAGCTATGGGTTATGAAAATTGGACGCAAGCTATTCAAGGATGGATTTCTGAGAAACAGGATTATTTTTATGATTATCCATCAAGTGGAATAGTTAGCCACTATACACAGGTTAATAGAATTTTCTATGAAAGAACCTAACATTATGAATTTATGATTTTTCTTCTTCTTCTTCTTTAGATCATATGGCATTCAACGGCATTAGTTGGTTGTGCAGCTACAATGTGTCCTCCGTACGGATCATACACAATTCCTTGGCCTTTTTATGTTTGTAATTATATCACTGGGTAAGTTATAATACAAAAAGTAATGACTTATAATGCATTCAAATCATATATGAAATATGATTAGACAATTGAATAGCAATTTTTACAAACCTTACGAACAAGGTGTTGATAACCAATTATTACGTGGTAGATTAACTTAATTTATTTAATTTAAATCTAAAACTTCTGTATTCTAGATTGTCACGGGAAGGTATGTCTATACAATGGTACTCTTGATTTGAACACATGTGAATGCCAATGTTCAACATATGCCAGTGGTTCACAATGTGAACGATGTAAATCATTTTAGTTTTAGTACATATAAATTTATGAAATACATATCTCTAGTAAATTGTTCAATATTACCTCCGTGTCCATATTATTCATCAGCATCATGTAAGGCTGTTAATGTTCCATTAGAATGTCCCGAACTTTGCGGTTTATGTAATCGATATGAAGTATTAAAAAGTGTCTATGGAGAAAATAATCTAACCCCTATTACTGTAAGAACTAAATCTACGAAAATACCTCCACGCTTTAGGTAAGTGAATGAGTGATAGGACAGATCATTATGATTTGTATTTCTCTATTGACACTTGCATCCATTCGCCTGTTTCTAGTTCTACTACGAAGCAGCCAAGTGGTCGAAAATTAAAAAAGAAATTACGAAATCGAAATTTCAATAGAAATCTCACTACTGATATAGATCTGTTTTCTGCTAGTACTCGAATTATTTCAACGAAAATTTTCAATACGATTATCATCTTATTAACAAGTAGAAAAAACAATTCTTCTTATTTATTATTGTTTTCACATTTTATTGCATTGTGTTATTTGTTTTATTGATAGTTTCTTCAAAACAAGCAATCGTCTTTTATTGTTAAATCAAGAACAATGTTTATTTGTATTGATTTCCGGCTAAAAGAATAAATAAACTAGATTTATGATTTAAAATAGAAGTTGATTTACTTTTTGTGTTTCTGCATTTAGTTCAATAATTATTGGAAAGCGCAGCTTTTGTCCGTTGACAAAATCGAGATTCTAAAAAAATAGAGTCGAAGCAGAATTTTCAAAACTAGAAAATCATTTACTTCTCCTGCATAAGAAACAAGTGGAGAAATTTCACAACAATTTTCATTGACTTCTCTATAGAATAAAAGTTCATAGTAGTTATTGAATTACTTTCTTCTTTTGAATCAAAAACATACTGTAATAAAGCGCCAGCTTGTTTCAAATATCGAATATGTTGAAGTATCAAGTCTCTTCGACATGTTTCAGGTGTATCTTTAGTTCCTGTACCATTTTTCAATGGAGAAAATTCATCTTCACGGTGTACTTCCCAAACAGCAAATGCTCTATTTATTAAACAAAAAACAAAAATTATTGATTCAGTTCCCTTGAGGCTTAGATGCGAGACTCACATCGCTTGTTCAATGATCTGTAACCTCAGTGTAACGAAAACGAGGGATAGAAAGATAATAATCTATTTGATTTTTAGTCTAGTCGAGATTTTTTCTACTCTACATTAACCAACTAGTAATTTAATAGAGTATTACTACTTCATCATTCTAGTTGTGAATATTTCGTAGAGCGCACAGATTTATGTCCAAGAGAGAGAGAGAGAAATTTTATGCAGCTATCATCGTTAATGAGATCAGAACGTCTAGTAGAATGATATCCAAACATTTTCGTATCATAGAAGAGATGGCGTATCCAAATGATTGACACACTCGTTAGCAGAGTGGCCAGATTTTTTGAAAAGTAGGAAAAAATTCTGAATTTTGAATATGTTTCTGATTTTTTCTGAAGTTGGAATATATTCAGATCCTGCTTTGCCACTGAAATTAGGTACGATTATAACCCATTACTATAATAAATCAATAGTGCTTCATCAACTTTTCTCTATTAATCATCTTTTATATTCCTCGTTCGAATTCTGGCGTCGAATTGATTTTCGGTCATATAAAACATTGATAGTCCGATTATCGTAATCCGATAATATAAAACCAGATAGTGCTTAACTTAAAATAAAAATGAATGTTAATTATTCTTGAGAAGGTTTTATTAGCATACGTTATCTGAAACAAACTTCCTAGAGCAAATTCAAAAAGATACAAAATATGAATATCAATACCGAGATGATGGGATTTAACGTTTTTTCTTTCTCGTTGGACTTCTTAATCTACGCAGAATGTATTTGATTTAGTTTTGCTCGTTTTTGTGAACGAAGCTCAACGTTAAGTATCTTTTATTGATGTTTTCTTATTAGCTAAACGATATTTCACTATATTGTCTGTCGTTTTATTGAAATATCTTTGAAAATAAAGTTCCAGCCAATGGACAGAAACGCAGAAGAACTTCGGATGTCAGTATTTTAGCAGCAGATGTACTAATTTGTCAACAACTGCCATTTTCTGAGTAATTTCTGATTTTTCAGAGATATTTTCTGATTTTTCAATTTTGGATCTGACCACCCTGCTCGTTAGTCTAGGTATATCTTGATTCACATACTATTTATCAGTTCCTTAAAATATCAATTCATTTTTCTCACTTCGAGAATGGAAATACATCAAAAACAAATTTTTCCAATTTCATTCCATTGATTTCTTTTGGTTTACTGACACGTTGACCATTCTTATCAATTGATGGTATCTTCTTTTTTGCTATATGATATCGAAGTTCATCATCATGACTTCTAAAAATCCAAAAACTAGAAAACAAAGCAGAAAAATAATCGTTTATTTGTTCTTACTGGCACACATCTTGAAGAAAATCTAATGTGAAACAATGATTACATATGTTTCCTGCATTAAATAATAATTCATCAGTATTCTCAGATTTTTTCTTTTGTGCTGTTCTATCGGATATTTCAGAATATTCAACAACTTGATACCGATCTCGAACTTTACATATGACGCCAACAGCTTCATTTGGAAATGATTTTTTAACGACCTAACATACAAAAAAAAACGTCCATCACATAAAAAGCAACAAACAGAAATATTTACTTTTGCTGCACAATTAGCATTTTTTTCTATGCAAAATCCAACAAATATCGGATCACCCAAACGCACAAGAATATTGTCAACGCAATAAACATGAATATATTTTATTTGACGTTTTTCCATTTCCAATAGAATACCGCGTGTTTTCAATGCGCGATATAAACCACCATTGCCATCAGCTGCTTTGGTCAATTTATATTTTTCAGCTAGTAGTATTTTTCCTTGAAAATCTAATGCAGGTAATGTATGCTGTTCGAATAGAATTACATTTTCTGGTTTTAATCCAAAATAATTATTTGAACGTAAATATATTTCAGTTTCTTCTTGAGTATGCTCGCTTGTCATTATGAACCTTAACCATTATTATACGCGTGCGGAAATCAAATGAAAGATTTTCGTTTTAACTCACCATGGAACAACTGATTTAGTTGTTTGAAATTCTTCATTAGCTAGTTGTTGAAGTCGACGTATACGTTCTGCTTGAATTTGATAGAGTGTTTTTCTCGATGGTAAACCAACATCGTACATTCCCTTTGGATAATCGACACCTATCAAATACTTGATTAGCTAGATTAAAATAGAATAGAACTGTACCAAGACGAGTCCCTTGCCCACCAGCAAGTAATAAGACACATACTAAGCCTTCAGAAATAGCTTGCAAGCTTAAAAAAAAACGAGTCAAAAGGCAATATAGAAATATTTTAAAAATTAAAAATCAACTTATCTTTCAGATGATAAATTTTTAATTGTTCGTCACTTGTTTGATTGATAGATCCAATTATAGCATCAGGGACTGGCTCCATAATATCTTCAATACTTTCACGTTTTTCATCATCTTCGTCAAGTATCTCATTATTTGGTATTGTTTGATCTGCTATTAATTCTTGTTTAATGCCATGATAAGCTTTTCTTACGCGATCAAAATCAATTTCATTGATATCTTCTAATAATTTTCGACGTTGATCTTCAGTCAGTTCAGACCAATAGTCAAGTAAATGCGATTGATGAGCGTCTGATAGACGTTGTTTGATAGATGCATCAATATTCATCTTTAAATTAAAAACAAAGACTAAAATCAAGCGTTTTCTTGAACATATAAGACATTCAAATTATTATTCATGAGTTAGATGTATAACTATACAAAAGAGCGAGAGATACGTCGACTGTTCAATCTTATAATTATCAGTTAATTCTGACTGTAGAAATGAATATAAATTAAAAAAATATGAGCATGACTATTTTTTTGCTCGACTTCAAATTCAATTTCCTACAAGACTTAAACTACTAGAATAAAATTAGAAACAACAAATTTTAAGTTACGTATCATGAATCAGTTTTTATTGCTTAATATTAATAATTTTACTTCTTTTAGACATCTAAAACAGTTTTAAAATGGGACTTTATCAGTATTTATTTTATTTTGAAAGTTATTTAGATAAATATGGCGAAATATTTTTGTTACTTGCCTCTCCAAAAAATACATTTGATACTCTGAAAATAAGGACTATTGATAAAAGTGACGTAGCCAATAAAAAAAATATCTATCAAGGTATCGGCCTAAAGAATCAAATTTGCTTTCATTCCAGACGGAACCCCTCGTTCTTCGCATACTCATCTTCATTTATATTTTGTTTTTCGATCACAAAACATACCAATCGAGTTTGCTATAGATGGATACAGCGTAATAAAATGTTTCTTGTTTCTCTGAGCAATCAAAAACCTTTAGTGCTCGTTGATTTTTGCTTCCTGAAAAACTTTTATAAAACAACCAATATAGATGCCACTACGCATAGAGGTTTAAGCAATAAAATCATATCTATGAATGAAAGAAAAATGTTTTCAAAAGCCAATTCATCTTGTTGTTCTAGGGTTTTGCGAGTGATAAAATATTTTACTTGATTGTGCTTGATGTTGAGTAATATGATAGGACATACAGCCAACTAATATTTGATATGCTCTATTGCATCATTGCAAAACGATCTGGTTTTCCTAGCTCTGGCTAGATCCAATCATTTACTCAATCTGAACTATGTCAATGTAATTATTTGGGTTCATTTTTCATAATTTTTGTAGTTTTTACAGACTAGTATCAAAGTATTACGCCTCGGTTGAAAGTAAATGATGTGAGAAAATCATTATCAATTCAATTGGTTTTGCATTTATTTAAGAAAGGTTAAATCAAAAACTGTTGTACTTTAAAACGGTTTCCTTTTTTTATGGAACCTGTCCTTGTTCATTTGATATGAATCATCTAGAAGAGACGTCTCAAGGTCAAATGTCTGGCAGCAACATAATCTTTAAGCAAGAAATTATAAGAATTAAATAGTAATTTATATAGAATATAAATTAAGAGAGACAAAATAGCAGCTATTTACAAATATTCAGTTATCATATATCGGGCAAGACACAATTATAGCTACTCATTCAAAACAGAGTATATGATTTGTTTAATCAGTGACAACATGCTTGGGATGGACGTTACAGATTGTGTTTGACCTTGACGTATTGATTTAAAGACCTGTTCGTATCTATGATTCTTGAATTACAAATACTCAAAAACTTAGTATACATCATTGAGTTAAAAACAAACTGAGCAGCTTTCTTCTATCAACGGTATAGAAAATCTAATTGACTTCTCGATTATTAATTATATTCATATGGCATTGCGAAAGTAACAGAAGCGATATACAAGTAAATATCAAGAAATACTAAAAGTTAACTAGCTATTTTACTCATTGACTTTGAAGCATCTTGTTTTTAGGAAACAAAAGAACATCATGAGAAAAAATCACTATCTAGAAAAAGTATTTTTAAAGAAGTCATAGGACTCCAATGTTCTATTTATCTGACAGAGAAACATGAACTTGTCTAAACTCGATTACTGTCAAGGCTATTTTACATATCTATGGCTATTCTTTTGATTTTCTCTTTATACGTATACATTGTTTTGAACAGAAAAAGAAGTCAAGATAATTAAAGTACAGACAATGAATTAGTGAACCGAGTTTTTTGCCTTAGAACTTCGAGTTAGAAAAGTATTTGACACAAGTTCACTTGAGGACGTCTTTTTCTGTTGTTGTTGATTTGATCTTCGTCGACACGGTAACATATTTTTGATTGATTTCTGTCTTATTTCAGACAGCGAGCCGTAACATGCAAATGGAAAGAAAAATATAACATAGTGACAAAGATATCCAGCATATAATAATGGAATATAAGCATCTTCAACAGGTAAATCATATTGAAAAGCAAACACTAAAAATGCCAACGGAAAATGAAATATCACATAAATACTCGAAATTGATAACAATTGAATTATCATTTTTCTATGTCTTCGCCATTGAATATTACACGTAGTATAAGAAGGGAACTAAAAATCACTATGATAAGAGCCGGAATAACTTGACGAACAATTAAATCCCATGATTCTAAAAACGTTCTACTAAATACACAAGGAATATAGATACCACTGGCTATGAATGAATCAAAGGAATTTTCACAAAATGGTCCAACATAGACAAGACAATAATATACAAAACAATATCCAGGAATCACTCGTACTCGTATTGGAACATGATGAATGAAGAAACGCTTCTTTCTTGTTGGCATCTATTTATCATGAAAAATAAAGATGTCTGTCAATAGTAGCCCAAGAAAACAATGCTATTTGAGCTGAATAATATGCATAATCAACAAATACCCAAATAAAATCAAATATTGTTGTAGAAAACATTGAAACAACCCAAAAATTATAATAGATAATCCATACTATATCAGTTAATTCAAGTTCGACATAGCTCTAAAACAATAACTCATCACATATAACAAATCAATGTAACGAAAGAACCTTGGCAGATATGTCCCCTTTCTATTTCAGTGAGTTTTTCTCTTTAGATGCGTCAACGTGTTTTAATCAAAATTGTAAAATCATTTAGTTTTCTATTTTAATGTCGCTTTTATCTGAAGAGGCTCAAAATGGAATGGCAGGTTTTTCGTCTTCGAATTGACTTGGAACACAATGAATCTTCCAGAAATCTGCGATCCTACAGGAGCACTAAGGGGAATAGATGAATTAAATTATTTTTTAGTTTCTACTACAACAGTATGCTGTATTTTTATAGGGAAAATCGTAGTATATTTTCTTGTGTATACCAAAGACATTGTACTTACGAACAAGAAACAAGTTAAATGCTAGCTACTGGATTGTTAATGATGAACTATAAGGAATGGAGTGTTTTCCAGAAACTTGATTTCGTCGAGTAGTTCGTCTAACTGGAATCATTGGAAAATACCATGATTATTCTAAAGAAATTGATCACACAAAAAACTCTTAAGAGAACTCATTTCAGTCGTTATGGTGCTTCGTACAACACCTTCGACGGTAAATAATCTTTTAATTAATTCGCAATAAAATTATGAATAGATTTTGAATAATTAATTGGAAATACAAAAACAAATCCCTCAATTTGAGCGAGAAAAAGTAATGAAGCTCAGATAATGCAGCCTGGAACTTTCATGAAAATAGATTACAACAGGTTTCCATGATTTCAACCAGAGATGGGCAAGTCAGCGTTTTTTCGACTCAAGTCAAGTCAAGTCAAGTCAAGTCGAGCACTTTTTCAAGTCAAGTCAAGTCTGATTTCAAGTCAAGTCAGACGTTTTCAAGTTAAGTCAATTTGAGTCATAACTCATTCAAAAAATCATCAAGTCAAGTCTTTTTTTGACTTGACTTGCCCATCTTTGATTTATTATTTGTATTTTTCTTCTACATTTCAAATTAGAGTTCAAAAATTCAATTAATAAAAGTTCTCTATATATATAATTTTTGACTTGACTTGAATTTCTCTGTACGACTTGTTGCAAGTCAAGTCAAGTCTGACTTGACTTGACTTGCCCATCTCTGATTTCAACAGTATAATTTTTAGAATTATAGTGAAGAATACTTCCAATGTGAGATGAGAAAAAATTAATTATTTACATTGATATCTATGAACAACATAAGAATCAATGTTTTGAATTTTATAAATAAATATAGATGAATTTTCGACACATCATTTTATTCATCTTCGTCAGAGCTGCCGTTATCATTACATCGCATGTTTAAGTCATTCTTTTAATCATAGATTGCACTTCTTGGAGTACAATTGATTATTCAAGATATAGTAATGAGATTAATTCTTGATCTAAACCCTTTTCGTTACAGTTCAACTGATTCTTATGACACGTAATCATCTGAATGGTTAGATTTCTTTATCATATGGAGACCATTGTTTGGCTTTTTAATTACTTTCCATGACCTATTAATTATAATCCAGAGCTATAGAAATCTGTATACTTATTAAACAATAGCAATCATAATCAAGCCGAACTTAATCAGAATTCTAATGCGTAAGGTATAATAAGAGGCTGCGTTTTCGATTTCAATTTTTAATCACTTAATACGTATTGTTAAAAGAATAAAGTTAAAGAGTGGAAAAATCTGAAGTTTAGAAAGGGCATTGTTTTTCCTACAATTGAACTTTTTTTGTATTCAATGAATTCATTTTCCTATTTCATCATATTAATAGATCGTACTTATGAATTTGATCGCATCGTATGTGATTGCTAAACAATTGCATTGAGGACTCGATGGCAGATTTTACTTTTTTTAATTCAATGTATGAAGCGATTAAAAATTGAAATACAACTATTTATTGTACCACAACCTTGGTCATTCTCGTTGTCAGATTCCATGCATGTAAATATTAATTCATCAATATATGATGTTCAGACAGGAATATCTTACCTTGTCTTTTCGTTCATCATTATGGTTTTCTTCTTCTTATCTGTAGATTTATTGAAAGCTGTCTGTAAAATCATTATGAAAATATTTTTAAAAAGTACAAAATAACTTGAATAATCATGCTGTCTAACATCCAATAATGTATATGTCATTAGAGATCCTAACAGTTTATAATTTGTGTTTATTAATATCTGTTTTAATCTAGACGCTTTTGTAAGATATAAAGTGCAACTAATAGATCAAATAATAAAAGTAAAATAGACAAAAATACGATTGAAATATAATTTTGGGCGACTAAAAAGATCGATACAATCAAGTGTATCAACTGCACTGGCCCAATTTCTACTAATCACATTTTATTTACTATCGTGTCTTTCGCATAGACCCTTCAGTAGAACCATCAGAACAACATAACCTTGAATTTGAATTTGTGACCATAAATATTTCTGAAATAAAAAGAATCGATCGCTATTTTGAATAGGAGCATAATAGATCACTGAAAATATTTCTACACTTGATTGATGATTTTGAGCAGCAGTCAAATAATTTATTCGATAGAATTCAAGAAACCATATCAACGCATTAATACAAATTGAATAAACAAATATTAAAATAAATGAACTGTGATAAGGAAATTTTAAGAGAAAACGAATGACTATTTCTAAAATTACTATATCAATGCCAATGCTTGGAATGAAGAAAAGATAACTAACACAGTTTCGGTTGCGCGAATAAGGAATATAAAAAAAAAGTAAAATGTGTTAAACAAAGTATTCGAGCAGCAAACCATTGACTCAAGGTCGTTTTGTGTGTTCGATTTTTATGCATTCTTAGTGTAAGTGTACCTGATCTTTATGAATATCAATATATGCCTTCGTTTTTATGTTCCTGCAATATCATCTTGTATATTGGCAAGATGGAACGAACAAAAAACAAGGCATCATTATGAATAGAGCGGTACGAAAAGAATGCTGTTGGTGACAAGGAATTTCCTTGAAATAGGTTTTTCAGAGTTGTAGACCTACCGTTGACTGACTTCTATCACATGCTAAATGACACTTTTAGGCGTATTTAGTGAGAAAGGAACGTCCTCAGAATTATTGTTAACTTTAACTAGTATGACGTATCATTTGATTGCTGACAAATGTATGAGTTACAATTTAATTAATGGAGCAAAGATTTCCTGTATAATGAATAGCCAAGAACTAAACTTTTTTTGAAGTAGTAGGCGCAGTGATTGCAATTCTTAAATAATAGCCGAAATAGATCATTCGAATGTTACAGAATTCAGTTGAATCGATGTGTACTCGAAATGAGTTCTTGAGACCTGATTTTCAAAGTGGATGCTAACATTCTGAAAACAATCAGATACTCTTTTCGGTCTGGTAGTTAATTCACAACGGCAGGGGATTTTCTAAATGGTGGATTGTAGCATAATTATAATCCATCCAAAGAATGCTTTTCTAATATGTATTCAGTAGAATAATGTTTATTCATTCTAATAAAAAATTTCTTTACGATTTTACAGTAGATTGAATTTATTATTTTCATAACACAGTTTTATTGAAATCTTACATATTTCCGGTTTTTTAACCAAGACCAATTACAAAACAAAGAATTATCTTCTGTTAAGATGAGAATTATATTTTGTTTGAACTAGTCAAAGTTAAATGTTTCTGTTAATGAAAACGAATTTAGTTAAAATTATATTGACTTGACTGAAATTCGTCCAATGAAGAATTACATTTCCATAAATCTAAGCATACGTAGTCATTATCGAAATTATTCTTTTTCAAAGATGATGCGACTTAGTCTCACCGCATGCAATGCCATAATCATATTTTATGTCCGATCATGGAGTAAAATAAAGAGAACTGTATAAGAACAAAAGTATAAGCACTTATCTGAAATACCACAGATTCTGTTATATTGGTCATACAATGTCAATGCGGATCCAGCATACTTTCAAATTAGTAGATGAAATATACGTAGCACATGCTATAAAATAAATTTTTTCAGTCCGCAAATTATTTGGTCCGAAATTTATGTAGCCCAATTTTAGTTGTATAGCATTGCAATTGTTTTTTTTTGAATAAAAAAGTGATAAAATATTCATATAATAACGAACAATCTATTTAATAGTTATAATTTTTTTGTGCTTCGGCTGTTAAATGGTTCATAGCGCCCTCTTTCGACCAGTGTTCTAATTCGTAAAGTTCCATTTTTATTTATTTATTATTTCTTCGGTTGAGATTGAGACTTCATTTCTGATTCTACGACAGTAATCAATTTTGTATATGAATGCGAAATTGCTCGAAAAACCTTCCAAATATCTTATTTCTTATCTTCCAAAGCACAACTGAAATAATAATCCATTCGCTTTTTGTAATTTTAGATAAGCACTAAACATGAAACGAGGTTATATTGTGACAATTATTTGGGAAGTTATATCTTTTACAGCATTTGTTTTAAATTTAACGGCCAATAGTAGTGACCGTTGGTGGGTAAAAGCAAGAGAAGGTGGTGAACATACGTTTGTAAGAGCTGGCTTATGGCAAGTTTGTTTTAATATGTATCGTCATCGTTTTGATTATTACGGAAAGATTTATCATGGTTGTTGGTGGTAAATATAAAAATTTGATTTAAAAAAAATGAAATTATTTGATTGTTTTAGGCTTTTTTCTCCTGAAATTCGTCTTTTACGTTCATGGATTTCAACAAATTGGCTTCGTTGGGTTCAAGCATTATCAACGCTTTCATTAATAACATCATTTTTTGCTGTTATTGTTGCTTTACTCATTCTACGTAATAGTAACGGATTTCGATCATCAAAACAAATTCTCTTTGCAGCAGTACTACATGCCATTGCTGGAATATTAATGTTAGCAACAGTTATTGCATTTGGTATTGATGGCCGTCGACGTGATTGGATGTTGAATTGGCAATTTAATTGGTTTGGCTGGAGTTTTAAGTTAGCCATTGTTAGTGGTATACTTCACATAATAGCAGCATTGATGGCTGGCTATCAGGGATCAAATAGGTAAGGAAGAATTTTTCTTGAGAACAGAAACAAAAGAATGTTCGTTTTCATAGGTATTTGCATGATATGTATGATTATGAAAGAGCTCATGAAGAAATAGAAAATCGTTCAACATTAAAAGTACCTACTTATCAAGGTCGTCCAACATCTGAGCGTGCCTTATCATCAAGCGGAGAAAGTAAAACATATCTTCATCAATATGCATAAAAATTTAAAAAGAAAGAGAATCTCATGTATTTTTGTACAGATCTGTTTTACATTCCATTTATTGTGTTTTTGTAATACACAATATTTTGTTTCTCTTTTTTGTTTACACTATATTTACTCATTCTATTTGCTATATGAGCTCGCTAATTTTTACATTATTTAGTTGAAATTTCTTTCTTTTCTTAATCATTTGTTTTTGTCCAATAGTTTACATGTTTAATCGAATAAAAAAATGTAATAGATAATGCTTACATATATGAGAACAAAAAAATATTAATTCAGGTCTAAGTGCGCCTAAGGTTACAATGCATTGTTTGATGTTCAGTCGTGCATGAAGTTAAACGTCAAAATATAGTAATGGTGTCGATTCACAAATAACATAGATGAATAAGGACGATAATACTTTATAAAAGTACGTTCGTTTGAACTCTATCCGATGGCATTTGATAAATATTCGTCGAGGATTATTTTTGATTGAAATAAACGAATTCGAACAAAAGATTTGACAAAATAAAATATTTATTCCGCTTATGACAAAAAAATGCTAATCGATGCTACATTTTAATCTTTTGAAAATTCAATGAAATTATGATGTTCTTTGGATTTGCGGGATGGGCACTTCCTCAACTTCCGCTTCGCTTTCCGAAGTATTAATTGACGGCTGGGATCGTTGCCGATTTCAGTTACATCGCTTAAAATAATCATATATCCTGTATCTCAAGAAACTATTTATACATTGTAGAATAATACTTGATGAGCTCTTCTTATAGCTTGAGATCAATATTCAATAAATGTCGTACATAAATCATGCCGAGGATACAGATAATTTTCATTTTGAAAGAAAATAAAGCCAAAATAAAAAAGACTGAATTTGTCTCATGTCATTTCGAGGTCTGAACTGAAACACTTTTTGTTAGACATTAATTGCAATAGACTTTGCCTTGAGTGTCTTCCAAGTTGCAGTTGAGTGATTCATCATTCGCGTGATTAAATGAAGTGTGATATTTAATATTAAGCTCATTTTCATTTTCATTTCTCCAGTTTAACTGCAGGGCATTGGCATTGTTTCTATTCATGAAATTTATATATTAAACATTCATTAATATTACATAAAGCTTACGTTAAAAACTCTAACAAATTTTGTTAGAGCAGAAAACCCTGCTCGATAGTAGAAATGGTGAATAATATGAAACAAAATTGTTGAAATATTGTTTTTTTTGACTGAGAGTGGTTTGATAATGAAAATGTTTTTTCGTGTCGTAAATTTTCTTATTGATATTCTTGACATTATTTTTAATAGTTATTCGTATGGAAACGTATATTTAAAGAAACTTGAATAAAATAAAAACACCAAGTTTGCAACACTGTGCACTTACCATCATTAAATTCATCTTTAATAATTTATAGCAAGCTGTTTTCTTTATATTAATTCTTCGTTCTTGACATTTTCTTTTACTCTATAGTATTCTCTATGCTTATAGTTTAATTTTATTCGTTCATGATTCATTTGTATATCAACAATATCTTCCGTTGAATTTATTAACTATTGCACTATTTCAAGCAATCTATCGAAATTCAATAAAAGTTATTAAACTACAGGCAATAAAAAAATTGCTTGAAATTAATTATTTCTATCGTTTTACTGATAAGAAATATGATACCCTTTAATAAAGTTTCAAATACCGAAATTTAGTATTTATAACTCTATTGTGCTTATGTGAATCACAATAGATTGAATAACTTATAATATCTTCTTTGTTTCATCTTATTTTTGCATGTCTACAATATGAAAAAGCATATTATTATCAAGGTTGATATTGCACATTAAAAAATATCCGTGACCTTAGAGTAGTGAGATTCGAAGGAACTATATGGGTCATTCAAAAATTGGTATAAAACTCATTTGCCAAATAAACTCTTCAATATCTATCGAGTTCTATCGGATAAGTATCGTTGTTTCCATCCAAATTCATTATCACGACGAAATTTTCTTTTTCTTACACAACGCCGGTTACTTTGGTAATCTGATCCGCTATAAATGCAGAAGGACGTCTGGCTTTGTCGGGTACATGAAGGATTATCTAATGAATTCTAAAATTGAAGGAAACCAAAAACTTGATCTAAATCCAAATTAATGAGTTTTTTTTTAATTAACTCGGTATGTAACAGAATACTGCTGTCCAATAATACTGATAATGAAGCTCTAATACCTCCGGATAATATCTAGGAAGCATTTTGAATCAACCTGTTTTGATATTTATGAAATTATTTTCTTTTTCACAGAAGAAAAAACAAGGGTACGTAATGCTCTATTGACAATTACATTTGACATGATAAATTCATGATCATCTATGTGACGTATTTAATCGGTATCTTTATATCGTTTTATCAATTTAGTTAAAAAATTGCATAGTATTAAATTAAAAAAAAGACTATTGGTTATAGATATTCTGCTTTCGATCTGTCTCACAGTTCCAGGTATAGAAAGAAAACAACAAGGCCGTTCGTTTCTCTATTGTTTTGGTTAATGATTCTAAAAATTAACAAATAAAACTAATTAAAGTATAAATCCTTGAAAAATTTATTTTTATTTTATTTCATTCCAGGGTTATCAACTTACATGAATTTAATAAGATAAAATTTTTCTTTAACTTATACTCTCTAGAGAACTCTTCCGGTATTTTATGAATAGTTTATATGATGAATGTTGATGTGAATAAAGGATTTATTTTTTGCAATAACTAACTTATTCTTCATTTTTTTTTCTAATAGATATGATTCTCCTGGGTAATGAGCTTTTCTTTTCTTTTTTTTTCTTTATATCTATCGCGCATTCTTCATTCCTATCAATCTAAATCTATGCTATTTTTGTAACTCTCTGTTATATAGAAATATATATATTTTTTTCTTCATTATAACTTTGTTTTGCACTCACACAACCTCAAACATCATTATCATCATCTGCTTCACAATCAACAGCATAACACTCAGTTCTTCTTTGTTAGTTGCCTTCTTCCTTGTTGTTCTGCTTAGTTTATTATTATTCTTGTTTCATGCGCCACTTTTCATGATTATTACTTGTTTCTTCAGCGGCGTTTGAATCTAAAGGGAAAAAAGAAACAGCACGCTTGATTTTAACAAAAATAAATTATTACCTTGAAAAATCGGTAATATATAGCCTAAATACAGCGTTCTATTCTGCTATACTTCTGACATATCTAATTTTAATTTAAAAGCATCGTATACAACCATTCATTCGTCGACAAGCGAGTTGCTGATGTTCATGTTTTTTCTCATCCAGTCTTTTCTTCCTTGCTCTTTTTTTCCATAAAATATTGACGTTCGCCGTCTAAGTCGCCTTCTGGCTGTTTCATTACATAATTATTCTGTCAACTATATAAAATTTATTCATTTTATTTTACTCAGATTAATAGAACAACAACAAAAAATGAACTACCAAAATAGGGCGCAACCTGACGTTTTAGAACAAATTTATGTGTAATTGATAGTTGTCCTGTCCTTTTATGCCTTCTTGAGTCGATATTTTTTTCTCGTTTCATCTAGACATGATGTTTACAATCGACTTGACTCAACAACATTAACACAAGATGCAACAGCTTGGCCGAATGTTCGAAAATTTCTAAGTCGAGCTGCATCACAAAATAAAAATGCATTAGTAGCTGATGTTGGTATGTTTCATATATCTTTTGATTAGTAATCATGTTTACTTTTTTACTATCTCGGATTTCAATAAATAAGGTTGTGGAACTGGAAAATATATTAAACTCAAATCAGATTTATTTACGATTGGCTGCGATCGTAGCAATAAATTATGTGAAATAGCTCGAGAAAAATATTCTCATATACCAATTGTGATCGCTGACAATCTTTATTTACCATATAGAGATAATTTATTTGATGCTGTACTTTCGATTGGTGTCATACACCATTTAACTACTCACCAACGACGTTTAAAAGCTATTCAAGGTTTAATAAAAAAAATTCTTGTGTTTTTTCCTCTTACATGAATAAATTTGTTTTCAGAATGTCTTCGAATTTTAAAGTTCAATGGCGGTCAACTGTTAATTTATACTTGGGCAATGGAACAAAAGCAACGTCAAGTATATTTATTAGACGGAGAGACAGAACAAACTGATTATACGACCGATTCTTTTTTTTTCTATTTAGTTTTCTAGTCAAGATGTTCTAGTCCCATGTATTAATCATCAATCACGATCAGGTATGGATTCTTTCGTGTTAACTTTTTAATTATTTCGTATTTTGTTTTTAATCTCTAGTAGATATCACTCGCGATAAAAGCTCGTGGTCATCATCATGTCATATACAAGAAAATATCTTAAGTCGTATTGAACAAGTCGATTCACAAACAACAACAACAACAAAAACACTATCGATGTTGGAATCAATACAAAATATATTTCAACGAATTATAAAACCAACGTCATCAACTCCGTCCACGCTGAAGTTATCTCATCAAGATCAATTGAAATTTCGTTTACGTCCATTTCCAATGAGTTCATGCGATGATGAGCAAATTAATTTAAATCCATGTAATAATCGTTTTTACCATGTATTTAAACAGGGTGAACTTGAAATGCTTATTGAAGAAGCATCAAAAGCCATATCCGGTGCAAAAATAATCAAATCATATTATGATCATGGAAATTGGTGTGCAATTGTTCAAAGAGATGTTGATGTTGGTTTACTGTGATCTGTTCTATTTATTAGGACAATAAATTGTTTCATAATCCTTAAAATTTTATCATCGTAAAACTATGAAGAATTCAGATAATTCATAGAAGTAGGCTATGTGTTTCTTGTCTCGTTGAAAAATTTAGATTCTTTCATTGATATCCTATAATAATTAAAAGAAAGGTCAACATAACCTGAAGAGATCTAGCTAGATTTGATCTGTTAATTCTACTCTATTATTACGTTGGGAATCAAATACATCATTTTATCTAGAAATATTAATAGCATGTAACAACTAGTATTTAAAAAGATGTATAAATGAACTCATTCATCATGCTACATTCAGTTCAATGTCTAATGATTAATCAGTAAACAATATTATTTAAGAATTTAATCATCGTTGGTTACTCATAAACACGTTAGATATTCATTTAAATTCTTTTTTAAGCAACAAGAAGAAACCAATCCTATCTGCGGAGTGTACAAATAATCTTTTCGAAACGGTAATATTCATTATAAACTAATCCTCTTAAGTGCTGAGCATGACACTACACCACACCACGGAGAAAAATATGCTTTTCAGAGATTAAATTCATTCATTTTTCCATAATGTAAGCCCTAATTTCCGATTTTTGTTCGTGTTTGTCATCGAATTTGTGCTTTGATATAGAAAGAAGATGACAAGAAAAAAGATGAATGACAATTTAATGAAGCTCTCATGTCATACTACAGCCTACTATTTTTAGTAGTTTTCAATGTACTTGAACAATCATTGAAAGCAGCCTTCTTCTCGCATGCCTATATTTGGTTGTTCTAAGTATGCCGTCTTAATGACTTCCATTCAAGAAAAATAAATATGGAACTGCTGGTAGAAATAATAGGTATCTTAGATAATCGAAATAATGTCATCTTTGCAAATGCAGGAAATGAGTTTTAAATGAAAATTCAACAATTAGTTTTTCCGTTGTTATTCGCAATAGATACATAAACAGAAGTAATAAATAGGAAATTATGACAAGAAAATTCATATTGAGTGATTCGAAACAAACAATTTCATCTTTTAGTACAGGTTACGATTAAAATCACAATAAAAAGTTGTCTCATATTAAACAAAAATAAATCATTGCAGGTTGATACACCAATGACATATTGATAGAGGTCGAAGTCGTCAGGCTTAATATGATATTATTATTCTTTAGCATTAAATCTTCATAATAGAAAATAAAGTAATTCGTGATTGTGGATGTAGCTGTCAGTCTGAAATATAACTCTTCTCGTCAGTCGATGTTACCCATTACGAAAGAGTTTCAAATAAAAAAAATAAAAGTTTCTTTAGAATAGTTTATCCAAAATTATCAACATATTCATAGAGAACGTTAATTATTCTAAGTCATTATCTTCGAGTTCAAAGCCTGTTGACATTAGTCGTTCGTTATTAGATCCACCATTACAGCCTTTCCTACCATTATACAAAAACAATAGTTTAATAATAGACCATAGCTAGAATGTTCCATCAGCAATGATCGGGTGTACTACTATAACTGTAAATGTTTCGGCTCAACAAATAATTTAATTAATCGAAATCAAATTGACGCTTTTTTTAAAAGGGATACAATAATTGGAAGCATATGTACTTGATAAAACTAGTGGATTTACACAGCATGAACCAAGTGCAGTACATGTTCTAGTAACATTAAATTATAAAAAATTTCCTATACCTGAAAAATTTAAAGAAACGGTTAAATAGAGCGAAAAAAATGTGTGCTACACGTTTTAATAATTATACTTAAATAGTCTCCTATAAATCTTAATAATTATGATAATTCAATTTATATATCCACACAAATATTTTAAGTGAAAAAAAATATCCAGGATCGACGATTATAATAGGCAACGTGAACTAGATTGAGGTCAAAAATATTGACCGATTAATAAAAAAATGGGTATTTTCGAAAGTTCACTGTTTTATTTTCATTTAATCACTTATTTTCTAATTGTTTCACGTTCGAAAATGGCTTCTGCTGTTCATAAACCTGATAATACTAAAGAAATAGCTGAATATATGGAATATTTATCAAAGGAATATTTTAGTAAAATATTTCCTAATTCAATAATTTCTATTGAAAAAAAACCTAAAACTGGCAAACAAGGTGGTCACATTGTGATGATTCGATCTAGTGAAGCTAATTCAACAGATACAACCATTAAAGTAATATATAAATATAGTTAAATGATAATTCGATATGTTCTTCTCAAGTTTATTTAACAAATTCTTTCTTTTTTTGGAAAATATTTTAAATAAGAGTGAAAAACACTATTAATAGACACTGTTTTAAATTCATTTCGAAAAACTTAGATTTGGTTTATTAAAAGATTTTCATGCTAACATGAAAGCATATAGATATCAAAATCATTATGAAATGAAAAAAGAATAAACAATCGATTCAACATTATTCAAACTAGTCCCAGCGGGATCAGATTGAGTAAAGGAAGAGAGGAATGTTCAAAAGATTATGACATGTAGGAGTCACTGTCTTTGATGATAAAAAAACGAATTATTTTTCATTCAATTAATGCTATGAATGATTTCGATTCATACTGAATAATATATTTATTTCTAACCGGCTTTATTTAAAGACCTATATATTTTTAATTTAATCTAATTTATTCTAATAGATATGCAATAGAGCAATGGCTCAATAATCAATCAAAAACTCAAAAACTCATTTAAAATCAGTTGTCATAAATGCTTGACGTAGGGACAATTTTTTTAGACCCGAACCAAAGTCAAAGATACTTTTTGTTCAATTAAATCGAATTTTTTTTCTATGACTAAATATGCTTTTTCGTAAATTCATTTTTCAATCCCCTCGAAATTAAAACGAATGAATGCATTATCTTCTATGAAATTGCTGCTTGTCGTACATTCATTTTGACTCTACTGGAGTTCGTAATATTTCATTAGTGATCGAACTCGATTGAAACCTGATTATGTATGTTTGTCATCAAAGAACAAACAAGCTTCAAAGATTTTCCGTTACAACTATCTATAGATAGTAGGAATTCGGAAGCAACAAGATATGACAATCTAATTCAGCAACTTGCCTCATTCAATTGTAGCCGAAACCAGAAACATTTGGCTATCGAATTTATTCTTCTAAGTTTCTGTCATTTCCGAAGTTTGGAGTTGAACCAATGCTACATCATTCACTCTGAAATTAAAAAAATAATGTCTTTCTATGTACAATATTAATTATAATATGAATAAAAGGCATAGTAATAAATAGATTCCTAGATTTTGATAAAATACTCAGGCATGATATGTCTGTTATTCTACGTACATCTCATAAAAATGTTTTTTACTTAGTTGAAATCTATTGTTTTTGCTTTGACTTGAAGGTAAATAATGTTGATTGTGATTAAATACTTTATTTCTACTGACAATCAGAGAAGGATTAAAATAACAATGAATTTCATGTCTAATAGAGAGTTTGTTTTGTGTTTCGTTGTTGAGTTGTTTTTAACCTCTCAGACATGATAATGCTCTTTTCAGTTTTAAAAATACTACTAGTTCTCTCATTTTTCCGAGGAATATTTTTTCGTTATCAATATGTATGTCATATTAGCTTATACCTATGAGAGAAAAATTGAGTAACGATTGCGTTTTATCTTCTCATAAAATAATTTAATACATAATTTCATTTTAGAAATTTTATGTTAAACCACAAGATCAATTTGTTATTCCTTCAACATCATCATTATCATTAACATCGAAATTAGCTGATGTGGAAGAGTTATTCATATATAAATTGTTATCGAATATTAATAAAGCACCATCAGCACATTTTTATATCAATCAAAATAAACCTGATTGCTTATTAATTGCCACAGCTGATGGTAATAGTGTATCATATGAGAAATTTTTTACTGCAGCTTGTTATCCAGCTGCTCATATAGAAGCATATTTCACCGTCGAAGACATAATTTTAATTCGAGTACTAGAAGTTATATTGTGTCTACAAGATGTTTTATCAAATACTGATAATTATGGTTGGCTTAATCCATCGAAAAAAATGTTTATAATTGATTTCTCAATCAACGAAAATGTAACGATGAAGTCAAAGCCCCCATTAGCTGCTAACATGTTAACTGATAAAATACACGAACATGGTCATATTTTAATATGCAAGCTCATATCAAAATTTAACCAAGCTGAACGTAACATGAAAGTGGCCTTTGCTTATCGTGCTGTAGAATCAGTGATCGATTCATTTGCTGATGCTATTTCAACCAACTCGTGAATTTATTGGTGATTTTATCAGCAAGAATCCATATGCATTTGATGGTGGTATAGAAATAGCAAATTTAAAACTAATAAAAATTGTAGAACGAACTCAACCAAGATGGAATGAACTCATAAAATGTTTCTTAGGAAATAAATAAACATTGAAAAAATGTTTTTTTTTGTTCATAATTGTTTCAAGCTTAGAGAATAAAATATAAAGATATGGCTTAAATCAAAATTAATTGAATTGTTTTTAATATCAAATATTAGGTAATTTCGGCAATGCGTATATTGATCCTCATGGAATATTCTATTATTATCTCTACTTGAATGATATAATACTAATGTTATGTATTGAAGAAATTTAGGAGAATAATCTTCACTTAATATAATATAATCTAAATGAAAGAACCAGATACATGACTTAATTTTTTTCTTACAGACTCATCAAAAGCGTCTGAAAAGAATTATTGAATTATTATATCATATTGAATTTACACAATCATTTATCACTAATTAATACTCTTTCATGAAATACACATACCTGTAAAAAGAAAATGATCGTATAGTTGTATAATACTTACTAAACTATACACTACAAAAAAACATATTAATGAAAATTTTAAAGTTTTGCGAAATTCGTAGATAAAGTCACTGATGAACTTACATGAGGAATGACAAAGCGATTGTTCGTTCTTTCAGAAATTTTATTTCAATTTTTCACAGTACAAGCGCATTAAAAATCCTTGCACTATCTCTGATGAATCTTATAGAAAGCTGTATTGATCATACTCGCACTTCTCTCTCTCTCTCTCTCTGGCTAACAACTCACGAGAAAACATGTTGCAATGCCCCTTGAGAGCAAGTTTCAAACCATTTTATTCGATAGAGATCGCGATGAACTATTTATCATGTCAGTGACATAGCTACTGTCATTTTGATGCGCAGAAATGAGAGAATCAGACTTTTTCTGGCATTAGAGATATTTATTTTTCTTCGCTTACATGATTTTCAAAAATGATCAATTATTTCGAAGAAAAACTGTACAAAATGAACAAAATCGAATATAAAAGTGGCATTTCTCTGTCGCAAAGGATGATATTGTATCTAGAATTTCTAACCACACATCAAAAATAATCATTTGTATATGCTATTGGGTAGAACGTATCGCGCTTCATATTTGCAAGAAAAGATACAATGCAACCTAATACATTAATAATTCACTGATGTTGAGTCAAATCACTTGATATTGCAATGACCAAAAGTTTCCTAACTTTTTTGCATTATTTCAGAATCACCATTTTTTCGAAATTGTAAGAGCAATGAATATTTCGAATATTCTTTCTGACGATCAGACGTATCAAGTTTATGCCAATCTCAGAAAGATCGAAATTGAACTATTTTACCACTCAATGTTGTAATACACCCAAAAATGTGCCATTAAGTAAATATTTAACTAAACATAAGAAAGAACTATTATCTAAGTGAACAGAAACCATTTAATATTGAAAAATATTTCTAGTAAATTATTTATTTGTCAAAACAAAAACACGTACAAATCTATTGAAAATTATTTGTAATTTGTTCAAACCATAGCTGTATCACTTGGTTATTACAATCACATTCAAGATGAAAATTTCGTTCAAATATAAGATCAGTAGTGTTTCGAAAATCATGTTCTAGAGATATTGTTTTACCATGTTTGTAAGATTGATTTGTGAATGTACAACTATATATCACAATCGATAAGAGTTGTTTACAGTGTTTGAATGTCGATAAAATCTTTATCAATGATTTCATATCGTCGATAGACTCAAATATTTCCAGATGCCACACTAGAAACAGTTTTATATGTCGTAAACCATTTCTGTTATCAACCAAGAATGAAATAACACGACTAAAATCTTCTGAATTAACTTCTGATTCCCAGATATAATTTAGTTCAAGATAAACAAGATATCTATGTAACATGACAGTTTTTAATCGAGTGTTATTATTCACATCATTAATAAGATTTAATAGATAATCAAAAGCAACATGTAATTTACGAAGATATGACCCGAAAGTAATTAGTAGTTAAATCAATTGTGCACTGCCACAATAATAACCCTCAATATACAATGAGGTAAGATAAAATTGTTGTTGTTGTATTGATATGGTTGCAAAAAGTTCTTTTTCTAATTCTAAAATAAATCCAAAAATATTTTATTTTATATATACTACTATTTGATAATATACTGTGAAGAATTTTATTCTCACGCTATGTATATCAATGATCATGCATATTTACCAAAGGTATTTGTGTCAGTTTCTTTCGAGAAACATAATGTAAGTTTGTCTACATGGGAACATTGTTACATAACGTCATATAAGCCACTTAGTTGCTCTGGAATATTTGAATAACAATTAGCAATATATGCACCTTTACCATAGCATAAGGTTAATTTTCTTTGCATGATTAACTTCTTCACTTCGAAAGACAATATTTCAGTCCAAAAACGATGGAATTTAAATGGGATTGTATATAAAAAAAGCACTGCCACATTTTGAATCAAATTTAAAAGCGATTGTTTGTGGTAGCCACTTTTGCGGAAGGTTAAAAATGATGCCATGCTCGATTGACGGTCCCAAATATTCAACTGCATAGTTGAACGTGTCCAAATCTGAAATGTTCGTAGCAGATAAGACCGATCGAATTTGTTCTCCATCAAGAAGATCTGCATCACGTGCAGTTATATTTAACGAAAGTCTTCGGAGAGCTGGCATCATATGTAATAAGATCATTAATTCATCCAGTGTCCAGACAGCAGACAACTCCGCCCAAAGAGAAAATTCTACAAGATGTAGTAATGTAATAGATGAACACACTGATGATTCGAACATATAAAATTGTCTCAAATATACATGAAGACAATTAATGTTGGGAATGATTGTGAAGAGTGAAATTAAATCAACGTCGTAGGATATCATAATTGATAATGTGTGTAGGTTAAAACATGTCTTTTGAATTTTATGTAGATCGATGCTCCTATTGATAAAAAAAAATAATCCTGGTCATAGGTTTAGCTCGAATCAACTTTTTTCAGTGCTCGAGATTCTGACCTCGATCCAAATCTAGACTGTTTCTTTTAAAATTTTCTTCTATTGCTGTCATTTATGGTATACATTTCGCCAAAAACAAACAGAAAATTCAATTACAACTTTTAGTTCCGATTCAAAATAATTAATTCTTTTTTCTCGTAACTTCGGGCTCAAATTTTTCAGTATTCTAAATAAAATAGCATGGTCCTGTACAGAGAGTGACTGTCTGTTCTTAGCAGAATGAAAATGGATTACTTACATATATAATTCAGTTGCATTGATCATAATTGATTTCAATCGATAATTATTTCCTGTGAGTATTCGACTGATTATAGTTGATTCGTATTCTGTTTGTTGTTCGAGATTCTTAAGAAGAGTGTATGGGCCACTCTCAATATACTGTGGATCATCAATGTGAAGTGTAGTAAGATGTTGAAACATATTTTCACCAGCTTTTTCAATAGCATCAAGATATGAAAGAATTTCTTCACCTGTGAATTCAATCATGCTAATTTTTTCGAGATACAACATGTCCTGTATTGGAATATATGAAAGAAAATATTTAGCAGCTAATGGTGAACCTTCATTGCTAATTGTCAAAGTTCGTATAAGTAAAAATAATAACGATCGATGATGGAGAAGGAAAGAGCAGCTGCGTTAGAACTGTTGCAAATTGCAATCATTACCAATTGAAACATGCTTAAGATATCCACTGATGGTTCGATTAAGACGTATATTAAGATTGAAAAATGCATTGATAACATCGAACCATGATAAATAACAACAGCTTTTAAGAATAATTTCATCAGGAAGCTTTGTCTCGAACATTGATATTGGAATTGTTCCGTACTCTAACTAGCAATAGTACGGTTGATCGTGCTTCTCATCGATGCGTAGCGGAAAAAAAATAGATAGGAACATAATTGTACTGTTCGTATCGGACAGACGGATGATATTTTTTTTCCTGTTGCTGGGGAGAAAGAGCCAGTAAAACATAGCAATAGAGGTCAAATAATGAGTACACTTCTGCTCTTCTCTCAAACGCTCTATTTGCTGAAGGGTGTGACTGTGTTATACGCATGAATTTATAGATTTAGTAATTTGAAGAATTCTCTCATCGAAGCCGAAAAAATTTTGAAAAAATACTCAAAATTGAACGGTGATTATGACTTGTTCATGCTAATCAGAAAAACGCAAGATGTTCACTATAAAGTCATGAAAATGGCAACGAATTCCATTTTGAGTGTTTAAATACGTTTGTCTAATATTTCATCGACTTTTCTTTAACCCACCACCATATATTAATATCAAGATTCTTCTCCACACTGCATACGCTTGGACTATGATCGAAGTTAATTTTTTATTACTGAAGTAAATGTTATGAAATCACATAATTTATCACCATCAAAAGTTTTTTTTTATGGGAACAGCATAAATACATTAATTGCATCAATAGGACTTGGGTACATTTATGTACAGTCAAAACCTATAATCAGATTCAAGTGCTAAAGGATGAATACCAATAGATTCTTTAGGAAAACTATGAGTCCATGGTGTTAACGGTACATCATTTAAGTTTTGAATTAATTATATTTACTCATGCAGATTGAAACGAATGAAGTTGTTGATCTGCTATATCAAATTTAAATAGTATTAAATAAAAAACAAATTATGACAGAAGGTTCATGTCTATGGAAAAAGAAATGTATTGATTTTTTTTTTGTATCAACAAAAATTTGTTGAATCAAAATAAAGCAATTTACTTTAATGCGATCTCTTCTATATGTTTTGGATTTTCTATACCAATTGATTTTGAAATATCTCAATAAATATTTGGATGATTATAACTAATACTTCTAAAGTATAACGCTTCTGATATAGTTATAAAAATCGTGTACAATTATTGTTTGCTGATGAACTTCTGCCCAGTTTTCATTCTTCAAATCTTTTAAAATTGAATGTCAGAGTACAATGTTTTGATGATTGTCTTTATCTTCTCAATGATCGATTTAATCAACTTCATACACTCTGCCTTGATTTGGTTCATATTGATGGTCCACATGAAATTAAAAATCAAGTTAGTTTTATAAGAAAAATCGTTATATTGTTAAATAACAACAGAAACGTTATCTTTAGGGCGATTTACCAAATCTAAAGTGTTTTTTCTGTCTTGCTATTTAGCAATAATTTTTTACGATAAATTGATCCTACCACTTCTATACTGAATGTCAAATTTAGAACATTTTATATTCATTCATTTATGTTTATTTGTAATCAATTGGATTTTCCAACTACTCAACGCACTTTTATTGATTTTCCAAATAATAATATTATTTCTTATGTTCACTATTTTCCAGAAGCAAAAGAAAGTCAATGTCGTATTGACTCTTATCCATCGTTTATCCCATATTACAACAATATTACAAATAATTTTCCACGTGGATTATTGAAATATGTTCGTGTGATATCGTTGTATGATGAATATCCTTTTGAACATGAATTTTTTATTCGAATTCAAAAATCATTTCCATTTATAGAAGAATTAACTGCGATTAATTATAAATCACAAAATGAAAAACAATCTTATGAACCAAACAATGATAGTCAAAATTGATCACTTGTTGAATATTCTTTTCTTAATGAACTTGCTATTGTCATGGTCCATGATAACTCTATAGAACAATTTGTATGTAATACTAAAACATATTTGCACAATAATGTTCTTCTTCATATCACTTATGAATCATTACAACGAGTAACACACAATTTCACAAGAGAAAATACACAAATTAACTGTACCAAAATAAATGAACTGAAATTATACGGTGAAACATGTCCAAATTCTTTTTCACAAGCATATTTTCCTTATGCAAAAATATGTTTTCCAGGTCGATTTTGAAAGACAAATAGAATAAAATCAGAGAAAACATCATGTATCATACGTAACAATATGTGAAATAAGTTAATTTTCTTGAAACATATTGAGTTGGAACATGAGTTCTGCATATTTTTGGAGATAATATGATAACACGTACTTGAATTCTATGATTTTTATTGTTAGACCGGTATTTTAGCTAGAAATTGTTAGATTAGGTTACAACTATATCCAATTAGATAAGTAAAAATTCATTGCATTGAAGACTTATAATTCGGCTGGTTTTACACTTTCTGTCTTGCTATAATTTGGTTAACAGATCAAGATGTGCTATCATATTAAATACTCATAATCGGCATATAAAAAAGATGATTTATTTTTTTATTATAGTGAGATTTAGATTCTAAGCATTGGAAAATGTTAAATATATTTAAAAATAGGAAAAATACAGATATTTTTGAGAAATAGTTTTTTCCTATAGTGGGATCCATTTGAATCCCACTTGGTTGTCCAAGGTTTACTTATTTAGAACCATATACAAAAGTGAAAGAATTGTGTTTCTAGCATGATTTATTTATGGATGATTATTTCATGCAACCACTGAGTTGATTAGGAGAATTACCTTGTCGGCTTGTGTTAACTGATATTTTGCAGTTTCATTTCCTTTTACACCAGGATCTATCTTAATAAATTCCACATATAATGAGTATCACTGGATTTTGAACTTAAACAAAGAGACATTAATTTCATTTTATCCTCATCACTTAACCTATCAGCATAGATGAAGAGAAAGCTTCATTGTTGCAAACAGTAGATACGACCCTAAAAAGATAAGAGATGCTTTGTAATACAAACAGATCTAATACACGAGAATAATGAAAATTTTTAGTAGCAAAGATTTGGTCTCGTAATGAGACTATTTTCTATATTTTTCAAAAAGTTAAAGATTTCTCTTAAAAAAGGTGGCATATTCGTTGATTTGAACATCAAAAAAGTAGTAACAAGATGTTCAATGGAAGAAAATATAAAACATGTTTTGTGTAAATGAAGTTTGTAAGCAATTTCTGTAAGAAAAAGAAGAAATGTTAGTGGAGTCAATGCATTTTAACGTGAACTTTATGAAGGCGACTCGATAGTTATCAAGGACAGTGAACATTTACAAGAACTCGCAACCAGGAAATAGTCTTGATATAGATAAAGCTATAAAATTAATTGATGATGATGATGATGATAATACGGAAAGTTAAACGGTTTGGAACAGATATTGAAAGTACAAAACAATTGATTAAAATTAGAAGTGAATAAAAAATTGATTTTGGCCAAGAAGAACAGAAGCGATAAAAACTACAACTGATCCGGCAATTACTTATAATTGAAACAGATTTATACTTGTGTATATTTTAAATGATACTTTTAGGTATGAGAAATATTTTAATAGCGTTGAAGAGTAGTAAAGTTTATGTTATATAAACCAAGAACGAAAGTTTTTATAGTCTCAATTGCATTTGATTCCGCTTATAATTCTATAGGTCCGCATCTGTAGATTAGTTAGAGATTCTTCATAAAGAATATCTCTGAAGAGGAACGAGGATGGAATCAGTCAAAATTGGATACAGATAGAGGAATGTTAAATACAGGGACATCTGTATGTTTGCTTCGAATTTTTAAAATGGATTTGCTACCGTGCGTCTAAGAATAAAGTAAATTTTGGGTATGATCGTGAGTGATGAGTGTGAGTATGTTGTAAGGATGTCCCCGAATAGAATAGCTGAAGCCACATAGACATATCCCAAAATCATATTCGTGTCGGTGTATAATATTTAGCTTCAATCATGAGTTTTGACGATTACACGCTCGCGCAAACCATGTTTTATTTGTAGAAGAATAGGAATTTCTGAATGTAGATCTGCGTGTCGTCTTTCACATATACTCGCACTATCAAGATAAAATCTATTTCCATCGTTGTCTCGACTTATTTCACGTAAGTAGTGTCATTAAAAATCAGATAGTGTCATAAGGGTACTTAAAAATCGACGACAACATGTCTAGATTGTAAGCATTTTTCGGTTAATTTTGAAACATTTGTGTGTCTTACTCTTCCGATACCATTGGCAAGTCAATGTACATTGGAAGATTGTCTTCAGCATCTCAATGAAGATAAATATTTAGCTGAGGATTCAAGTTGGTTTTGTATGTCGTTTAAAATTAAATAAATTCGACTGTAAAAACATAATTTGTTTTTGTAGGTTCCAAATGTCAACATCTTTGTAATGGACAAAAATATTTAGAAATTTAGAAATTACAAAAATCAGGATAAATCTATATATTGTTTTCTTTTATCTAGATTTCAATAAAATCATAAATTCAATTGGATTAAAAATGGTACGCTTGTCGTTTATCCTGACGACAATCTTAGTTCACAGCAACGCTATCTTTCGTCGTCTTCATTTTATACATTGTATTCAGTGATTAATCATCAAGGTTCATTAAATGATGGACATTACGCAACATTTTGTCAAGATAATGAACAACAGCAATGGTTCGAATGTGATGACGAAAAAATAAAATATTTCAATTCAGATAAATTGGACTCAAATTCAAATGCATATCCTTTATTTTATATGATGAAAAATGCAACGTAGACTAATAGATTTTTATTTGAGTTTTTCAATCATCTAAAAACTTGATTTTTGAAAATTGAAATGATATTATTTTGTATCTCGGTTACAATAAATTATGGGAGTTTTTCACGATGCCTATAAGATATTCGTTAATAAAGTCTTTCATTACTTGTCATATAAAGACTTGTTTTATGAAAGAACTTTATTTGAAATCTTTTATTAGTTCCTGTCTGTGTTTTTACGGACCTTGTATATACAGTTGTTCACTGTGATGGAATGCTCCGTCTTTTCATTAATAAAGTCAGATTAGACGAATAAAATGGGTCAGAAATTATATTGGCTTATCGTTATGTTAAGCCATACGTTTGACTTTTTTTTGGTTCGAACGCTTGCAACGAGTGGATGTCATCAATCATGATTTTCGTTTTATTTAAACAAGTGAAACAACCGAATGTTGATATTTACTTGTATAACGTAGTATGAGTACATAAATAAATAGCAGCTGGGAAAAAATGAATTCGATTATATGATTATTCCGTGAAATTTTCTCTTGGATTGGAATCATCCAACTAGTCAATAAACTTACGAATTTTATTTTCCAATTTCTGAGTGATGTCGTAATATTCTTACACCCGGTAACGACTTATTAGCGCAAACACGCTACAGTATCCACATTAGGTGCATACATTTTTGGGTATCCGAATTTGGGTATTCACATTTGGGCATCCACATTTGGGTATCCACATTTATATATATGTATATGTTTTGAAAAGCTGAGCAATTTGAGTTGTTTTGGTGTATCCACTTTTGGGCATCCACATTTGGGTATCCACATTTATATATATGTATATGTTTTGAAAAGCTGAGCAATTTGAGTTGTGTTGGTGTTTCCACATTTGGGTTTCCGCATGTAT